AGTGCAGGCACCCTGTGAGTTGATTCTATGTCGATGGTGAGCCTGACTGGCAAGACCAGTTTACCACCTTTACTTCCAATGTTATTTTCCAATTTAAAGCTGGGTCAATCTCATGTAAAAGTTAAAATAAAGGACACTCCACGGCTACATTAAGTATTACTTTGCTGTATCCTGCTGTCCCAGCTGAGTAGAGGTTTGTCTTGTCTTGCCATGAATCTTAGCTTGCAAACAGCATTTTTACTTGAGCAAAGTATTTATTCTGCTGTTCAGTCAATTTAGGTATGACTGCATGATGGCACACACATACGTTGTGGTCATAATGATTATGATGATGATGCACAATTAACACATGAACAGAGTTATTTAAAATGTTCCCTTGAATTTCTGTTCCCTTGGATTATCATAGTTTTTGGTCTCTTTCAAGAAGTCAAAGGAAAGTGTCTTCAAATGTAACCAGAAAGCTAACATTAACATACAACTTTGTATTCATTTATGTATCTTATGTAACTCGATGATGATATTTTACCTATACTTCATATCTCATACAATTATTCACATCTCGGACTTCTCAATCATTAATATCACACAAATACTCAAGTTTTAGACTTCTCAATGACAGATAACTTACAAATTTAAAAGATTTATAGTTGACATCACACAATTACTGAAATCTCAGTCTTATCAATCACTGATATCATATAAATTTCAACAATTTATACATTACACAATTACTCACATTTCAGACTCCTCAATCATTGGTACCTTACAAATTTCAATGATTTATAGTTAATATCACATAATTACTCATATCTCAGACTTTTCCATCATTGATAACTTACAAATTTGAAAGATTTGTAGTTAATATAATGCAATTATTCATATCTCAGACTCCTCAGTCATTAATAAATTACAAATTTAAATGATTTATAGTTAATATAACGCAATTACTCACATCTCAGATTTCTTAATCTCTGACATCTTACATATATCAGTGACTTCAAGCTAATCACACAATCAATCCATCTCAGACTTCTCAATCATTAACATTTTCTATATCTCAATAACTGACATCTCACACAATCATTCACACATCAGACACTTCAATCATAATTATCTTTCATACCTGAATGATTTACAGCTAATATAATTACTCTTCTTGGACTTCTCGATCAATGATATCTTACATCTTAATCAATGATATCTTACACATCTCAATCAATGATATCTTACATATCTCAATCATTGATATCTTACATCTCAATCAATGATATCTTACATCTAATCTCTGACATACCAGTCATCAACTGTTGATATCTTACATATCTCAATCAATGATATCTTACATATCTCAATCAATGATATCTTACATCTCAATCAATGATATCTTACATCTCAATCAATATCTTAAATCTAATCTCTGACATACCAGTCATCAACTGTTGATATCTTACATATCTCAATCAATGATATCTTACATATCTCAATCATATCTTACATCTCAATCAATGATATCTTACATATCTCAATCAATGATATCTTAAATCTAATCTCTGACATACCAGTCATCAACTGTTGATATCTTACATATCTCAATCAATGATATCTTACATATCTCAATCAATGATATCTTACATCTCAATCAATGATATCTTACATCTCAATCAATGATTTCTTACATCTAATCTCTGACATACCAGTCATTAACTGTTGATATCTTACATATCCAAATGATTTAACAGCTAACATACCCAATAACCGTTCACAGACAACGTTTTAATCATTATACTGCAGATTTTAATAATTCAGCACATCCCAATCAATTGCAAGTCAGACACTGCATTCAAAGATACCAACTACTTTTCAATTATTTCCACTTCAAGCTTGCAACTATCAAATACATTTGCAATAATTCACAACATACATGTGTTCAACTATTCATGACACACATATTTCAACCTAAGAAACATACTCTTTGCAATTATTCACAGCATGCATATGTCCATTTATTCAGAACCCACATAAATTCCAGCATATAAAACATACTGTGTGTAATAAGTCGCTGCATATACATGTCCAATAATTCAGAGTCCACACATATTGAAACTTACATAACATATTCTTTTTGTAATAAATACATGCATATACAAAATATCACTTTACAACAATAAATACATGACTAGAGGCATTCAATGAAATCAGTGAAAACCTTTGTGCAAAGTCTTATTAACAGAACTACAAGACGCATACAGCAATTTCAGAGTATAAAACATTTTATAAATGTGTGAGATGGTCATAATAAACGTAATGCAAACATGTTGCATTTTTGTCAATAACATATAACTAGTGGAAAGTCAATTTACGAATGTGCTGTAGCTCGGAAAAAGGTGATTTATTTGGTCGTATAATGTAACTGGCTGAATCGTGACAATAACAAGGTATGAAGATGGAGATATGATAAATTTTCATCCAGATTTGTTGGCATTATACCAATATCACCATAATGCTAAATTCTTGTCCGAGAAAATCGCATATGAACACTGAATGGCAACATTAAAATTGTGTAGCTGTATAAAAAGTAATACAGTAAAACCTCATTAACTCTCAGTCCCAAGAACACCTGGTGTGTAAATGACTTTATTCTTTGATTCCACTCCACAGCCTAATGTGTTCTCTTATTTTCTATATTTGGTCAGAACCCAGTGAAGAAATCTGGCTTCTCCAAAGAGTCACTACCACTGTGAGTATTGTCATGCTGAATGTAATTAATTTTGTCATCACAGTATTTCTTCACTTCACACATCTCCCATTAAACCTTATGGCCCTGAATAAGCCAATACAAATTCCAGAGGCCAAAAAATCAAGAGTTCAAGTTGAAAAAAAAAAAAATGTGTGCCAACCTCGGACTAAAACTAACACATCCCTGGTGGAACCAAAATTCTTTATGTTAACCAAGTGTTCATCTTAAACAAGTTTGTGTTAATGAGGTTTCACTGTACTTTATTTTGACCTATTTGGGTAGGAATTCATAGGTGTGTCTTTGGCATATTGTAGAGTGACAAATAACAGCCCTGCAAACAGAACTAGGTGAAAAAGCTCAAAAATACATTTAGGTGACCTTGGTATAATGTCAACGATATTAGTTTATACAGTTACACAATTTTCATTAATCAAATTAGTCTGACTGTGTCTGCAAAGAAGAATTTGGGGTGACATTTAAAAACTTCAAAATTATTTGCTTCCCTCATGTGAATCTTGTTTTTACTGTCAGGTTAATGCTGCTGCCCTTTTGTGTCAGTAGACACCGAAATAAAATACTTTTAATATGATGGTTATTAAAAGCAGTGTTACTTTAAGGATGAACCTGCGACAGGTCCAGAAAAACAGCAGCGGATTGAAATATTCACCTCCCAACTGCTCCAGAGGATGTTTATGAAATCAGAAAATCCATCAAATGAAAAAAATATCTAACAGGATGCAAGATCTTACCCGCCATTTTAATCCGATGATGCCAGCAACAAGAGCTTTTTACAACATGAAAGTAGAAACACTAAGAGGTAGGGGATGACCTAAAAGAAGGTGGACTGAAGGAGTAACTGATATCCTCAGACACCACAACACCATGAGTAGCTGAGCATGCCCTAGCTTGGAAAGCGATCATCTGTTAACCTGTAACACCTTGCACAGAAAGCAGAAAAAAAAAAGGACAAAAGAAAGAAAGACATTTTTTTTAACCAAGCACGGATTGAGGACTAGGTATAAAGACCACAAACAAGTTCTGTCTGTTAACAGGATGAAGGCTGGGTTATTTATTCTACTTAAATTGTTCAAGAACTTAGTAATCGGTAAAAATTTTAAAAACACAAGAATAATCAGAGAAAAGTATTTTAAGATAATAGGATAAATTGTCAAAAACCAAAACTTAAAAAAAATTAATAAAAAGCATTTTAAAAATTGTAAAATCCTACATGGCTGCTATTTCCATGGCAACTAATGACAGTATATGAAGTCTTCTCATCTGCTTGACTAATTTGCATACTGAATGCACTTGAGCTCTATAGATGTAACTGCACCAGTATTTATGAAAACAGCACATCTGATAATACCTCCACTTAACATCAGGGCAATATGAAAATTCTGTGGCTATGAAAGATACAAAAGTTAAACAAAAGTGATAAGATATTGTCTAAAGGTAAAATCTGCAGCTGCACAATTAGATTGAACAAATCATCAACAAATCTAACATACACAACCAATGATTATATAATAAAGTTCCAATATTATATAAAATCATGTTCAGTTAGGGCTCCCAGGTGGACCCAGCCTTGAGTGGGTACTGGGTGCAGTCCTGGGAAGTAAAGGCGGCCGGCGTTATGCTGACCACATCACCCATCTTGTGCCGATTGGTCTATTAAAATATAGGTCTAGCCCTATATGCCCTATACGCCTAAAGGCGTAGAAAAGGGTCCTTTACTTTACTTTACTTTACTTTACTTTACTTGGTTATGTTCAGTTAGTGGGCTGAAAGTCCAAGATCCCAATATTGAAACTTGATGGTATTGTATATCAGATTGAAATGAAATGTTCTTCTAAACAATCGTAGAAAATAACTTCTTCACAATCAACAAAAAAACAACACTTTTTTTTTTTTAACAGTAAAGGTTTCAACCAACACTGTTAGTGAGCATAACAAAATTCAACATTGTAATGTTGAAATCTGAAATGATACTGTACTTCGACTGACATTAAACGTTCTTCTGCATAATCATATAAAATAGCATTTTTTCTTCACAATCAACACAAAATAACACTTTCTAATTATAAATGCTCCAATATTGTGTAGCATTATGTTCAGTAAGTGAGCTGAAAATTCCAACATCCTTCTGCATAATCATATAAAATAACACTTTTTCTTCACATTCAACATAAATTAACACTTCTCCAAATGACGAAATCTGTAACTTGCAAACAGTTGTATAAAACTCGAGAGCTTCTCAATGATGTCAGTCTTCTACAATCTCTCCTGCCCCATACATAGTTGCCAGTTTGGTAAACTTAGGCCCCCAGTCGGTGAGATAGTCATATTCGTGGTCATGGTCACTGCTGCTAGTGTTCAGTGAGCTAAGGCTGCCTGCGTCACTGGTGCCCCCTTCGAAGGTGTATTCTCGTACACTGTCGTAAGGTGGGACACCATCGTCGTTATCTGCGACTTTCATACGATCATCTATGAAGCCACCGACGTCTGCTCTGTTACCTGATGCACCTGAAATGTACAATGTGTTAACAAGTTTAACTCTTTAGTCCCAAGCAGTTGTTACTTTCAATCAATTAATCAACTGATTTGATCAATAAATTAATTGATCAATCAATCAATCATGTGTCAGCTCCACAATGAAGGTTTGGCTGCAATAGCTCTCCAACACACTCTTTTTTTTTAGTTGTACACTCAACTCTTGATATTGTCCTCCCACTTGTATCATTGTGTACCTTTCACTCACTTATCTTCAAATTCTTTTTCTTCCATTACAGTTTTCAAAAGTTATGGATTTTATAATAGAGCCAAAATATTTTGTCTCTTTTTTATTTCTTTCAGCAACTCTCTTTTCCTTCACAGTCTCTTTAAAACCTTTGTAGCTGACTGTTGTGTAGTTACTTTAGCTTTTTCTACCTCAGGGAACTCAGCTTAAAAGCAATTAATTCCATATTTTTCCATGTGTAATGTGCCCACATGTATAAGGCGACCCCTATTTTTTTTAAAAACTTAAATTAGGAGATGAATATTTTAAACATATTCTGTCTATAAGACGACACCCAATTTTAAACTTGAAAGAATTGGAGAAAACATATTGTCAAAAAAAAAAAAAAAAAAAAAAAAAAAAAAAAAAAAAAGGTAAAGGACCCTTTTCCACGCCTCCAGGCGCATAGGGCATTTAGGGCTAGACCAATATTTTATAGACCAGTGGCACAATATGGGTGATTACGCTGGCCGCCTTTACTTTCCGGGACTGCACCCGGTACCCACTCAAAGCTGGGTCGACCTGGGAGCCAAGGTCATTTTTTGAAGAGAAGTCCGGCTCCATCAGGGAGCGAACCCACGACCTTCGGATCCGCGGCGCACATCTAGCCGCTCTGCCACGGCGACTCCCCATATTGTCTTATACCCAGGAAAAAAGTAGTCTGAAAGTTCAACAGAAACACCAAGGAAAAGAATAGTTAAATATCTGAGGGAAAAAGAAAACTGTGTCTTCCCAACGAACGTTGGCTGCAGTGTTCCCTTACTGTCTTTGATAATTTTACATAGCTGTTTTTGTTGTTTGTGTTCACTGGCTGTAAAACCCCGGCAGAAAGACCTGATTGTTCGTCCATTTCTGGACTTCAGTTTTGTTCCAGGACCTGAGCTTTGCACATGCATGTTGTACAGATCTTGCTTTTTTGTATGCAAACTGTTGGTTCCTTGCCTCTCAGGCAGATGCACTCCGACTCTGAAGGAAACCTCCTACGACATGCTTGTTGGGGAGGCAGTGGGTCTATTCTTGTTTTCCCCTGAATGTGACCCCTGAACCCACATGGGGATTTTACATAGCAAGGCACCAATATTTTCCATGGTCAGCCTACTCTCCTAACACTTCTCCAATTGCCACAAGAAGGAAAGTTTAAAGAAACAAATTTCATAGACTATGATTCTGATACAAATGGATAAAATAACATATCTGTCTGTGATAGGCGATTTAAAAAAAATAAATCTTTGAAATAACCATGAAAAAATATTATGTGTGTTGTCTGATAATTTCTTTCTTCAGCATTCGCCCTTGAAAGGACCTTTTGACCCAACACATCCCCCATTACATTACTTTACAAAGCTCTTAATTATCTGCCTTTTATGAAAAGCTTATCAGGAGAAATGACAGAAATTAAACGGCGACTATCAATTGCTCTTCAAAGACTAAAACAACTGAATAAATTATGGAATTGTACAGATAGAACTACAAAGGTCAGATTTTTAAGAGCATGCATCTTTCCCATTGCAACATACGCCTGTGAGACCTGGACACTTACTAAACAAGCGGAACAGCGCATAAATGCATTTGAATATAAATATTACAGACAGGTTCTAAGAATATCTTGGGTAAAGAAAAGAACAAATGCATCCATACTTCAAGAGCTGAATATTGAAGAGGGTTGGCTAGTAAAGACAATAAAACAAAGAAAATTGAAATAATTTGGTCACTTGAAACGTCATGGAAGTCTAGAGAGAACAATAATGGAGGGGTATATGCCTGGGAAGAGAGGAAGAGGAAGGCCAAGGAGAAGATGGGTGCAGGATGTGGCAGATGATCTCAAGATGGGTGTATCAGACGCAGGACATCTTGCTCAGGATAGGAAGGTTTTCCGGAGGGTTGTTATGGCAGCGAGGTTCCGCGAGGGACATGCTACTGAATGAATGAATGAATATCAGGAGGCAGTGGATCTAACCTCTCCTCCCCTCCCAACCTCTTGAAACCAAGATATGGAGTTTGATATGGAAAGAATTAATGTATTCACTAGATATATACCTAAAATACCGACTACAACTTAGTCAAAAGTAGGGGATTGAACTCACAGTTTTATCTCCAACCCCCCAGTTATGGCCCCTGGTATTCGCTCAGCCGACACGTGTAGTCATTCTGCTGAGAAACAACCGACCCGGCTGCCTCGAGATACCAGCTAAGTGATTTTGTGTTTCTGTGCAGTATTGTTTCATTTGTATGTGCTGATGAAGGCTCAATAGCCGCAACATTCAAGTTTTGTTTGTATTTGTTATCTATTGTGAAGCTTGCTTATATACTTTTCGTTTGGTTTTATATCTTTTCTTGATATTAGTCAAAAGTAGTCCCATAGCTAATACTGATGACAGCCACAGTGGTGTAGCAGCAAGATGCTCCACCGGCCGTCTGAAAGGTCATGGTTTCAAAACCTCACTGAGTCGGATTTATTTCAAAGATGACCCTGATTTCCAGGTTGACCCAGCCTAAAATGGGTACCAGGTAAAGTCCTGGGAAGTAAAGATGGCTGGTGTAATCCTAACCCCATCACCTATCATGGGCAGATTGGTCTGTAAAAGATAAGAGTTTAGAATTGTATGCACCACTAACATACAAGGGTCCTTTATGGAGAACTAGCCATGAAGAAGAGGATACTCAGAGGACCCTAAATGCAAAATAAGGATGTCTATCAACAGGATATGAAAACCCTTGGCACAGTCACAGAAACATGGGAAAGAGTTTCAGCTGACAGAAATCTCTGGAGAAGAAATGTGCAAAATGAACTGATGCTTTTTGAACAGTCTAATCCAACCTACTGAGGCCAAGAAATAACAGTCTACTGGCAAGACATCAACCTACCTGCTTAAGGATACTAGTCTAAGTGATTATGTATATTTGTGTGACATTGTTTGATTTATGTATGTGCTGATAAAGGCTCCACAGCTGCAAAGTTAAATTTTTGTTTATGTTATATTGTGAAGCTTGCTGATATAATTTTCGTTCGGTTTTATATCTTTTCTTGATGTAGAAGAATAAAAATAAAAATGGAGTCACCTGCTGCAAGATCTGCCTCACTTTACAGTTGTAGAAACTGTTACAACGTCATGGTGGCTTGGAAAAACGACAGTGATGGAAGGTGCAGTTTGTGGAAAGCGAGGCAGGGGTTGACCTCGGCGAAGATGGATACAGGACACTGAAGGTGCACTGGCATTCAAAGCACATGGGGCTGGAGAGCTGGCTAGGGAAAGGAATACTTTCACGCATGCTGTGAGGAGATCGACGCTCTGTAAAGGACTTGCCGACTGATGAAAGAAACTGTGACAGAGACTTTCACTCTAGCATCGGACTATTTCAGTCACCAGCGGTAGTGTCAGGCACCTGCTCAATTGGAACTCTACAGCCTACACGATTGAAAGGAGACTCCAGAACCTAGACTGATACACTCAAAGACTACATTGAACAAAACCAGCACCAGCTCTGCACTGGAGGAATGAAAACATAGTTCAGCTGTATTCTGTATATGTGGCCTCAGTTAGTAGGGCAGCACCTTCTACAATATAAAATGCCTATAAACTGTATGGACATCATTTGGTGTTGTCGACAGTTTTATTTCCTGGTTTGGGTCCGGAGCCCCATTTTGGGGGTAAATAATAGACCCACTGCTCCCTTAACAAGCATGTTGAAAAAGTTGACAAATCAGGAGTGTTTTCTTGAAGGTTGGAGTGCATCTGCCTGAGAGGCACACATTTTTCTGCACACAAATAAGCCATTTCTGTAAAAGAAATGTGCATGAAAAAATCTAAATTCTGGAACAAGAACAGAAGTGGATAAACAGTGAGAACTGTTTACAGCTGGTGAACGTTAAGAAGAAGCAGAAAATAGTTTGGTTGTTATTTGTGGTGACTGCATGGAGTTACTAGTGTATGAGTTGAAGGAAGCGAAGAAGAATGAAGTAAAATAAGGTTCAGTGGCGCGGTGATTTCGGTCACAGGCATGAGGGGAAGTTAAGTCTGATGTGATGTGTATAAGGAGATATTCCGTACCCCACTCGGGCGCCAGTCCTTCACTGTTCTGGTTTTACGGAACCTCATGCAAGACTCCTGTTGCACGTCCCCGTCGTGCGCCACGGATAATGTCTCAAATGAGCATTAACAGAGTTGGCAGGGGATCTCGGAGCTGGCGGCCCCTAGAGGTGTAGAGTCCTTTCTGGCTCTCACCAGCCCGCCCCCAAACGCATGGGTGAAAAGTAACAAAACTCAAGGATTGCTTGCTAAATGTACCATCAAATGACACCTCTTGGTTAAAATTCGGGAGCGAATGGAAAACTTGTGCTGCTGAGACTCAACCCTGACCGAGAGATTTACCCGCAGCCAAGACGAGTAACATCTCTTGTGGGCGACTTCTCGCAGCAAGATCCTACCTACGTACATCCTCTGTCAATCCTCAGTGTCGTGGTCACCGCGCTGAGGTACACCATGGCAGCAACTATTTATATGCTGGCTTGAAAACAATGTCCGACAAAGTTACACCCCACGGCACACATGCAAGCTCAAAGTCCGACGATCATAACTCGTACCGATTAGGAAAAGTCTGAATGTCCGTATCCACTGGTCCAACTCGCCCGAGTGTTGGGACCAAACAGGTGCAGCCACGCCTGACGCACTTTGCTCCCCCATTCTGTCGTGCTAAGGGCACAGCTGAAACAACGTTAAAGGTGTCTAACGTAAGATGAAAAAGAATGTACCTATTTGTGTGTGGAAAAAAAAAAAAAAAAAAAAAAAAAAAAAAAAAAAAAAAAAAAAAAAAAAAAAAAAAAAAAAAAAAAAAAAAAAAAAAAAAAAAAAAAAAAAAACAAACGTCCTAGACCTGCGGGCTGCTCCCCGCTGATCTCCGGAGAGCGCAGCCTTCTAGCGCGGGAAGCTCAATACACGGTTGTGAGGTTAAGCAGTCATGGGCAGGACGTGACGATTCCTTGGGTGAGCCCAGAACTAGAGCATCTTGTGTCGGCTCTGCATTTATGGAAGCCTCCTTGGATGGCGGGGAATGCCCATGATCTGCCCCTGCCTTCCCTTGAGGGCTGAAAACTCTACATAGAGCTGCCTTAAGGACGACATGCCGGGGGCCACACCTGCTAAAAGTCAAAGAGGACACCACACAAATAAGGCAACATCTCGACCCACACAAAACAATGGCCACAGTCAACCTAGAAATAGGCTTGACGTCTTCCTCCGAAGTCGGAGTACATCTGCCGGAGAGGCGGGGAACGAGTACTGCAAACAAATAAGCCAGTAAAACGGATGTACACGCAAAACTCAGGTCAAGGTAAAAGCCAAAAGTCCATTTTGGACGAACAACCGTGGCTTACCGCCGGAATTCACAGCTGGTGAACAAGAAGAAGAAGAAATAAGGTTCATATCACAGATAATTAACATACAACACAAACAGCACAAAATACACTGACTTCTATAATGTAGCTTCATAAAGGTCATATAGGCTGGCTTCTGAAGCCTTGAAATATCATAGGCATCTTGGTCTTCCTCACCTGGTGGAGTTCAAAATAAAAAGTAATTTGAATACTTTCTAATTAATTTATGTTTTGCGATTAAAATATTATAAAATAAAAGTAAAAAATTAAAGATCCCTTTTCACACCTTAGGAGCATCAGGCATATGGGAAGAGCTCCCATATTTTTACAGACCAATCGGCACTAGGTGTATAATGTGGTCAGCATTACGCCGGACGTCTTCACTTCCTCAGGACATATATCCTGGTACCCACTTTAGGCTGGGTCGACCTGCGACGCCCCATACCATGATAAAAAATCCATATACTATAAAATACTTGATCATATTTAATCACTACAGCGAGCAGTGTCTGACCAAGCCATAAGAATGCTGGGCTCTCATTCAGGAGATACAAAAAAAAATGTTAATTCCTAATCCCCGGCCATTGGCAATGCACTAGCTAACACCGATTTTCTTCTTCTTTTTCTCCAATTACCTCAGCAAAAATGGGGGGGGGGGGGGGGGGGGGGGGGGGGGGGGTGTAAGGATCCTCTATTATGTGCTCTTTCTAATGAATTTTGTGTGTGTTTTCACTGGCTGTAAATTCCAGCGGAAAGTTCTGGTTGTTCATTCCTTTACAGACTGCAGTACTGCTTCAGAACCTGTGTACATCTGTTTGACAGATCTGACTCATTTGTGTACAGACTGTTGGTTCCTTGCCACTCAGGCAGATGCACTCCGACTTCGAAGAAAAAAGCTCCCAATAAGTCGACTCTTATGACATGCTTTTGGGTAGGCAGTGGGTCTATTCTTGTTTTCCCTATAATAGGTCCTCGGAACCCACATGGGGGTAATGCATTGTATAAGCTGCACTTCTTTTCTTTAAGGCTGTTTTTAACGCTGTCCTTCCATCATTAGTGCGGTCTTCGCCTTGCACCATAAGTGTTTACTGTATTTCTTCAGCGTGCCTCTCTATGGCAGTTGATACCAAGGTCCCCCGTGAGGGTTCCGGGGCCCTATTGTGGGGAAAACAAGAATAGACCCACTGCCTCCCCAAAAAGCATGTGTAAGAGTCGACTTACTAGGGAGCTTCCATTGAAGTCGGAGTGCATCTGCCTGAGAGGCAAGGAACCAACAGTCTGCATTCAGGTGAATCAGATCTGTAAAACTGATGCACATGCAACACTCAGGTTCTGGAGCAGGACTGCAGTTCCGAAGTGGACAAACAACCAGCACTTTCTGCCAGAGTGTACAGCCGGTGAACGCAAAGAAGAAGAAGAAGATACCAAGGTATTCTCGCCAAATGTCTGAATTATCTCGTCCGTTGCTCTTTCATAAATTGTTTTCCGTCCTAGCCACCTTCTAATTTCTTCACTTTCAATAAGCAGTTTATTAACCCTTTCACTAGACAAAAATCCTTAGAAAAACAACCACTTTAAACGTCAACCAAAAAAAAAAAAAAAAAAGGCACAAATAAATTTATCATCCAGAACACAAACATTGGCCTGAAGGTGTGGAAAAAGGTCTTTTAAATTTTTTTTTTTTTTAACTTACATACTTGACCCTGTGACCCAGTTGCTTGGCAACTACTATATAGCCAATGAGAAAATGATGACATCAGCATTTCTATATATAAAGCCATTTAACCCCCCCCCCCCCCCCCCCCCCCTCCCCCCCCCCCCCCCCCCCCCCCCCCCCCCCCCCCCCCCCACCCCCCCCCCCCCCCCCCCCCCCCCCCCCCCCCCCCCCCCCCCCCCCCCCCCCCCCCCCCCCCCCCCCCCCCCCCCCCACCACCACCACCACAATCACACATGTTAATTTTAGTAAATTTAATTATCCCCTAAGGCTGAATGTTTGCGCAGACGCAAATCTTGTAAACGTATCTATACAGCAGGTGGGGAGACAGGCTTTTATGGGGAAATAGTACCAACTGGAAGTGTCAGTTCTGAGACTTCTTGGCACGAAAGACTGCTAACCTAACCAAGACTAAATGCCTAGTCTGTCATGCCATAGCATTAAGTTTTTAGGTTGCATTTCCTCATGCTGAGATAAGGTTAAAAAAAAGTAAGTGAGGAATAATTCCTAAATAAACATTTAGTTATTCTGTATAAAGTTAATAATTTATTACCAGCTCCTTCCTCATCATAGTTCATGACATTTTCTCGAATATCATCCTCCGGATCAACCTCTAGAATATATTTTTCACTGTCTTCATTGCGAGGACAAAACTTGTACAGGAAGAAAACCGTCAGCGCCAAGACTAGAGGTGTGAATAGAAGAATAGAAAAAACAAAATCATCATAAGAACATCTCATTTGGTTACGACTCACTAGGTGAGCTGTGGCTAGATATTTGTTGTCAGCGAAGTTTTGGGTTCTTCTTTGCATTCACCAGCTGTAAACTCTGGAGGAATGTTTTGGTTGCTCATCCACTTCTGCACTTTGATCTTCTTCCATAATTTGAGTTGTGAATGTACGTCTGTTTTACAGATCTGGCTTATTTGTACACAAACTGTTGGTTCTTTACCTCTCAGGTATTTACAACTAGAAAATAAACACCCCTAATTAGTCGCCTCCAAGGACAGGCTTGGCACCCCAGAATCCGCAAGTGGAGATTTAAGTTTGAATCTGTATTGGGGCAGATTTGAATAATTTACTTAGGGCTCAGATGGAGCACATGGGAATACCCCGAGTGCTGCGATGTCGGTTCTTGAATCAATCAAATCAATCAATCAATCACTTAGGGCTCAGAAGATGATCAAGTCTAAAATGGGTACATGGAAATATCCTGGAAAAAAAAAATGGCAATACAGTGACACCACAATGAAAGTTTAAAGATGGATGCCCCAATTTCAACATTTACCACAGAGGAGCAACGCCCGTTATCCATTTTTTTTTATATGTGTTGGAGGCTGTATGAGGGAATTAAGAAAGATCAATCTCTATAAGAAAGCATGAAATGGATGGTCACAGAAGAAGAAGAAGTCAAACTGTAACTTACATATGACAACAATTACTGAGATGATGATCGCCACAAGGGCCCCATCGCTCAGGTCTCCACTTTTGACTTCTTCAGGGGCCAACTCATCACAAAGACGACCTCTCCACCCTGGCGGACACTGACAGACCACGTCTGCTCTATGAATGCTGCAGCTGACATTGTTGAAACAGGGATTGGGCAGACAGCTAGATTTGCACTGATCTCCCACAAGTTTATATCCTGACTCACATCTGAAAATGGTGCAACAAGAAAAAAATTATTTATTGTCAAAAGAGTTCAGTTGAGTCGAGTTGAGTTAAGAAATGACATCACAGCACTCGAGGCATTCCTATGCATGCTCCGTCCTCATCTTCAGCAGCCAGCTCATAGTTCCAATACAAATGGTAGGGTTGTAATCTGGTTATATGTCTGTCTTGTCTTTCCTCTGAGTGAAGTGAGCTGGTCAGACCCTCTAGTTACAACAAGGTGCATCATTCTCTCTAGGCCTTAATAATCTTCTTTCTCTTCTGACTTCGTTACAGGTTTATTGTCATCAGAACAATGATAAAACATCCGGATTTCAGTCCCTTCTAGCACATATTGACAAGTATGTAATCCAAAACATACTGCACATTCTATACATGCTCCGTCCTCATCTTCAGCAGCTAGCTCATAGTTCCAATACCAATGGTAGGGTTGTAATCTGGTTATATGTCTGTCTTGTCTTTCCTCTGAGTGAAGTGAGCTGGTCAGACCCTCTAGTTACACCAAGGTGCATCATTCTCTCTAGGCCTTAATAATCTTCTTTCTCTTCTGACTTCATTACAGGTTTATTGTCATCAGAACAATGATAAAACATCCGGATTTCAGTCCCTTCTAGCACATATTGACAAGGATGTAATCCAAAATATACTGCACATTCTAATAAATTAGTCTAAGTCAAATTTTTTAGGGGGGGGGGGGGGGGGGGGGGGGGGGGGGGGGGGGGGGGCAGCCATTTAAAAAAAAATGTTTGTTTAGTCAATATATGAGCCATAAAACATAAATTTATAATAATTATTTTCAAAATCTTATATTTATTCTTTCTTCTTCTTCCCTTTGTTGAAGCACAGACTCTCGACCAACTCACGAGAAGTCTTCTCATCATTTATTATCACAGGCAGCTCATCTCATGATACCCCCTCCTCCCCATCCTTTTCACTTCGCTCTCTAGTTCTCTTCTCCATATGGATTTTTTTGGGGTGGTCAGCCTTTATTTCTACAACACTGTCAGCAGAAGAAATATGGTATTGCCTGCTTTTACTGTGTATTTGAGAGATCCTATTTCATGCCAGTGACATACTGAAAATATAATGGCAGACCAATGTTTAAAAAAAAAAAAAAAAAAAAAAAAAAAACTGGCATTCAATGGGTGATAGGATTACAATAATGCCAGCCTCTTTTACTTCTCAGGACATTACCTGAGTCCACCTATGAGCCATAAATAATTTTTTTTTTAAATCTGCCTTGATGCAGATTTAAACCCACATTCTCCGAGCCAGAAGGTTAGCGCCCAGCCACTACGTTACTGACACTCCCTGCTGTAGCACTGTAAAGATAAAAAAATACCATAGTACTTACATACAATCAAAATGCTCCCATAGCGGTACACAAATTCTGTTGACAGCACAAACACCTGGCAGACAGTTTTCTCTTGTACATCCTTCCTTGATGTTTTGGTTTTCTTCTACTTCTGCTAAAGTGTCTGGGTCCTCGTTTTCAGCTTCGGTCATAGCAAAGTAGCCACCATTTACCCGCACATCTTGAATACAAGCTGGCAAGTGAGAAAAGGAAAGGACATTGGAATATCCGCTCTGCTAGCAAACCATATGGAAAACAGAATACATTAAAAAATTATCTCAAACCTTATGGAAAACAGAATACATTAAAAAATTATCTCCAACCATATGGAAAACAGAATACATTAAAAAATTATCTCAAACCTTATGGAAAACAGAATACATTAAAAAATTATCTCAAACCTTATGGAAAACAGAATACATAAAAAAAAATATCCCCGTGTGGGTTCCGGGGAAAAATTATAGGTAAAACAAGAATAGACCCACTGCCTACCCAAAAGCGTGTCGTAAGAGTCGACTAATTGGAAGCTTCCTTCAAAGTCGGAGTGCATCTGCCTGAGAGGCAAGGAACCAGCAGTGTGCACACACATGAGTCAGATCTGTAAAACGGATGCACACGCAACACTCAAGTTTTGGAACAGGACTGCAGTCCAGAAGTAGATGAACAACCAGAACCTTCTGCCAGAGTTTACAGCTGGTGACCGCAAAGAAGAAGAAGAAGATTAAAAAATTATCTTAAACCAAATGGAAAACAGACTACATTAAAAAATTATCTCAAACCATATGGAAAACAGAATACATTAAAAAAAATTATCTCAAACCATATGGAAAACAGAATACATTAAAAAATTATTTCAAACCATATGGAAAACAGAATACATAAAAAAATTATCTCAAACCATATGGAAAACAGAATACATTAAAAAATTATCTCAAACCATATGGAAAACAGAATACATAAAAAAATTATCTCAAACCATATGGAAAACAGAATACATTAAAAAATCTCAAACCATATGGAAAACAGAATACATAAAAAAAATTATCTCAAACCATATGGAAAACAGAATACATTAAAAAAATTATCTTAAACCATATGGAAAACAGAATACATAAAAAAATTATCTCAAACCATATGGAAAACAGAATACATAAAAAAATTATCTCAAACCATATGGAAAACAGAATACATTTAAAAAAATTATCTTAAAGAAAAAAAAAACCCTGCAAGAGTTAAGTTTGTTGCGAGTCATGAAACAGAAACTTGACTTTGTGTTCCATGACCTTCTTAAGCACAGGCAAGCCTCCAGCTGCTACACCAAGGCGGCTCACCCACCTGGATAGGGTGAGACCAAAACATTGACCCGATCCATAATTCTGGTGATCATGTGGGATGGTGAACCATGACCACCTATACTTACTGGCATGGTACCTGAAGATCTAAGAACCTGTTATTTATCATTATTATTGTCAATTTCCACTTTTGCCGTTAGGTGTCACTGGAAGGAACAGTTTTGCAAACCACTGCTTGACGGGTAGCATTGGCTATTGTAATTCCGTGCTGATGTTAAAGGTCTTTAATGTCATTGATCCATTCTCTCCTAGGGCAACCTCTTCCTTTCAAATGAGGTCTTGACATATGTAGCGCCTGTGTTGGTAGGTGCTCTGGCTGCATTCTGACAAGAGGACCAAACCATCTGATCTTCTGTTTCTCATTTAATTTGGCATATGCTGTTGTTCCCACAGTCTGTCTGATAGTATCATTTCTCACTCTGTCTCGGATGCGCCACATTATTTAACTATGAAAAGAAATAAAATCAATCAATCAAGCACTGCCTCCAAAATGAAGGTTGGTTGGCTGTCTGTGGATCTTCAACACGTTCTAACTTTTGCCCTGGACATACACTCTCTTCTCTCAGACTGCTGTCTGTTCATCTATTGATGTTATCCTCCCACTTGTATTACTGTTTACCAAAAACAAAAAATAATAATAAATAACACTTACTTCCTTTGAAGTCGAAGTACATCTGCCTATAAGGCCAGGAACCAAGAGTCTGCACACAAATGAGCCAGATCTGTGAAACGAATAACGTGCACTGAACACCCAGATACTGGGACAAGACTGAAGTCCGGAGGCAGACTTTCCACCAGTTTACAGCTGGTGAACATGAAGAAGAAAGAGAAGAACACTTACTGTTGATAAGGTCATCGGTAAGAACTGAGGACAGGCCAATTCCCTGCTTATAGGCGCCAGAATACACTCGTCTGTCGACAACAAACACATCCCGCTCTTTATCACCGACAGACTTGAGTGTGTGGTTGTAATTTCTGCCCTCGCCTCCGTCCAAATAAAGATGGAACTCATGCCCATACCGCTCCATTCTCAAGAGATGCCACTGCCCATTGTTGGCCTGGGCGTAGGTTAAGTCCAGGAACTTGTCACCATCTCCCATGTTGTAGATTAATCTAACTTTACCATTATTGAGCTGCAATGATAGACATAGGAAACAAGTACAGTGGTACCTTAGTGGAACAAACAAAATCCTATTGTTATTGACATATTGTAAACAGGGACTGAGTTGTATAAAATAATTAGAACACTTCCTAATATTAAAATACATTCTATAAAAGCAATTAGAAAAAATTAAGGAAAATGTAACCTCACTTTACCTTCGCGAGAGGAGTCGAGTGCCAACCAGGATGGTGCTGAGAAAGGAGGAGGAGGAGGAGGAGGTGGAGGAGGAGATGTCACTGATTGGAAGGAGTGTCCCTTTCTCATAAAACTTCTGTCTTTTCTTCCCCCTTCTTGAACCTCTTTAAGTGTCACCATGTCTGAATTTTGCTAAAAATCTGTCCAAAGAGCTTTGCTTCTGCCTTCAGATCAGGATGTTTCAGAAATGTGACACCGTCTGGTCATTACAGCTTGTTTGAGCTTTAGTTAGTTAGTCAGTTAGTTAGTTGGGTTATCATCATTGCACTCCGGACATGTCCATAGGTGCTCAGATCCTCCCCTCAGTATGAATCCCAACGTCCGATGGCTAATAGTACCAGTTCTATGTTGATTAACAAGTCTTCTGACGTGTCCGGTGTGCGTCTCGTTTTTTGCTGTGCCGATCTTAATTCCCAAGTCTGCCATTCTGGAGAGTGATGTGTGTTCACTGCCAACAAAGTCCTCTAACCTTCCCATTTCTCCGAGGGCATTGATAATATCAGCATGATCCATAGGCAGACCATCGGTAGTGATAGCGGATCCAGCCAACCTGTCAGCTCTTTCATTTCCATCGACGCCTGCGTGTCCCGGAACAAAAATAAAGGTGACTCCTCGCACAGTGGACTTCTGAATTGATTCAAGCCATTGTCTTCGCACTGAACCTGCCTGAACCCTCCGGATCATACTCATTGAATCACTGAGTATACATATGCGGGTGTATTTTTGTGTTTCAAGCCAGGCAAACGCTTGCGTCACTGCCATCACCTCCATCGTCATGCTGCTGGTTGTCATGGAGAAGGCGCCGTTGGCTTCTTTGACTGTTCTGCCCGCTGAGCGTGCTGTAAATGCCCATGCGCTTCTTCTTTGGCGTATAACGGATCCGTCTGTATAGATTAGTGCATCTGCTTCGTCTGAATTTTCACCGATGAGAGCGTTGACCTCTGCATTAACAGCAACAGAATTCTCTTCTCTACATCGCCTGTTGAGTGTGACAATACAGGAAAATGTACAAATAAACGCCTGAGGCACAGGTATCCATTCTGCACCAGGTATGATGTCGGTTAGGCTGCATATTTGCCTAATAACATCTTCTGCCCGACCTAGCCACGATTTTCCCCTCTTCAGTCTGTCGCCCTTTTCACTAAAAAGCGCTTGATGCAGTGGGTGTTTCTTATCAGCACATATTTTGAGGTATGCCCGAGCCCTCCACATCCTGATCCTTTGGTTCATTGTTGGAAAGTCAAGTAGATACCTCATTGCTCCACAGGATGTGTCTCTTGTACATCCCAAAATAATGCGCATGGCTTCATTTTGCACCTTCTCGAGTTGTTTGAGCTTTGTTGAGGTGGAGCCTACTTCTCTGAAAAGTTACTGACATACATCCATTCTGAACACATTTCTTTGATTAATGAAAAGGGTAAACAAGGATAGCATGCAGTGTCGTGACCCATTTTGACTCAGACATGTTCCAGCAACAATAAAATTCATATTGAAGTGCTCGAAATGATGAAGAACAAGAAGTAGAAGATGCCCCTTATTTATTTATTGCAACTACTGCGGTTAGAAATGTAAATGTGATGTGAGCATATTCCAGTGCTGGTATTTCATTTTTAGCTGTTGTTGATAATGTTTAACTTGTTAACAGTTTAATGTATGAAAGGAGAAAGATTAGAATGGCAGAATGTTATATGAACCGGCATGCTCAATTCTGAACCCTATGAAAATAAGGTTTGTTTGTTCATGTTAGCAGGATGTAGGTCTCTCTCCCCCCTCCCCCAATGGGACCCCAGAAACTACACAGAACCGGAACTGAAAAAGTTAAAATCACTTTAGGCCAACTGCTATGACAGTTAAAAAAATAAAGGCAGATGCCAAATGTTAGTTACCAGTAGTCGAATATGATGAGTCGACTCCGAGGACAGTTAAAGAAATAAAGGCAGATGCCAAATGTTAGTTACCAGTAGTCGAATATGATGAGTCGACTCCGAGGACAGTTAAAAAAATAAAGGCAGATGCCAAATGTTAGTTACCAGTAGTCGAATATGATGAGTCGACTCCGAGGAGGCAGAATCAGTGAAATCCATCAAAATACCAGTGTACTGTCGTGTACGGAACATCAGCTGCACACTTAGCTCTCGGTTGCGTGTCATCAATACACTGTTGAAGAGCTTCATTTTCATCTTCCATAAGTAGTAGCTGTTCTTGTCAAAGTCTTTCACCGTGGCAGCTGTCAATGGGGAAATTATCATTTGATGGGACACGTACATGCATGCATATGAAAAAACCATGCTTACACGTATGCTCTCTCCCTCTCTGTCTTCCTCTCTCTCTCTCACACACACACACACAGAGGCTCACATACACACACACAGACAGGCTTTCTCTCTCTCTCTCACTCACTCACTCTCTCTCTCTCACACACACACACACACACACAGGCTCACATAGATACACACAGACAGGCTCTCTCACTCTCTTTCACTCCCTCACTCACTCTCTCACACACACACACACACAGGCTCACATAGATACACACAGACAGGCTTTCTCTCTCTCTCTCACTCCCTCCCTCACTCACTCACACACACTCTCTCTCTCTCACTCACTCACTCACACACACTCTCTCTCTCTCTCACTCACTCCCTCACACACACTCTCTCTCTCTCTCACTCCCTCCCTCACTCACTCACACACACTCTCTCTCTCTCACTCACTCACTCACACACACACTCTCTCTCTCTCACTCACTCCCTCACACACACTCTCTCTCTCTCTCACTCCCTCCCTCACTCACTCACACACACTCTCTCTCTCTCACTCACTCACTCACACGCACTTATGCAGGCACGCACGCTCTTGCTGCAGGCATAGTTGGGCTAATTGTCCCTACGTGGAACCATTTAAGTCTTTGTTTCTCTATTAAACTATGTGTACTGTCCCAATAGTTCTTCCAATCTCCTCATTTCCCTTCTCGTTTTTTCGCAGTCTTCCTCAAACATCTCATGTCACCAGGTGTTTAGTTTACTCTCATATTCACTGGTTAATGTTCAATGACCAAATCTTACACTGGTTAACTTAAAGCTGATACAATGATAGCCTTTATAATCTGAGTTTTAATACCCAATATGGCCGACTCACGTTTATTGCACTGGGAGCCATACCACATGGGTTTACACTTGCACCTGTACTGCTGGTCCAACGAAGCCTCGCAGACTCCATGTAGCCCACAGTACGAAGACTGCAACGTCTTCCCACAAACTTTATCTTCTGGAGGACACCCGTTTTCTCCTGTTTTCGATCCCAGCATTGGTTTGAAGAAGAGGTTGTACATCTGTCAACAGAGTCATTATGCAGTAAAATGTACTATGTAAACAGTATTCATTCAATTGATTGTACATATGTAAATAATCACTAAAGGGATTGGAATTTATAAAAACCCATCAATAAACTGACTGTACATTTGTAAACAATCATCAATCAGTAAACTACTTCTGTGTGCTGACAGATACAGAACAGTTGAAGAAGAGGTTGTACATCTGTCAACAGAGTCATTATTCAGTAAAATGTACTATGTAAACAGTATTCAATCAATTAATTTTTACATATGTAAATAATCACTAAAGGGATTGGAATTTATAAAAAGCCATCAATAAACTGACTGTACATTTGTAAACAATCATCAATCAGTAGACTACTTCTGTGTGCTGACAGATACAGAACAGTTGAAGAAGAGGTTGTACATCTGTCAACAGAGTCATTATTCAGTAAAATGTACTATGTAAACAGTATTCAATCAATTGATTGTACATATGTAAATAATCACTAAAGGGATTGGAATTTATAAAAAGCCATCAATAAACTGACTGTACATTTGTAAACAATCATCAATCAGTAGACTACTTCTGTGTGCTGACAGATACAGAACAGTTGAAGAAGAGGTTGTACATCTGTCAACAGAGTCATTATGCAGTAAAATGTACTATGTAAACAGTATTCATTCAATTGATTGTACATATGTAAATAATCACTAAAGGGATTGGAATTTATAAAAACCCATCAATAAACTGACTGTACATTTGTAAACAATCATCAATCAGTAAACTACTTCTGTGTGCTGACAGATACAGAACAGTTGAAGAAGAGGTTGTACATCTGTCAACAGAGTCATTATGCAGTAAAATGTACTATGTAAACAGTATTCATTCAATTGATTGTACATATGTAAATAATCACTAAAGGGATTGGAATTTATAAAAACCCATCATTAAACTGACTGTACATTTGTAAACAATCATCAATCAGTAAACTACTTCTGTGTGCTGACAGATACAGAACAGTTGAAGAAGAGGTTGTACATCTGTCAACAGAGTCATTATGCAGTAAAATGTACTATGTAAACAGTATTCAATCAATTGATTGAACATATGTAAATAATCACTAAAGGGATTGGAATTTATAAAAAGCCATCAGTAAATTGACTGTACATTTGTAAACAATCATCAATCAGTAAACTACTTCTGTGTGCTGACAGATACAGAACAGTTGAAGAAGAGGTTGTACATCTGTCAACAGAGTCATTATGCAGTAAAATGTACTATGTAAACAGTATTCAATCAATTGATTATACATATGTAAATAATCACTAAAGGGATTGGAATTTATAAAAACCCATCATTAAACTGACTGTACATTTGTAAACAATCATCAATCAGTAAACTACTTCTGTGTGCTGACAGATACAGAACAGTTGAAGAAGAGGTTGTACATCTGTCAACAGAGTCATTATTCAGTAAAATTTACTATGTAAACAGTATTCATTTAATTGATTGTACATATGTAAATAATCACTAAAGGGATTGGAATTTATAAAAAGCCATCAATAAATTGACTGTACATTTGTAAACAATCATCCAACAGTAGAGGACTGCTGTGTGCTGACAGATACACAACAGCACCAATAGTGACCTCGGACATTAACACACCAAGAAAAATGTGATGATGAATGTGCATTGTTTTGCTGACAATCAAAAACAAAAACAGAATAGATGAGATTCTGATCCTGAAGTGTTAGGACTGTGGTTCTTAACCTACCTAATGTCGCGACCCTTTAATAAAGTTCCTCACGACCCCCAAACATATAATTATTTTAGTTATTACTTCATAAATTCAATGAACATGTGTTTTTCAATGATCTTAGGCGACCCCTGTGAAAGGGTTGTTTGACCTAAAAAAAAAAAAAGGTCTTGATCCAAGTTGAAAACCGCTTTGTTAGGTCTGACATAGTTGTTCCCACCCAGGATTGTGGGCCATTCTCCCTGGTGGACTGCCGTAACTATATTGGAAGGGGGGGGGGGGGGGGGGGGTGTTCTCAGTGGTGAAGTGGCCAAACCGCTTGCCTCACGCTCTGAAGATCATGGGTTCAGTTCACGATGGCGCTGTTCAGTTCATGGATGCAATTTTTATAGAGAGGGGGATCTTCACTGGAGCTACAAATGTCATGCTCTGTGCGACACTCTCAGCAGGCAGCTAGCATGGGATGAAACCCTGTGCAATGAAATCAAACCTCTCACCTTTTTCATACTATATCCTGCTGCTGGCTTCAGAACTGGTCTTGTACCGGACTACGCAGTAAAGAATCTGTTGTCTTTAGCTGGTGCTGGTTACTAATTGTGGATGACCAGCATTTATCATCAAGCTACACAGTTACAGAAGGAAATCGTTGCAAGGAGTAACATTGTTGACTAGAGGATGAAGTCAGCGTAGCCAAGGAGTTCTGCCACACTTTTGAGAAGGATACTGTTTCTAAGGTCCAAGTTCTAAGGTCCAGCTGCAGTTCACAGCAAAGAGGACCTGATCATATGTTATTATTATACTTTGCAATAGAAGCAAGTTGTGGAAGGAAAGAGGGTTAAGACAGTTGCCATTTTTTTCAATTACTGAGAGTGCCAAGGTCAGCTTTTCATTGTAAATGCCCGTATTTACCATATTTTGTGGTAGTTTAGGACAGACATGACTTGAGCTCGAGGAGTTAAAGTCACATGATTAGTTCTACGAGAAGATCATTTCTAATATTCAACTGAATATTCAAACCTGCATCCTGTCCCAAAAGATGAGGTATCTTGGCCAAGTTAATCATCATGGTGGCATGGAGACAACGGTGATCGGGGGTACAGTTTCCAAAAAACAACGCAGAGGCAGACTTCTGTGAAGGTGGATACAAGATACTCAAGATGCACTGGCTACGAAAGCACACAGGGCTGGAGAATTGGCTGGAGAAAAAGAGATTTTCAGGTATGCCATGATGAAAGCAACATTCTGTAAAGGGCCTCGTGATTAACAATTCAAAACTGGGTCTCCTAAATGATAGCCAATCCGCATTCTTTCTGACTGAAGCTGAAGTCGGAGCCAACCAGCCAGGAGTAAAAAAGTAAAGTAAAAATCCTTTATTATGCCTTAGGGGCATCGGGTATATGGGCAGAGCATCCCATATTTTTACAGACCAATCGGCACTGGATGGGTAATGTGGTTAGCATTACGTCGGCTGTCTTTACTTTCCCAGGACAGCCCATCCTGGTACCCATTTTAGGCTGGGTCGACCTGCGACGCCCCATACTACGATGAAAATCCACGCAGCCAGCAGTGGGTTTCGATCGCGGTACGTTGGCTCACGAGTCGGACTCGCAATGCCTAAGACACGGATGCCACAACCAGCCAGGAGGCACAACACAAAAATCAGGATGCAACAAACGCTACAGGAAATATGCCTATATCTGAATATCAAGGAAAAACTTTTGGCCACAAGAAACATCGGTGCAAGCCAAACTTAACGGGTCACTGACTGAATTAAAATAACAGTGTAAGTTTATACTAGAGACAGAATTGCAGATACAGATAATCTATTTCAAGCGAATGAAAGAAGAAGAAGAAGAAGAAGATTCTGACTAAGCAAACCACAACTCTTCTAAACACATGCAATAAAACAGTTGGCTATTATAATGAATCCAGTCTTACCTTTTTGTTATGAACTAAGTTTCTGAGGCAACCAGTAAAACCAGTTATATACCGGCCTCCTAGGTGTCGGAGTCGAGTTGTGGTCCTGATGCCTCCCAGATGTAAATGAGTATTGACGTTCAAGAAAATGTTCTCCCCTGGTGTCTCCTTCTCTACCCGACAGGCTCGATCATCGAGAACATACTGGTTATAATCCACAGCATCATTGCACCTGTCAACTACCATCTCCACCACCTGTGAAGAGATAAGTGATTTGCTTTTTAAACACACATTTGGAGATGAGACAAAAACAATGACCTGATCTGGGATTCCGGTGATCGCGTTAGATGGCAAAATATGACAGTCTATGCTTGCCTGCACGGCACATGATGATAATGATTATCCCCCAGTGGAGCAGAACTAATCTATTCCAAGTCATCATATTTTTTGCCACTGTGTACAACTTATCTCATGTTCTCCCATCCTTTTCATTAATTCTCTTCTCCATGCATTTTTTTTATGGTCTACTTTTCATTTCTATAATTTTTACGTCTTTTTTAGGGGCCGCGTTAGCGCAGTCGATAGCAGACTCGCTTTCAAATCCAGCTGCGACTCACTGCAGCCCACGGCCGGCGTTCAAAACCAGGCGGTTCCCGGGGTTCACCCAGCCTCTAGGCAATGGGTATCAGAGTTAACACTCTGGGGTAAATGAGGAACATCGCTGTAGCTACGGAGTTGTGTGCGGGCAGCGACACAGGCGGACAGTTTCTAATTAGTAGTCCGTACTGGTGGCAGAGCACTTATGATTTATAACTGTGTGCAATGACGCAGGTTCACATCTCCCGACTTTACCTTTACTTTACTTTTAACCCTGTGGGTTTCAGTGCAAGAACATTCTAGTTATCCAGGTCATATTTCATAATTTAATTCTTTCAGTCCCAGAAGGTTTCATAGCAGATGTATGAAAGCAAAAATAACCATTATAATAATAATGAATGTATGGCTATCAGAGAGGCTCAATACAATTAGAAATGACCACTGAAGAAGCCAGATTTCTTCAGCATGCTCCTACCAAATGTAACAAACAGAAAAACCGGTCAGGACCTATCTACACCTAACTGGGAGCCTTGGCAGTGTAGATTAGATCAAACTTTCCTTCAAAATCTGAGTGTAACTGCCTAAGAGGCAAGGAACCTACAGTGTGCACACAAATAAGCAAGTGTGTGTAGTCCTACCCCACCAGGACATCACACAAGTGATAAACACCCGGTGACACAAAGTGCCACCATGCCGATGAGAATCACCTGTGGAGAGGTCCCAGAAACCCCTTTCAGCTGTTATTGCCATATCTATGGTCTAAGCCATATTTATGGCCAGGCTATATTCGGGGCCCCTGGCAGAAGCCAGGGTGGGGCTTCAAATAAAAAAAAACTTCATCCCACATGAGGACGACTCATATGACTATATAAATAAGCAAGATCAGTAAAACTGAAGTCATGGAACAAGGTCAAAGTGCAGAATTGGACAAAGAAAAAATACTGTCAGAGTTTTACAGATGATGGATGAGCAGAGAAAAAGAAGATATGTTGTTTGGGACTTGAAGAATTAAAAAAGGGGCAGACAATAACTCACCTTGCCATGACGGTTAATATCAATTCTGTGCCATCTGCCATCATTGAGGCTCTGCAGCAACTGAGTCCCCCTTGCATCCTTTCCATCAAGAGTAAGAGTTGTTGGCCCTGTCCCATGATCAATGATAAGAACTGGGAAGCCTCCCCTTAGTTCCAGTAAAATAAAATCTTGTGGAGTCTAAAAAATCCAAACAAAGCATGGCTATAAACTCCTTCAGCACCAAAGACAGGTATCTTGGTCATTCCTAGACTTTTCTGAAGACCATGTAAGAATGTGTGAACGAGGAATCAGGCAAAGAGGGACACTTTCTGGCACAGATAGATGAATTTATTAATGATATTTTGAAAACTATATATAAACAAACAATATTTTGAAGACTGTAAACAAATGATATTTTGAAAACTATATACAAACAAATGATAGTTTGCAAACTATATATGAACAAACAATATTTTGAAAACTATATATGAACAAATGATATTTTCAAGACTGTCTGTAATCAAATGATATTTTGGAAACTACAAATGAACAAACAATATTTTGAAGACTATATAGGAACAAATGATATTTTCAAGACTTTTTGTAAAGAACTGCTATTTTGAAAACTATATTAATAAATGCTGATGGAAGGTAGAATGTTAGATGAAACAATATGAGTCTGGTTATGTGAATTTAGAGTTCAGAGTGGATCTGACAAGAAGGATGTATGACTGGAAGCGTACAACATTTCTACAAACAATATGAGTCTGGTTATGTGAATTTGGAGTTCAGAATGGATCTGGCAATAAGGACGTATGACAGGAAGCGTACAACATTTCTACAAACAATATGAGTCTGGTTATGTGAATTTGGAGTTCAGAATGGATCTGGCAATAAGGACGTATGACAGGAAGCATACAACATTTATACAAACAATATGAGTCTGGTTATGTGAATTTGGAGTTCAGAATGGATCTGGCAATAAGGACGTATGACAGGAAGCATACAACATTTATACAAACAATATGAGTCTGGTTATGTGAATTTGGAGTTCAGAATGGATCTGGCAATAAGGACGTATGACAGGAAGCATACAACATTTATACAAACAATATGAGTCTGGTTATGTGAATTTGGAGTTCAGAATGGATCTGGCAAGAAGGACGTATGACAGGAAGCATACAACATTTCTACAAACAATATGCTACTGGAACAGTTAGCCTTGACACCGTAAGAAATTTGCTGTGGGAGAAGGATCAAAAACAAAACGACCTTTCCTGGTTGACCCAGACTAGAATGGATAGCAGGAAATGTCCCGGACAGAGTGAGAGTGTGTGTGTGTGTGTGTGTGTGCGTGCGTGCGCGTGCGTGCGTGTGTGAGAGACAGAGAGACAGAGAGAGAGAGAGAGAGAGAGAGAGAGATACAGAGAGAGAGAGAGAGAGAGAGAGAGAGAGAGAGAGAGAGAGAGAGAGAGAGAGAGAGAGAGAGAGAGAGAGAGAGAGAGAGAGAGAGAGAGAGAGAGAGAGAGAGAGAGAGATGCTGACCATATCACTTATGCAGTTCCACGTAGTCTATAAATGTATGAGCCTAATTTACAGATGCATTAATGTCAAAAAGGGTCCTTTTTAAAAAAAAAAACTTACTGATGACTGTACATGATTTACTTCCATAAAAAAATTATGGTTATAATGGTTTGCCTTGGAATGATTACAATTTGTTAGCCATTTTTTTCTTCTTCTGCATTCATCCTTTAACTCTTTGAGTCGCAAGGAGCGTATCATACGTTCATAGTTTCTTAAGTAGAAGCCCAGCAGTCGCAAGATGCACAGATTTTACGTCTTTCACTACCCCTTGGGCCTGTGAAGCTAAACCCTCTGGGACTCAAAGACTTAAAGGGCGCATGGCACTTTATTTTGTGGTTTACAGCTAGGCTGTGATATCAATGCCTTTTGGTTCAAGACAATCACTTTTTAGCAAAAAGTCCTCATTAGTCACCTTTCAGCTAGCTATCTTCTTCTTCTTCTTCGCATTCACCAGCAGTACACTCTGCCGGAAAGTTCTGGTTGCTCGTCCATTACTGAAGTGCAGTCCTGCTCCAGAACCTGAGTGTTGCGTGTGCTTCAGTTTTACAGATCTCATTCTCTTGAATAGAGACTGTTGGTTCCTTGCCTCTCTGGCAGATGCACCCCGACTTCAAAGGAAGCTCCCCAATTAGTCGACTCTTACGACATGCTTTTGGGGAGGCAGTGGGTCTATTCTTGTTTTCCCCACAATGGGGCCCCGGAACCCACACGGGGGTGCTAGCTATCTAATACACATTAAATTCTGCTAACAACAAAAATCATATAATGATGTACCTCTAAAGGATCAATATTGATCAGAGGTCCATTGTACAAAATGACACCATTCCTCTCACTGGTGAGAAACTCAATGCTGGTCTGGGAATTCTGACACTGCTGCAGAGCCTTGTACATTGCCACACTGTTTCCATCGAAGTGATGGTGAGTCTGCTGGCATCTTGGGCCATCAAAGCCATCATTACACACACAGCTGAAATACATCAAAGTCATCATTACACACACAGCTGAAATACAAAGTCATCATTACACACACAGCTGAAATACAAAGTCATCATTACACACACAGCTGAAATACAAAGTCATCATTACACACACAGCTGAAATACAAAGTCATCATTACACACACAGCTGAAATACATCAAAGCCATCATTACACACACAGCTGAAATACATCAAAGTCATCATTACACACACAGCTGAAATACATCAAAGCCATCATTACACACACAGCTGAAATACATCAAAGCCATCATTACACACACAGCTGAAATACATCAAAGCCATCATTACACACACAGCTAAAATACATCAAAGCCATCATTACACACACAGCTGAAATACATCAAAGCCATCATTACACACACAGCTGAAATACATCAAAGTCATCATTACACACACAGCTGAAATACATCAAAGCCATCATTACACACACAGCTGAAATACACATGAAAGCCATCATTACAAGCACACATGAAATACACATTAAAGCCATCATTACTCACACATATGAAATACACATTAAAGCCAACATTTCTCACATATTTAAAATATATATTAAAGTCATCATTATGCACACAGCTGAAATACATTAAAGTCATCATTACATACACAGCTGAAATACATCAAAGTCATCATTACACACACAGCTGAAATATGCCAAAGTCATGATTAAAGCTGATTTACATCAAAGTCATCATTACACACACACAGCTGAAACATGCCAAAGTCATGATTAAAGCTGATATACAACAAAGTCATTATTATACACACACAGCTGAAATATGTCAAAAACATGATTAAAGCTGATATACATCAAAGTCATCATTACACCCGCATTTGAAATATGCCAAAGTCATGATTAAAGCTGATATACATCAAAGTCATCATTACACCCGCAGTTTAAATATGCCAAAGTCATGTTTAAAGCTGACATACAACAAAGTCATCATTACACACACACAGCTGAAACATGCCAAAGTCATGATAAAGCTGATATACATCAAAGTCATCATTACACCCGCAGTTGAAATATGCCAAAGTCATGATTAAAGCTGACATACATCAAAGTCATCATTACACACACACAGCTGAAATATGCCAAAGTCATTAAAGCTGACATACATCAAAGTCATCATTACACCCGCAGCTGAAATATACTAAAGCCATTAATACAGCCAAAATACTTCATAGAGGCTGTGAACTACAGCCATCAATTGAAATCTTTGTTAGATCTTCTTTTGTCCATATCTGCTTATGCCGCCAGGTGTCGCAGTTCATCAGACGATCGGCAGCGGAGCCAGGGCGCGCTCAGTCACTTGATATGCCGAGATGTTATGCAGTTTCAAAGTGTCAGTGACTTCTTCAATCCATCTTCTTCTCAGTCTTCCCCTGCGTCTTGATAATTCGATTTTCAGGTTGTACGCTCTTGCTACTGGCATCGTTGGTTTAATTCACATTAGACGGCCAAATCAATTCATTCTCTATTTCTCAATTTTCTTAGATAGGAGAGGTAAAAAGAATTGATGATGATGATGACAATGTATACAGCAAACAACCAGTGAAACACAACAGTGCACTTACGAAAGCATGCCCCAGTGATCTTTTCTACAAGTGCCGCCATTGTAGCAATAGTCGCCTGTGCAATCATTACTTAATGGAAACATGTCTGCCTCACATCCTTCAGCCGCCACAACGTAGGCCTCAACACCCACAAAGCTGGTTCCATTTGCATTAACAGTCACTGGTTTGCCAGTGACTTCAAGCTGATTGTAACATCCACCTTCAAACACCTCATCTTGGCACTCATCAATAGGAATTACCATTATTTTAATGCCCATGTTCTCAAACTGTGGATGATAAATATAAGACACAATCATTCAAAGGATTCATTTAATTTAGGATTTTAATGTTCCCTTGAAGACAGACAACACACACTACAAATTAACAGGGAACAGCAGTAAAGAAAAGGAGTGTTTTCCCTTGTCTTCAGGCTTATGCGGTATATAGGGCTAGAAATACATTTTATAGACCAGTCAGCAATCAGTGGGTAATGTGTCACCATGATGAGGACCACCTTTACTTCCCACGACTTTACTTGGTATCCATTTAAGGCGGGGTCGACCTGAGAGCCAAAGTCATTTTCTTTAAAATGTCCGGCTCTGGTCAGATTTGAACTCATGACCTTCAGATGCGCATGCAAGCATCTAGTTGCTACACCATGACAGCTGCCTGGAGAGCAGTAATACAGTGGGTAAATGCTTGTGGATTTGAATCCAGACTGGGTCAGGTTTTGCTTATTAACATTGGCTCCCAGGTCAACTCAACCAAAAAATAAAATTCTAGAAATTAAAGATTGCCAGCATGATGCAGAACACGTCACAGCCTTTTCCACTAACCAAATCAAATGCCTTGGTGAGATCAATTAAGGCAACATGCAGTGCTTGATTTTGTTCACGGCATTTTTTCTGCAACTGTCGTAATGAAAATATCATATCAGTGATAGACCAGTTCCCACGAAAGCCACACTGTGACTCTGGGTAAATCTGGTCTCCTAGGACCTGGAGTCTTAACAGAACAATTCTAGCAAGTACTTTTACAACAATACACAGCAGTGATATTCCCCTGTAGTTATTGCAGTCACTTCGATCACCCTTGTTCTTGTACATGGTTATGATGCCTGCGTCTTTGAAGTCTTGTGGAACCTGTCCCTCTCGCCAGCAGAGTGTTATTAGTTGATGAATGTTTTGGGGTTATAATGTCGTTCCCACTCTTGATGATCTCAATAGGAATTCCATCTCTGCTGGGGCTTTCCCTGAAGCCAGTTCATCAACAGCATTGCTAACTTCTACAACTGTTGGAAATGTGTCCAAATAGTCAAGAGTTGGTAGCGTCTTCATGGCATTAAGAGCACAACATCAGTTAGTTTCATATCAACTGAATACAGCTCCAGATAATGTTCTACCCATCTATCTAGCCACTTCTTTATGTCATTAATAATCTCCCCATTCAAACTCTTTAGCGGTGCACTTTAAAAAAAAAATAGTTGTGCCGATGGCCTTCTTTATCCTCTCATAAATGCCTTTAACATTACCACTTCTACTAGCATTTTGAATGCTTTACCATAACTGGATCCAGCAGTTGTTGGCGCATTGTCTAGCTACCTTTTGCAAATAATTTCTAGCTGCTCTCAGTGAGGGTGTTCCTTGTTGTTCTTGCCTTGTTTCTGAGGAGTATTAACTTTTTTGCTGCCAATTAATTGTTTGAGTGTCTGGCTATTTGCTTCTTAGCCGTTCTTACTTCTATGTTCTCTAAACCTAAAGACTGATGCAGCTGTTTTTAAGACATTCTGCTTAATTGCATCCCACTTTAGGCTTGCTGTAGAGTTGTCCTGGATATCAGTGAAAGCATCTTCGAGCTGTTGTTGGAACTCAAAACATTTTCAGGGTCTTAAGTTTTGGAAATATTTAACCTGGGGATATATTTGTTTTTTTTTAAAGCGAAAATTCTTTTTGGTTTCATCCAAACTTTTGCAGCAACTAGGGAATGGTCAGTATCACATTTAGCACTGTGGTAGCTGCGAGTTAGTGATACTTAGTTCAAGTGCTGCCTCCTTGTGAGAATAAGGTCCAACCGGTGCCAGTGGCCAGATCATATTTGACTAATCTCAGTGTTAAATTATATTTAATTATTCTTATACTAAATAATTTTTCTTGTGTATATCTACATCTCCAAAGACTCAGTACATTATAACATAGACACACTGCCTCTTAACAAGCATGTCACAAAAGATAATTAATAAGGGTTTGCTGCAACTAGATATGTTGGGCTGAAAAGCATAGATACTGTAGCCTAGGTATAAACAAAAACAGAATATGCTAACTCCTCTTGAATGGCCGGAAGATGAAGTAGAGGAAGAAAAAGAAGAAGTAGGAGAAGAAGAAGAAGGAGGATGAAGAGGAGAGGAGAAGGAGGAGGAGGAAGAAGAAGTATAACAACATAAATTTAAAAACAAAAACAAAAAAACTCACATCTAGAAGGTTTAGGATGATGGCATTATCCACCTGTGCTGGAGATAAATATGGAGAAGCATGAGCTGCATACCTCACCTCAAGGTAGTCAGTCTTACTTAACAAAGTGACAATCTCCACACTGTCAATGTTAGAGAAGCCGAGCTTCTGAGCTATGAGAAATCTGAACCTTGTGTATAGACTTTCACCTCTTTTCCCTGTGCGAGGATCTTTGGGCTCCAGAATAAACTTTTCTGCTGTCATTCCTGTTGACAAAACAAGATTTAATTTAAAAAAAAAAAGCCCCAAAAAATGTATAATATAAATAATAATACTTTTCCTGAACTCAACACTGTTGACCAGCTCAACTCTTCCCATTCACGAATGTTGAAATGATAATCATTATCTTCTGTGGCATCCTTTATAGGCGGTTGCAGAACCCCAGGATTTTTTGGGCTGTCTGGTTTTACTAGGTAATGTTACATTCAGTAGTTTGCTGTTGCTCTGTGAACTGTCAGTGTTGATACTATTCTCAAAATCGAGACGAAGGGATCTGCTGCCAAACCACCTGGAATTGAACTGAATACCTCGGAATCAGGAGGCTGGTTTAGTGCCTAAGCCACAGACACCGAACATATCATGAATTATCACAGCTGCCATTATCCTCCCAACTCGCTGCTACCCATCTCATGTTGACCACATAATCCAGTGAGTGCCAACTGGTCTAAAAATATTAGTCTAGCACCGATGATGTGATACAGATCCCTTAATTACTTTCACAGTAAAGCCGAATAGGGCACAAGCTGAGAAAAATGGTTTATAATATATATAGATGGATCTCTATCTTGAATCCACAGACAAAAACAACAAAAAAAGACCAAAAAACAAAGTGAAATACACATGGACAGAGCAAATATTATCAATGCTGTAAGGACTAGTCTGATGGTAACGTGACAATGTGACCTGGGAGTAAAACCAGACAAAGCATATGCATGCCATTTTCAAGTTCAATATTGGAGACATTATAACGAACTTCCCTCGGGGAACAATCAGCAGAAGTACCCTGAGATCACTGATGCATCAGAGGTTTTGAGCATGCATGGGAATGCCCAATGTGCAGAGATGTTGATTGTTATATAATGTAATAATATTGCATAGAGAAGACAGACACAGAGATGGGTAAAATGGAAGGAACTACAAAAACTGTCTTTGCTGTTTACCCCTTTCATCATAACATGTTGCGACATAAATGAAATGTTTACGTACTATGCCAGGCATAACGAGGAAAGATCGACTTAGGAATGATGATATCAGGAGGAGAGTCGGCATGGAATCAATACTGAGTAGACAATAAATCAAATGGTTTGGCCATGTAACAAGATTGGAATCAGACAGGGCACCACAGAGAGTAATGTTATATAGATACAATGGTTAAAGAGCCAGAGGTTGACCACACAGAAGATGGACTGCAAAAATATCAAAGACAATAAGAAGTACTTTAACGAAATAAACAAAAGGGCCCATTCCAGAGATCTCTTCCTGCCCTGACACCGCGAGGCCTTCCAGCAGAGAAGAGAAAAAGAATAAGATCATATCGAACCAAACAAAAATTAGAACTAATCGGCTTCCCTTTATCATCATCACAAACAAGAAGTAGAGGTTGTGGCTACAAAGCCTTCATCCGCACATAACATGAGTAGACAATGCTACATTTACAAACAAGAATACGCAAAAATCACTTGATCTCTTCAAGAAACATTCACATGTCTGTCTGGCTCTAAGGCACATGTGAAAACTGGAAATGAATATCACTGTTACCACTTTTAGAACTATGTAGGACAGAAGGTTTATCAGTCTGAGGATTTAAAGCTGTATAGCGCAGTCGCCCCAACCTGTGCAAATCAGAATGTGTATTTTTTACCTTGACAGAACAAATCTCCAATTCTTAGTGAGGATTGAACCTGGTCCCCTGCATGAGAGCCCAGTGTTCTAACTATCTGGCCAGTATTACAAACAACAGAAAACAACAGCAGGATTTAGTATGAGATAACAGATAGCCTATGCTCCACTGGAAGCTAAAAGGCAGAAGACGTTAGCCTTTAAGTGTGAAAGAGTGAACAAACCTGCCAGCCTCACTGCCCCAGACTTGAGCACTGCATCTTCAGACAAATCCTTGACCACCACCGAGACCGTGCTGGTGACCGTCTTCTTGATGACCTTGTCACGAACATCCACCTTGAACTCATACGGCTCTCCTCCAAAGTTGGACTTCACTCCTTTCTTCATGGTTATTTCCCCAGTAGCCTCATCAACACTGCATTGTAAATGAGATTTAATCACATTTTATAAACAGCAATGTCAGATACAGAAACGTAACTAATGAAAACAGGAAAGGCAAAATTGGACACAAAAAATATTCTTTTCAATAAATGCGCTATTCTTACCAACTTCGTGCTATCAATGGCAGACATGAACATTGTTAGAAAAACAAATGCAAAATGACAAATGTGAGATGAGACGTATAAGAAATGCAGCAGGGAAAAACACAAGAAGAGACGGTCACCAATGAAGAACTAAGAATAATACTCGGCACAGCACAAGTGAATGATTTCAGAGAACACTCAAAGAATCAAATGGTTTGGTCATCTAGTCAGAATGGAACAATATCAATCAGCAGTTACAGCGTAATACATGAGAACAGCAAGCTACAATTCAAGAGGCTGACCAAGAAATAGATGGGTGGAGGGTGTAAAAGAGAGTAAAGAAATGCAGTATATAAACACAAGCTATACGACTTTCCACCTAAGTCAACTGCTGGGTGAAATCTAGACAAAGAAATAACCTTTCAAAATTACTCTTCCTTGTGTTGGAGCCTGTTAATAATGAAATAAAATTCGTGAACACATTTCCACTCTATTTTCTTGAAAACTGCCTATTAGATTACAATGATTTTTTGCAAGCAGCCTTTGAATTCCAGGATGGAAAAATAGTGCTATTCTTGAGTCCATAGATGCTTAGGATTCTCCTAATCCGCTAATTCCTTTGAACTTTTTTAACCACTGTAAATAAGTAGAATGATAGCATGCATGACAGTTACCACATAACCAATTCAGTCCCAAATGGTCTTAGCATGTGGTTAGCACCAATTACCAAAAGCATGAAAATTTTTTCTGTACTTTATTTATTTGCATACTCCCCATGTATGTTCCGGGACCTCATTTTGGGGGGAAAAAAGAAAAGAAAAGACTCACTGCCTTAGTGATTAGTGATTAGAAAGGATATTATCATCACAGCACTCTGGACAGATCCATAGCTGCTCCGATCTCCTTCTCAAAAGCTCCACTGCCTTACTAACAAGCCTGTCATAAAAGGCGGCTAATTATGTAATTTTCCTCCGAAGTACATGAGTGACAAGGAACCGAAAGTCTACCTACAATACAAGTAAGCCAGAACTGTAAAAGGGACGTGCACATAATCAAATTCTGAAAATGGACACTAAACCAGAACTTTCTGCCGGGGTCTACAGCCGGTCAGTACTAAAAAGAACAGCAGAGGTATAAAACGTGTGATTTCTGCACTTAATTTATGTACTTACGAAAAGAAATTTTTCATATTGGCCGGTGAGGTGAAGGTGAAGGTTTTGTTAGGTAGATCCCAGTCATCTAAATCTTCACAATACACACGGCCGATTACTACAGGTCCAAACTGGCCTGCACAAGCAGAAATGTTCAAAGAGTTTATATGTCTTATCATTAAAATTCTTAAATTTTTAAAATCAAAATATACATAAAGGAATCATTATCATCATCATCAAGAGACTTGCTTCCTTTGAAGTCAGACTGTATCTGCCTGATAGGCAAGGAAACATCAGACAAGCTTAGCTGACTGCTGTTCTGTACAACGGATGCACATGCAGAACTCAGGGGTCCTAGAACAAAGCCGAAGTTCAGAACTGGATAATCAACCAGGACTTTTTGCCAGAGTGTACAGCTGGTGAGCACAAACAAACAGCAGACTTCTTCTTCTTCATGTTCACCAGATTTAACTCTGGCAGAAAGTTTTGGTTGTTCATCCGCCTCTGAACTTTGGTCTTGTTCCAGAACTAGAGTTTTGTGTGCACATCCATTCTACAGATCTGGTTTATTTGTAAGCAGACTGTTGGTTCCTCACCTCTCAGGCAGATGCACTCCCACTTTGAAGGAAACACCTCTAAGTAGTCAACTTTTATGAGATACTTGCCAGATGCATTTATCTAGTATCTCTTTTACTCCATCCACTCATTTCTGTCTTGGTTGGCCTTTTGCCTGCAGCTTTCTGTTCTCAGCTGCTGGCTGATTGTATTCTGTTTTAACAAGATGACCAAATCATTTGATGATCTAAGAAGTCACTTGCTGGTACTGTGCTGATCATTGTTCTTAGTTCTTCCTTGGTGATTCTGTCTCTTCTAATGCTGACATTTTGTGTGTGTTTAAATGATATAATAGATTCCTTAATCTTGTTATATGGACCCCTGGGTATCTACAGACAACCAAATGGGAAAGGCTGGGTTAACTGCTTAGTCATGGAGACCCGTGCCTTAACACTGAGTTAACTCTTTGAGTCCTAAAAATGCATGACATGTGAATCACTATCTCCTGAATAATATGCTTACTTTTGTATTTGGTCAGAACACACTCAAGAAATGTGGCTTGTCCAATAGTCACTACTATGGCTATATTAATCAGTTAGTTAACTGACAGATTATCTTCCTTGCATATCAGACAAGTCCATAATCCCATCTTCAGTATATCCCTCATGCGTGTGGCAACTGATAACAACAGTTTTGCGTTGGTTTTCTATTTTTCTTTGGCTACCAGTATAATGTTTATGTTTAGCGACACCTATTGTGACCTGACCTGAAGTTCTTGTAGTCTTTTGAGCGTTGCCAGTTCAACATTATCTCCTGAATCATCTTCTCGTCCTGTCCCCTTGAGAGCACTGAGAATGGCTACATTACCACTGTGAAAGTAATTCCCTGATGAATGTTACTTGTGATTATTTCTTCACAACAAGGGAGATGTGGTCAAGGCCCTTTGGGAACAAGCAACGGAATCAGTAAAGAAAGAAGATTATTATGTCCTGGAGAAAAAAAGGCACCTTGGTGTAACCAGAGGGTCTGGCCGGCTCACTACACTCAGAAGAAAAGCAAGATGGACTTTTAACCAGATTGTGACCGGTACCATCAGTATTGGAACTTTGCGCTAGCTGCTGAAGTCGAGGACGGTGCATGCATGGTAATGCCCCGAGCGCTGTGATGTCAATTCTTGACTCAACTCAACTCTATTTCTTCACAGGCATCTCCTACACAACCTTCTTCTGATACCTAAAGCGTTAACTGTATGCTTCTGCTAGTAACAACTCTCATGCACTTTTACCTTTATAGTTGTACACAAAGACATTCTGGTGGCCAGGGTTGTGAGGATTGTCGTTCACATCCCCAATGATGATGGTCAAAGTGTTGGTGCCTGTCTGTGCTTTGGGACTGCCTGTGCCTCGCATATCCCACATGACAATTGGAAGTTCATAGACGCTGTGCTTCTCTCGGTCAAATGTTGAGCTGGTGGTGATGATTGCTGACCCTCTGTCAGAGTCTCCTGCTGTATGTTTGTACAGACAAAATTTATTGGAAATTAACATTAGGACACAAATGTGAACTTGCATTTACTTATGTTTAGTTGAAGGTGAAGGATATTTGTATTTTAGTAAACATTTTCGTACCAACTGGTTATCCTGTGTGTGGGTTTTGGGGCTCCATACTGAGGAAAACAGCGTTAGGGAAAGATATCTTTCGCATGCTCTTTCCAGTGTACTGTATAAGTTGGGATTCATTTCTTTAAGGCTGTTCTTGATGCCATTTTTTTTTTCATTTTTCTGAGTGGTCCTTCCCTTGTTTTGTATCCACTGCATTTCTTTAGCATGGCTCTCTGTGGCAGGGGGTGCCAGGGCAATCTCTGCGATAGGTAAATTATGTCTCTATTGACTTCTTGGGTGCCTAGCTGCCAGTGAATCTTCTGGGAAGGTGCTGAAGACATCACCCATCGAGTGCTAGCTGGTCTCTAACAATGGTTCAAATAACGAAGACGGGCCCAAAAGAGAGCAACTTCCCTTCCCATTCATGCCTGGTTATGTTGCTTAGTGAGCATCTAGCAACACAATGTATTTTATGCGTTGTTGTCATAGGGTGATGGCAGTCATTGGATATAGGCTGCACTATTTCGTGGGATGTAGGCTGAGACTGTGATTGGGGGGAAGGGGGGGGGGGTGGTGTTTGGGTTAGGGCTATTCCTACATGTTTTAGGACAGTTAAAAGCTCTTACATCGTGAAATAGAGAACAATGCATAAAATACGTAATGTTGCTGGCCCGTCACTAAGTGTGACACCCCCCCCCCCCCCCCCTCACCCCTAACATAGGACAGGACCTGTGACACAATGATGCATGCATAGCAAGGGAAGTCACTCTCTTTATGGGCCTGACAACGTTACAAGCACCCTTACAATAATGGCATAGCACCATTTACTAGCTGTGCCCGTGGTGTAAAATAAATATTCAATTTCTTCTTCTTTTCGATCACTCGAGAGATGCAACTGTGTTGTGCCTGTTTACAGCAAAGCTGTGATATTTGGGCATTTCAGCTGATGAATCCAAACTTCACTGGGGCATTTGTTCACCAGGTTAGCCTTCCCGTATACTTTATTTTACTCTTAAGAAAAACAGGTGGAAATGAACTGAAGGTAGTGAAAGTCCTTTTGTATTATCTGGAATGTGTGATAGCCAGTTCACACTTAACCTGGGTTCTTGGAGTATTATTTAAAAAAAAACATTTATAATTTTTGCCATTTCATGTAACTCCTTTTGTGTCTTCCTCATACTATTTATCAATCTAACCCGTATAACTAAGTGTATTTAGATTGCACTGCATTTCTTTCCTCTTGTGAGTTCTGTAGAAAATATATATATATTGTTTGTTTGTTACATATTATTATTAACAGATATTCTCAATAATTTGTCCACTACCAGTGTCTTTTTGCATCTCCTGATCCAATGGAATTTTTAAAGTTACTTCCATAAGCACTGCATTAGTCTTTGTTAACATGAGGCTCAAGCTAAATGATAATTATAGTTAATTAGTACTTGTTTTAGTCATTATCCTTGTTTCTGTTTCATACTATGGCACTGATAAGATGTTGAAGTTAATAATAATCTAAGCTTGGCATCAACTTTAATCTCCCTGGACTTCCAGGAGTTACATATGTAACAGTACTGTATTAATTAATGAATTAAGACATTTACAAAAATCAGCTGTAAACTGAAAATGAAATGACTTACATTCACGGAAAGTTAAGGCAAAATCCTGGCATGCTTGAACATTGCAAGGGTTGGGTAAAGCAAAGCCGAAGGGAGGGCCATACATGGCAGTGTCTTTGTCAATGGCAAAAATCTCAAGGACCTGTTAAAGCGGAATATGAAAATGAGAAAATTCTGGTGTGCATGGGATGCTGTGTTTGGGCACTGCAGGCCAGCAGTGTCTGTGCCGACTAGCTACCCTAAAATGGCTGCTAGCTAATAAATTTGTAAAAAATGTATTTGTCTAAATTTCTTTTATTTTTTTCAAAAACATACAAAGATATATGACAGCAGTAATTGATAAACACGAACAGGGTAAAGCATTACTTGAAATGCATTCTTCGGGGCCTTGAAAAACATATTTTTTGGGTGACTCATACCATGATCTCTACCACTGAGGCTACGGGGAAATGTGATGTCAACTTGCCTTAAAAAAAAGCTATTCTGCACAAAGCACAAATCCCACTCCCCTGTTATTTATAGTTAATGCAGTCACATAATGAACTCTTAAACGTTTGTGAAAACAACCAACAGCTTTAACTGTGCATCTTGCAAACAAGTATGAAAAGTAGACATTTGTGGGGGTATTGGACGTGATAAGAAGTTTTGGTTTTACAGCTACTTGTAGTGAAAGGGTTACAATTTGAGATTACTACTAAAAATTATAATCACTGTTTGTCTGAAAGTATCAAGAGATAGACTGACTAAGTGCATCCAGAAAATGACTACAGGACAATATAATTTCTGCCTACTCATGCACTCTGTCACAATTAGTAGTACTTCTCCTGCCAATTAGCGCTAACAATCCTATCAGAGTTAGCGTTCCTCCTTCTGTCACAATTAGAACTACTACTTCATCACAATTAGTGCTACATTTGTCAGAATTAGTGCTACTCCTACTGTCACAAAAAGAACTATTTCTGCTGCAGTTAGAACCATTCCTTCTGTTACAATTAATGTTACTCCTGTCAGAATCAGTGCTACTTTTAAAACAATTAATGTAACTCCTTCTGGCACTTTTTAGTCCATCAAATTTCACCTCTTCTGTCCCAGTTAATGTAACTTTTCTGTTGTCCCAGTTAATGTAACTTTTCTGTTGTCCCAGTTAATGTAACTTTTCTGTTGTCCCAGTTCATGTAACTTTTCTGTTTTCCCAGTTCATGTAACTTTTCTGTTCCAGTGAATGTCATCTTGTTTATTCCAATGACTAACAATTTTCTGTCAAATTAAGCGACTATCCTGTCATAATTATTCATTTATTATACCCCAATTAATATCACCAATGTCCCAATTTTTACAATCTTTCAGCCTAAATAATGCACCCCCTCATCAAAGATAGCTACTGCTTTAATCTCCATTTATTCCAGACAGTCATTAATTTAACTTCTTCTGATTTTGATGTGAAGACACAGTATTTTTCTGAGAAAATAAAAGTAAAGAAAACAAATGCGGAGGGCAAGAGGTAAAAAAGGTAAAGTCGGAAGATGTGAACCAGCGTCATTGCACACGGTTATAAACCAGTACAGACAGACAGCTGATAAGAAACTTTCCGCCTGTGTCGCTGTCCGCACACAACCGCAGATACAGCGACATTCCTTCACTTACCCTTGAGTGTTAACTCTGGTACCCAAAACACCGGCCGTGGGCTGCAGCGAGTGGCAGCTGGATTTGAATGCGAGCCTCCTATCGACTGCGCTAATGGGCAAACTTACCGTTAATGGAAAAGGCACATCATTGTGTCCTGGCTTCACATTTTCATACACAACAGGTCTATAGTGATCCTTGAATACTGGAAAGTTATCATTGACATCAGACACAGTAACATCCAGATAGGCAGTTCCAGTCTGCCTTGGGTCTCCTGCTCAACAGAGAAATATGACATGTTGGTTCCTGCTTGGTCAGTTTGTGGAGTTCAAAACTGGGGGTAAATACAAGCCTTTACCCATCAGTGTAAATGATTTCTTCTTCTTCTCATTAATATTCCCTGGCTATAAAAGCTGGTGCAAAGTTCTGGTTGTTCACGACTTTGGGCTTGTTCCAGAGCTTGAGTTTTGTATGCACATCTGTTTTACAGATCTGGGTTATTTGTATTCAGACTGCTGGTTCCTTGTTTCTCAGGCAGATGTACTTTGACTTCAAAAGGAAGCATCCCTAGTTAGTCGCCTTTTATGACATGCCTGTTGGGGATGGGGGGGGGGGGGGCAGCGATCTATTCCCCCCCTTCCCATATATGGGGCAGTTGAACCTACACAAGGACTGTAAGAGATACTAACTCTTTCAGTATCATATGGCTGTATGTATAATGCGTTTGTGGAGATTCCCGTACAGCAAGAAATATACATTTCTAGATGCATGAATTGGCTTCTCCATAAAAAGGAACCTTTATTTATCACCTTGTCATACATGAAGTCTTAAAATAAATTTCTTGAAAAAAAAAAAATTTATTAAAAGAAGGAAGGTAAAAGAAAAAAAAAAGTATCATAAAAGTGTACTTAAAGATGAAAGAAGCTACTTCATTGCTTCTTTGAACTTTATCATAGCTCGGCCTCTTTCAGTGGAGAGCTGGCTGCTCATGAGAGCACTGTACAAGTACAATGCACAAATTCTATAGCACCAGCAACAAGCACCAGGGACTTCTTTACTTTAATGTATTCTATCTGAAACAATTGCCAGCATCTTTGTAATTCATAGCACCCAGTTCAATTCTAGCTGCAGACAATTTGGCAGCTGACAATTTTGCATTGATTTTGACTGTGGTACTGAGCCCTGACTGTTCAGAAAGCAATGGCAAAATACTGAATGTAAAACTGCAGAGTAAAACCAAACAGCCAAAACAATGCAGGGGTTTTGCAGCATCCTGTAAAGCAAGGCTATTTAATTGTTTAATCTGGGGGCCAAACTTTTGAAAATGGGGATCGCCACTGGGCAGAGGCCGGAGCCCCAGAAAGATAAACAAGATCATTGAAAAAATACACATGGCAATGTTCCGCGGGCCATACGTTAGGTCTCTGTAAAGGCTAGATGTTCACCTGTGGATTGGAAGGTCATGAGTTCCAAATCGGCATAGACCTGGACTGTTTTTTTTAAAAATGACCTTGCCCCCCCCCGGGTCGAGCCAGCCTTAAATGAGTCCCAGGTAAAAGTCCAGAGAGGTAAAGGTGGCCGGCATGATGATGATGATGATCACATCACTCACCAAATGCCAACTGGTCTATAAAATATGGGTCTAGCCCTATAACCCCAACATGCCTGAAGGCATGGGAAAAAGGTCCTTAACAGAAAGCTAGTACATATTTAGAGTTCCGACCCGCCTAAAAATTTGTAACTTTTAAACATTCTTTACTATCATATTTTGATTTAAATTTTAGACATAAAATATTGTGGTGTTACCTTTATCTACAGCCTTAATCCGAACTGTCACCTTGGGTTCAATCTCTCGATCAAGCTTCTTGCGCGTGGTTACTACTCCAGTTTCTGGATCGATAACAAAATCACGCCGTGGGTCTGAGTCTCGATCAATAAGATAACTAAACAAGAATAAAAAAGAAACCAACTATTATAATTGAGCTGAGAGTGAAACAACAGGAAGTAGCTTTCATGTAATCTACATGGAATATGAACAATTACTAGTTAGTTAGTTAATAGACTGATAATCCTCATCCCATATCCGACAAGTCCGTAAGCACTCAGATCCCATCTTCAGTATCTCCCTCAGCGTGTGGCCACTGATAACGTTAGTTCTGTGTTGGTTTATTCTTCTTCTTTGGCTACCTGCATAGTGTTCATGTCTGGCGACACCTCTTTTGAAACAAAGTTCTTATAGTGTTTTCAAAATCATCATAAATTTCAGTGGGCAAACGGTTTGCTTGGTGGTGTCCATTTCCTCTCCAAGTATCTGAATCTGTTTCTACATGTTTATATTCTCCACACGCTGACCGACCATTTTCTTATAAATTTCCTTCAAGGAGGGCAAAGAAGAATCTGGAATGACAACATCAAGAAATGAACAGGACTAAGTTATCATACACTTATTCATCAAGCAGAAGGCAGAGAAGGATGGCCGGTTTTATGTGCTAGTGCTTCCATCAATTCACCTCCACCACCCTAATAGGTCAAGGGTTATGTTATATACTTTATGATGTTGTTAAGGTTATGTGGAAAAGCATACAGTTTTGTAGAGGCTCTTTAAATGTATGTGAATTATGTGGAAAAGCAAACAGTTTTGTAGAGGCTCTTTAAATGTATGTGAACAATGTGGAAAAGCAATCAGTTCACATCAATCTAGAAAGATTGATGCAAACAGGGGCAGCCAGAGGTTCTGCGAAACACGGAATACTATGAACAGAGTTAAATGTCATTAACGCTGTACTGACTGGGCTAGTGGATAAGGATAAATCTCTGACACTAAAACGATTGCATGACATGGGAGTAAAGCATGGTGAAGTACATCTATGCCGCCTTCGAGACTGGTCGACCCAGCCTCAAATGGGTACCGGGATGGGCTGTCCTGGGAAAGTAAAGACGGCTGGCGTAATGCTGACCACATTACCCACCGAGTGCCGATTGGTCTGTAAAAATATGGGTGCTCTTCCCATATGCCCGATGCGCCTATGGAAGTGTAAAGGGATCTTTACTATTTTACTTACCTCGGAGTGGTTGCTGCATTGGAGGACTAGGCATGCATGGAAATGTCTAATGTGCAGTTATGTCAATTGTGATAACATAACATAACAGACACAAGATAAACTGATAATAAGACTATAACTAGCACCGTAGCTCTGTCAGTCCCAAGCAATTATTAATTTGACAGCGACTATCACACAACTTATGTTATTTAAGATTAAAATCTTTGCATGCTATTGCAGTTGAACCAGACAGATGAATGTAAACACTGAGAACAGATTTACCTAATAGAACGAACGAACAAACAAATTTTATTTTCAAAGGGTTACAAATTGGGCACACAGGCTCGTCTGACATTCAGCCCTTCTAAGCACTGATCTTTCAGAGTACCAATGCCTGTTATCAATAATGCATGTTATGTATATAATGAAGAAATATACATTATAGAATAATGCATACACACATCATGAATACAAAATCTTACACACACACACACACACACATACTCTTACATTCTCATACATACACACTCATATAAAGACATACATAATACATACATACATACATACACGCACCTACAAACATACACAGACACTATACACACATAGACATACATAATAAAAGAAGAACAAGGCAACTGAAAATTAACTGAAATGTACTGCCTTACCTAAACTCAGCATTTATTCCAGAATCTAAATCTTGAGCCCGAAATGTTGCCAACTGTTGCCCTGGATCCAGGTTTTCCTCCACTGTCCTGAGAGTAAAAGAAAACAAAAAAACATCTAGTTCAGTGCCAGAGAAAATGAAAACATATATTACACATTCTGACTTATAACTTCTTTTCCATTATTAAAACCCAAAAAAGTATTAAAGAAAAAACCCAGAAAAATTACTACACATAACTAGAATATTTATGGAGCCGTCATGGTCTAGTGGCTAGATGCTCACCTGTGGATCCAAAGGTCGTGGGTTCAATTCCTGACAGAGCCAGACTAAAAAAAAAAAAAAAAAATTACCCTTGGCTCCCAGGTCGACCCAGCCTTGAGTGGATACCAGGTGCAGTCCTGGGAAGTAAAGGGGGCCAGCATAATGCTGACCACATCACGAACCAAGTGCTGTTTGGTCTATGAAATATAGGTCTAGCCCTATATGCCTAATAAGCCTCAAAGGCGTGGAAAAGGGTCCTTTACTTTTTAAAAAAAATAAACCATAATATTTAGATAGTTAAAAGTTCAGCTAAATGACTAGGATTAACAATATATGGCTATAAAAGTAAAAGTAAGTAAAGAAGCCTTTTCTTTGTGCATATGATGCCACACCCAGTTTCTAGAGACCATTTGTGTGATGTGAACATCATACTGGCCACCTTTACTTCCTGAGACACTTCCTATTACCCACTATAGGCTGGGTTAAACAGGGATTCCTAGGTCAAATATAAAAATGTGCCCTGTAGATCTGAACTCAAGGTCTGTGCACTGGCAGGCAGGCATCTAGCCACTGAGCTACCTGCGCCTCCCCATAATTAGTCACCGTCACCAGTAGCAAATAACTTGCCACAACTAAAAAATGTAAGCACTGCCTATCCCCCATATTGGACCTGAAGACTCAAAGGATGGGTTACAGGGAGATCCAATTACAAAAGGATATGTTATAAGAAGATCGAGTTGCAACTTGATGGGCCACAAGGAAATCCAGTCACAACTGGATGGGTCACAAGGAAAACCAGTCACAAATGGATGGGTCACAAGGAAAACCAGTCACAAATGGATGGGTCACAAGGAGATCCAGTCACAAATGGAAGGGTTACAAGGAGATCCAGTCACAACTGGATGGGCCAGAAGGAGGTCTAGTCACAACTGGATGGGTCACATGGAGATCCAGTTCCAACTGGATGGGTCACAAGGAAAACCAGTCACAAATGGATGGGTCACAAGGTGATCGTCCCAACTGGATGGGCCACAAGGAGATCCAGTCACAAGTGAAAGGGTCACAAGGAGTTAAAAATATATGCTAGTTGCTTAGTGCTGACCGAGTTAAGTAAGAATCATGCAGTATGCAGCAAATGGGGTTTTCAGGTGACACCGTGCTCTCTCTGACTTTCTGTAAGGGACCTTTTATCTCTTTCAGCCCCCAAAAATCCACAGTGAGTACTGGATAATACTGAATCAAACAACATGTTTTGTATATTTGTACATCTTTAGTTTAGTTCATCATCATCAGGTGCCTTGCCAGCTGGCATAGGCCTTCATGCATCTCCACAGATCTCAGTCTTTGGTGTTCTGGATCACTTCCACTGATGATATTCCTCCAGGCTGCTGTCATAAGCCATTCAACATCATTTCTCTTGGTCTGCCTCTGCCTCTTCTACCAGAGATCTTTCCAGTTGTAACGATATTTGCCAGTGCTCCTTTTCTCATCACATGACCAAAGAACTTTGTCTCCTTTTCACTGTTGTATATAATGTTCTACTTTCTTTAGCCATTTCATGGCTATCATTGTTAGTTAATCCTGCAGTCCAAGGTATTCATAACATTCTTCTCAAGAACTACATCTCAGATGCCTTCTAACTCTTTTTAATTTGTTTGCTCACATGTGATTTTATTATATAAGATACTTTTTAATCTTCTGAAAGGCTGCCTTTGCCTGGCCAATTCTGCCCTGAATTTCTGTCACACATCGCCCATCTGATGTTATGAGTGTCCCCAATTACTTGAATTTTTTTGACTTGGTTAAGCTCTTTCCCTTCTATTGCTATGTCACATTTTGGATTTATTTTCTTCTTTGATATAAACATTGTCTCTGTTTTGTTGACATTTAATGAAAGACCTTTTTTTTGCACTCTCTAGTAGCATAATGTCATACAGTTGTTCTAGTATAGTTAGGCAAACTAAATCAAGCCAATAACACAAGCCTCCCTCAATGTACTGTGCAGTTGGACTGTGGATGAATGGCTGCATCCTTCAGTTCACGAGAGCAATTTTTACGCAGGTCCCAGGGGATCATTGCTGGATGCTCTGTGCAGCTAGCCGCTCTGTGGAGAGAGACCGAGCCATATGGGATAAAATCCGGTGCAATGAAGTTGATCCTCTCGACTTTAACCTTTCAACCCTCTGTGGATGAAGGATGCCCATGTTTTTGTTGCCATTATTATTGTTTCAATCGGTCATCAGCTATGAAGTTCTGGGACAGCAAGAGTTATGTTGTAGTGTTGACGAAGAGAAATGAGCCATCTCTAAACCAGTGTTTCCCAAACTTGTCTTAGTTCAGGCGCCTTTTTTTGATGAAACATTTTCCGCGGCGCCCTAACCTAAGTAAAAGTATGACTATTCATATGTAAGAGGTAAAAGGAAATAAAACTTGTATATCTTCTAATATTGCGTCACCCCTGTGAGGAGGTTGTGGCTTCCCTGTGAAAAGGTCGCGGCTCTCCAGGGCGCTAAGTTTGGGAATCACTACTCTAAACAATTTCCAAAGTTCATGTCCTTCTTTTATGGTATTATCATTTATATTTTCTTCTCATCTGAGCTTTTTACTTTGATTCTCCAACAGTCATTTGACATCTTGATGCAACTTTAAAACACGGCAGAAATAAAACTGTCCTGATTAACTAAAGAGAATACTGACACTGCCAGAATGTAACAGGACTTACACTGATTTGAACTCATCTGTAAATTTAGGAGCATTATCATTGAAGTCTTCAACCGTTATTCGCACAATAGCAGTATCAAAGTGAGAAGGATCTTTGTCCTGGACTCGAACCTCCAACTCAAACACTGGATTTTCCAACTTCTCATAGTCGACAGGCTATTAAAAAATGTACATGGAATAGTGTAATTAGTGTAATTTTGTATTCTAATAAGTTTTTATTACATGTTGGACTAACTGACTGAATTTGAGGGATATCTTCACCACAGAGCACAGACAGACAGATATACAGACAGACAGATAGATAGACAGACACATAAACAGACAGAGGGAAGGAGATCCATCGCAGCCTAACTTCATTGTTACCTCTTTATTTCACAGAGGTGCCATTCAGCTTACAGGTGCAATTTTTAGAGATTCCAGGGGATCATCGATGGAGCTACAGAGGTCATGCTCTGCGCGACGCTCTTGGCAAGCAGCCAGCTGCTCTGCGGCTCTGCGGAGAGAGACTGAGCCATATTGGATAAAACCGGGTGCAGTGAAGCCGATCCTCTCACTTTTACCTTTGGTACTTCCATGATTCAATGATTCAATCCAAATTAATACCACTGGCTTCAACACTGTAAATTTTGGTGAGTTGTATTCATTTTAACATCTTCCCAATTATGCTACACACCAAAAAAAAAAACATAACTTTTATACAAGGGCTGTGTCAGTCACTCTGTGAGATTCTCTCATAAGGCTAAGCATAAAATGTAACCCTGTCACCTTGAGAAGCTGCTAAACCAGCATTTCGACTGGTGATCAATCCTGTAAATGCAGCTTACCCAGCACTTCTGCTATGGCCTAATCTTGAGAAGTCAAGCTGATGGCGCTGGGTTTTATTGTGCAGCGTTTACGAGGCCTAGATACGATTATATTTACCTTGAAAGGGAGGGGGGCACCATGACAAGAGGAACTTATTTAAGGGTCTCTGCGTTAGAAAGGTTGAGAACTATATACCTGTCGCTCCATGTACTTATCTCAGGACATGTCACTGTATCATTTTAGGTTGGATCAACTGGAAAATGAAGGCCAATTAAAAAAAAATTTTTTTTTAAAAATTGGAATCTTCAGAGAATTCCACATTTTATTCACATGTAATTAAAAGGACAACTGGCATGTTGTGTTGTGTGGTTTACAGCGAGGCTGTGATGTCTGCATCTTTCAGCTCTACACATCTGATTTAAAGTCAATTTAAAAAAAACAAAAAAACAACACGAATACAATGGGAATTATTCTTTTTCTTCTTGCCCTAAAAAGAACAGTCAGTATGCTGTATTGCAGTTTACAGCTAGCCCGTGATATCTGCACCTTTCAGCACAACACATCTGATTTTAGCAAATCCCTAACCTAATAAGTCGCCATTTATGACATGCTCACTAGGGGCCATTGGATAACCCCCCCCCCATCATCCCCCACCCCACGCGACGCACGGCATCCCATGCAGAGAACTGAAGTTTTAAACCTAAGGCCAGGATGAACGGGCGCACAGACCATCCATTAAACTGTTCAAATCAGGAAAACTGACCCGATAAATGGAGATGGCCCCTTTGTTTTCAATGGTGTCCACTTTAAAATGGCCACCAGCAGCCACTCTCTGAGACATTGAGAACTGAAGCTCTGCATTATCATTCTCATCCCTGTCTGTTGCATGTACTTCTGTCACAATGCCCTCTTTGAAGTTCTCTGACATTGTCACACTGGGGATAATAGAAGAATAGAGTATTACTGAAGGTGGGTATGCAGATTACAGAGCATTAATGAGTATAATAAGAGTATTAATGAGGATACTATGAGAGGATTACATAGCATAAATGACTATAATGAGAACATTCTGGCAGTTCTTCCATTTGGACTGTGGCCTTGTTACAGAACCTGAGTTTTGAGTGCACATCTGTTTACAATATGGCATATTTCAATGCAGGCTGTTGGTTTCTCAACTCTCAGATGCACTCTGACTGAGAAAAAGGGTGGGGGGCTTCCCCCTTCCCACGAGGCGTCATAATCTATAAGGTAAGGGGAGTACGTTTTCTGACCAACCAAACCTTAGACTTATTTTTTTATCATCCTACTGTGCCATTGTATGTCACATTCAGCTCATATTTTAATCTTCCACTCCGTTGTATCCTGTGCTTTATACAGAGTATTAACCAGAATTAGAGTATTAACCAGAATTAGAGCACTAACCAGAATTAGAGTATTAACCAGAATTAAAGTATTAACGAGAATTAGAGTAATAACCAGAATTAATGTATTAACCAGAATTAGAGCATTAACCAGAATTAGAGCATTAACCAGAATTAGAGCATTAACCAGAATTAGAGCATTAACCAGAATTAAAGTATTAACCAGAATTAGAGTATTAACCAGAATTTAAGTATTAACCAGAATTACAGAATTAACCAGAATTAAAGTATTAACCAGAATTACAGAATTAACCAGAATTAGAGTATCAACCATAATTAGAGCATTAACCAGAATTAGAGCATTAACCAGAATTAAAGTGTTAACCAGAATTAGAGTAATAACCAGAATTAATGTATTAACCAGAATAAGAGCATTAACCAAAATTAGAGCATTAACCAGAATTAAAGCATTAACCAGAATTAGAGTATTAACCAGAATTAGAGTATTAACCAGAATTTAAGAATTAACCAGAATTACAGAATTAACCAGAATTAAAGTATTAACCAGAATTACAGAATTAACCAGAATTAGAGTATCAACCATAATTAGAGCATTAACCAGAATTAGAGCACTAACCAGAATTAAAGCATTAACCAGAATTAGAGTATTAACCAGAATAGGAGTATTAACCAGAATTACAGAATTACCCAGAACTAGAGTATTAACCAGAATTAGAGTATTAAACAAAAATTGAATATTAACCAGAATTAGAGTTTTAGCCAGAATAAGGGTATTATTGAGAATTAGAATTAACCAGAATTAGAGTATTAACCAGAATTACAGAATTAACCAGTACTAGAGTATTAACCAGAATTAGAGTATTAAACAAAAATTGAATATTAACCAGAATTAGAGTATTAGCCAGAATTAGAGTATTAACGTGGGTCATGACAGGCATTAGGTAACTGAATTTTCTTTACAAGACATAAATTAACTTCAGCATTTATTGGCAATTTTCCCCACAATGCTTAATGGCAGAAGTGGTTTATGATTATGATAAAGGAGCATAATAAGAAGCTTACTGAGTAATAATAACAATAAGATTACTAAGCACTTATGGGTATAATACGACAGATTACAGAATATTACAAAAGATAATGAGGGAATTACTATTAGGGAATTAATGAGTATTAATGAGGCTAATAAGATTACTAAGCACTTATAGGTATAATAAGACAGATTACAGAGTATTACAAAAGATAATGAGGGAATTACTGAGGATTAATGAGGGTACATGATACAAGGTTAGATCTGACTTAGAAAGGACCGATCTCATACTGATACTATGGATAGGCGCTTCAGACTCCTCATACAGATCACACAGAGAGACCCACTTAACTCTGTACTCCCTGTGTGGGTCCCAGGCTCTATTTTGGAGAACAAAGAATAGACCTACTTCCCCCCTCCCCCTATTATGCATCTGCATTACATATTATGCATATAGAGTCTATTCATGTGTAAAATAATTGTTTGGGACCCAATGTTTAGTGGGAAAATTTCATTGTAAGATATGTTTTTCCTCTTTTCTTATCACTTTTTCTGTCACCAGTGTGTTCCAAAATGTCCAACTACTCATTTCGATTATCTATTCATGTGTGAAATAACAGTCTGAGACAAAATTTTTAACTTTTCAAAGTGTCAGTTTTTGACAAAACCTGACAGGCCATCTGGACAAACTTCAGTTTTGGGCATTTTTAGGTCATCTCCGTTTTTGCACCAAGTTCGCTCAGAAATGTAAAACTATACACCTTCTGCACCTACAGTGCCTATTCATGTGTAAAGATATTGGCATTTGGCACTCAATATTTAGTGGTAGGACACTAAAATGTTGTTGGGACAATTTCACAGTCAAATATTTTTTCCCTCTTATATCAACTCTTTTTCTGCCACCAATGTGCTCCAAACCGTCCAACTACTCATCTAGATTATCCTAAGAAGTATGAAATCATAGTCTTCTACGACATTTTTAATTCTTGGAAAATGTAAATTTTTGGCAAAACCCAACAGACGTGCAATTTTAAAGTGGGGAAAAAAACACAGGGAAAACATACTGTCTTACACATGGACAAAAATTACCTTAAAAACTGATAAGCCATCGAGAAAAAGAAACTTACTTATACATCCTCTGGGTATATACTGGAGCATTATCATTAATGTCTTTTATAATGATGGTCACTGTGGCAGTGGAAGTCTGGGGTTCTGGCCCCCGATCCTTCGCCCGGACCACCACCTCCAACTTTGGTCTCGTCTCTCTGTCCAGATACTGCTGGTCCACCTGTGAGAAGATCCTGCCTTCAGGGTCAATGTTAAAGAAGTTTGTGGTGGGGTTGTTAGAGTGTGTGCTGGGGCTGCTGACGATCTCGTAGTCCACCGAAGCATTCTCCATGAAGTCAAAGTCATTAGTTATCACCACGGCAATCACTGGGCAGTGGTCCCTGACAGGACAGAACCAACCTAGGAAAAGACCAATTGGTGTCTGTTTACTTAATTAAAAAAAAAAAAAAAAAAAGGAAAGATCCCTTTTCATGCCTTTAAGGAGTATCGGGCATATGGGAAGAGCGCCCATATTTTTACAGACCATCGGCACTATGTGGGTATTGTGGTCTGCATTACGCCGGACATCTTTACTTCGCCAAGACATCCATCCTGGTACCCATTTTAGGCTGGGCTGACCTGCGACGCCCCATACCGTGATAAAAATCCACGGAGCCATCAGTGGGTTTTGATCGCAGTACGTGTTTACTTATCGAGTCACACATAAATACGAATAAAAATGGTTGGCTGCCTGTTCTCTTTGGGATGTTCAAGCACTCATGAAATTCACTCAACAAAAGTTGAGTTGAGTTAAGTTGAGTCAAGAATTGACATCACAGAACTCGGGGCATTCCCATGCATGCTCCGTTCTCATCTTCAGCCAGCGCAGAGTTCCAGTACTGATGGTACCGGTCACATTCTGGTTATATGTTCGTCTTTCCTTTGAAAGTAGTGAGCCAGCCAGACCCTCTGGTTATACCCAGGTGCCCCATTCTCTCCAGGCCATGATAATCTTCTTTCTCTACTGATTCCATTGCTGGTACCGAAAGGTCCTTGATCACATCTGCTCACTCAACATAAATTATGACTAAGAGGCTAACCGGTGGGCTTCTGGTGCTCTGCAAAGTTACTTGTTCCCAGCCAGGCTTGCTGATGCAAATTCCCTATTTCTGGATAGGGAGTCCAAATGTTTCACCACCCAACTACTAAGGTGAGTGCTTGCTGCGACACTGTGAGCTCTTGATTTCATGTGAAATTAATTTTTGTTCCACTGTGCTTATGACGGCTTGTATTAAGAATTGCCATAAAAATTATGGGTGTCTAATTGTGTTAAAGATTGGATGTACTTATGCCATGTTGTGTGTTCAGTGCCAGCTTTCATAACTGACTGCTAACATTAATAGAGAGCTGCAATTCTGGTCTGGTACTGTTAGTGTTGGCTCTAATGACAGCCACCTTATGCATTTACATTTTGAGTGCAAGCTTTGAGATTTTGTAGGGGCTGACATGTTTTCCACTAGTTTTCAAATGGAACAGCAAAGGACATTTCTGTGTTGTTTCCACTGGCACAAGAATAGAACAGTTATGAAGCAACCAGTCTGCAGTGATTCTGGAGCCTCGACTAACGACTAACAACTATGACTAGGAACTGCTAAACATGGGGTGTGTGTGTGAGAGAGTGTGTGTGTGTGTGTGTGAGAGTGTGTGTGAGAGAGAGTGTGTGTGTGAGTGGGCGCGTGTGAGAGAGAGTGTGTGTAAGACAGAGTGTGTGTGTGGGTGGGTAGGTGTGTGTAAAAGGTTAAGATAACACACATAAGAACTACAAGAACTACTGTACACTTCAGTCCAAGTGTACAAAGAGTATGCTACCAAATCATCTGCAGGCTGACTTTGAACCCTGGTATGCTGGATTGTGGTTTCACAATCCCTAAGCCACAGATTTCAGCAACGCTAATGAAAGATAAACATGGTTCAATGGTAGGCACTTTGACATATGTTGTCACATGTGATTTTTTTCCCCCTCCAGATTATGCAAGTGTGTAGAGAAACAAACAGACAGACACACTGGCCAATTCTGCACCACTTGGTGCAAAATTAATGCATAACAAACTAGATGTGAGCGACCTCTGGGAAAGAGTGAATAGTGTGGAGGTACAAAGAAATCATCACAGTCTGAAGAGAATGGCACAGTAGGATTCTAAAACTGTAAAGGTAAAGTTGGAAGATGCGGACCAGCGTCACTGCACACGGTTATAAACCATAAGTCCTCTGCCACCAGTAAGGACAGCTGATAAGAAAATGTCCTCCTGTGTCGCCGTCCGCACGCAACTCCGCAGCTACAGCGACGTTCCTCCATTTACCCTAGAGTGTTAACTCTGGTACCCATTACCTAGAAGCTGGGTGAAACCTGGGAACTGCCCGGTTTCGAACACGGACCCTGGGCTGCAGCGAGTCGCAGCTGGATTTGAGAGCGAGTCTCCTATCGACTACGCTAAGGTGACTATTAACAAGTGTGGGGGTTCATGCTTCAAAAATAAGAGGGGGTTTTGTAGGTTTTAGCTGTTTGGGAACTACTGCCTTTGTTTTTTTTATTTTTTATTAACAATAAAAATTCACATACCTGGTGGTGAGTGCTCATACACCTCACCAGTCAGCCTTTCAACATCAAAGATAGGTTTGTTGTCATTGATGTCAAGAGGCTTCACTTTGATGTTTGTGTATCCTTTCTGAGGATCCTCATCTTCATCCAAAGCCTCTACTGTGAATATATACTCTGATTTTCCATTTGGCTCATCTCTATCCAAAGCTGCTACAAGAAAAATCTGCCCAGTTTTCTCATTGATCGTGAAAAGTTGTCTGTCTCCAGGTTCGGTGCCTTCTCCAAGAAGATGATATCGCATATTGATAGTCCGTGAGATGTCTGCATCTGTGGCTGTCACCTGCAAGAAAACAGGAAACAGGAAACAGGAATAATCATGATATAAACACTTTGACTTCTGATGGAAGAGACCAATTCCTGTTTAAAACACTACCCAGATTTTATGCTTTGGAGATGCGGGAACTTTATCGCTCGCCTTTCCCTCTGAAATTGGAGTGCTTCTGCCTGGAAGGCTAGGAACCAACAGATCTGTAAAACGGATGTACGTGCAAAACTCAGGCTGTCGAACAAAGTCAAGAAGTGGATTAACAACCAGAACTTTCCACCGGAGTTTACAACTGGTGAATGCTAAGAAGAAGAAGAAGGAAAAAATCCCTGGCTTCAAACAGTTATGGGCTATAAGTATTTGTCAGTGCTATCAATCAGCAAAAAGGAACATAAAAATTAGCCAAGGTGCTAATGATAGATCTGCAACCAGCGGCGGTATGCCTGCACTGGACACAAAAGAACTAAACTGATTAAGACACTCTTGAGATAACAAACCGCAAGGGACCCAGAGGATATAACAGATGAGAGGTTGCAGCCAGGGAAAGGTGTATTAAATCAATGGGCTTCAACCTTTTTTTTTTCAGGTGGCACCCCCATCAGTATATGGCAAGACATCCACACCCCCTCCCACATAACAAAATGTAATTAAAAAGAGATAAGGAAAATCTAAGTACTGTTAACAAGAGCTTGGAGAAGAACACACACATATTTAATATTGTCATATCACTAAAGAAATAATCACGGACAACTGGTAATTTAGTATCCAGATATCAATGTGATGGCTGACACTGTTTTGTCTTGATGATATCGGCTTTTGTTGGTGTAATGTAAGACAAGGCATAATGGAGATCACTCTCCACATCAAGCTGGCAGCGCTGTCTTGTCTTCATGACTGTTGAAGCTAGAAATCTGGACTATCACAAGTACAAATAGAACATTAAATGAAACTGTGTTGAATACTGAGGCTGTGTGGAGATAGAAAGCCCAACTGATAGATAAGATGGTTCTCCACAGATATACAAACTTTTTTATAAGATTGGCTAGCATCTTTCCATTTTGTTTAAACAAAAGTGTTATACTGTGCTATAAGGGTGACATGACACATTCCATGGTAATGGCGAGCATGACCAGTAAAACCCACTTGTATTAATTATAGTTTCCACAATTACAGCATGTGAAACATCTTCCACTATTAGAATGTTCATAAGATTTAATTGAGGCGACTTCAATAAAAAAAAAAAAAAAAACCGCATCTAGTAAAGGCACACAACAGCCAATACAAGCTGAGATTTGTTTATGATGTCCTGAAAAAAAATATGGAACTATTTTTTTTTAATCTTCCAGAACAGCTATGATTGACTCAGAGATAAAAGTTAAAGTCGAGAGAATCAACTTATTTGCACGGGGTTTTATACCACATGGCTCAGTTGCTCTCCCCAGAATGGCTACCAAGAGCATAACAAAAAGCACAGACTCCACAGCTCCAGCAATGATGCCTAGGGATCACTGTAAAAAACAACAACTGCACTCTTGAACTAAACAATGCATCCGTGAAATGAACCCGTATTCTTTAGAGCAACTATTGAATGGTTTGAGCACTTCATTGCAGAGACCCCCGTAATAACACATTTGACGATTCAAAGCTGCAAATTTAACTACAATCGAAAAAATAAAAATCACACCTCAGACTGAAAATTGACAAAAATACAGATAAGAACAATAAACACATATTTACCATAATAAGTTCCATAGGTTCCTCTTTGGACACAGAAATATCTTCCTCTACAACTTTGTTGTCAATGACATATTCAGTTTTGCTAAAAACAGGCAAGTTGTCATTTTCATCAGTGACATAAATGACCACTGTTGCTGTTGCTGAATAAAAGTTTTCACTGTCTCTGGACTCTAAGATCAAAGTGTATTCCTGCAACAAATAAATAAAAGAAGCTGAAAGACTATACATGGACTTGGTGTTTCAAACAAAGTGTACTATAGGAAAAAAGTGGAAGGTAAGACAGCAAGGGGTAGATAATGATAAAGACAACATCAAGAGATGGACAAACAGCAGTCTGACAGAGTGCACAATCAAGACAAGAGGCAGAGTGTGTTGGAGATCCACTGCAGCCAACCTTGACTGTGTTAGTGTAATTATTGACTGATTTAGTGTAATTATTGACTGTGTTAGTGTAATTATTGACTGATTTAGTGTAATTATTAACTGAGTTAATGTAATTATTGACTGAGTTAGTGTAATTATTGACTGAGTTAGTGTAATTATTGACTGAGTTAGTGTAATTATTGACTGAGTTAGTGTAATTATTGACTGAGTTAGTGTAATTATTCACTGAGTTAGTGTAATTATTGACTGAGTTAGTGTAATTATTGACTGAGTTAGTGTAATTATTGACTGAGTTAGTGTAATTATTGACTGAGTTAGTGTAATTATTGACTGAGTTAGTGTACTTATTGACTGAGTTAGTGTAATTATTGACTGAGTTAGTGTACTTATTGACTGAGTTAGTGTAATTATTGACTGAGTTAGTGTAATTATTGACTGAGTTAGTGTAATTATTGACTGAGTTAGTGTAATTATTGACTGAGTTAGTGTACTTATTGAATGAGTTAGTGTACTTATTGACTGAGTTAGTGTACTTATTGACTGAGTTAGTGTACTTATTGACTGAGTTAGTGTACTTATTGACTGAGTTAGTGTACTTATTGACTGAGTTAGTGTAATTATTGACTGAGTTAGTGTAATTATTGACTGAGTTAGTGTACTTATTGACTGAGTTAGTGTAATTATTGACTGAGTTAATGTAATTATTGACTGAGTTAGTGTAAATTATTGACTGAGTTAGTGTAATTATTGACTGAGTTAGTGTAATTATTGACTGAGTTAGTGTAATTATTGACTGAGTTAGTGTAATTATTGACTGAGTTAGTGTAATTATTGACTGAGTTAGTGTACTTATTGTCTGAGTTAGTGTAATTATTGACTGAGTTAGTGTAATTATTGACTGAGTTAGTGTAATTATTGACTGAGTTAGTGTACTTATTGACTGAGTTAGTGTAATTATTGACTGAGTTAGTGTAATTATTGACTGAGTTAGTGTACTTATTGACTGAATTAGTGTAATTAAGGATTTTCTTAAACTGGGTACAGATACTGCAGCCTAGCTGCAGGCCAAAAACAACTTGGCAATGTATCAGCAGCAGTAGCAGGAGGAGGAGGAGGAGGAGGAGAAGAAGTAGAAGAAGAAGAAGAAGAAGCAGAAGGAGGAGGAGGAGGAGGGGAGCAGAAGAAGAAGAAGTAGAAGAAGACGAAGAAGAAGATGAAGAAAAAGAAGAAGAAGAATGTAGGCAGTATGCACATAAGTCAGAATTCTGTATCATACATCTAAGCCACCCTGACCACCACTTGCCCCAAACATATACTGACAACATATATAAGAATACTAAAACTTAATCATATTTAAGGACCCTTTTCCATGTCTTCATGTGTACAGGGCATATAGGGCTAGTCATATTTTATAGACCAATCGGAACACGGTGGGTGATGTGGCTAACATCACGCCAGCTACCTTTACTTCCCAGGCCTTTACCTGGTACCAATTTAAGGCTGGGTCGACCAGGGAGCCAAGGTCATTTTTCAAAAACAAGTCCAGCTCAGTTTGGATTTGAACCCACGATTAATCAGACTTTTGTTTTCAAAAAATGAGTTTGGATCCCAGTTCGACCCAGCCTTAAATGGGTCTCGAGTGGGTACCAGGTGCAGTCCTGGGTAGTAAATGTGGATGGAGTGATGCTGAAATCACCCACCAAGTGCTTTTTGGTCTATAAAATATATGTCTAGCCCTACATACCCAAAATGCCTGAAGGCATAGAAATGGGTCCTTGACTTTACTTTTCAAATCTCAAGGCTGAGATTTGATTAGATTTTAGACCAAGTCTGAGACAAATCTAGTTATAAAAATTATAACCAGGGGACAATACCTACTTTGTGATCACTTTCATAGTCAAGCAAGCCTATAACGATGATTTCCCCTGTCTGGTCACGAATATCAAATGGAATTTCATCATGGTTAATGAAACTATACTTCAAGCGGCCTTGATCAACTGTAATACAACATATAAATTTTGCTGCTACAACAATACATGAGAAATTATATAATTCACACAGCAATGTAATTATATCTTAAAATAGCTGTTATTTGCTGAAGCAACTGAAATAATAATAAAAATATAATTACTGCGTCCCAGTGACAGACTCAATTTGTTGTTGTTTCAAAGCTGGTTGTTTCCGGGGGACATATGGGTTGAATGGGGTATCTGGGACCTGTCCCTGGGTGATCCTCATCCGAATGGTGGCATTTTGTGTGATTACCGTTTGGTGTGATGTCCTGGTGGGGTTGAACATCATTTAGTCATGTAAGTGTACTCCAGCCAAGTCACAAGATATTATAAGGTGTGTACACTCGTACACTAACATGCTTGCTTGCTGGATCCATTGTTAGGTGTTTGAATCTTTTTCAAGCTGGACTGTTTTAACTCTTTCAGCAGCAGGCAGGTATAATTTTTCACCTATCTGATTTGACTCTTGTGCACCAAGCAACTCACTATGAAGTCAATGGTTATCCCCAAGAAAGTCTACTAGTTGTATTGTTTTGTGTGTCTACTGAGGGACAGATTTTACTTTAACCAAATCTATCTGCATTGTTAGTTTTGCTTCGTTCATCCTCAACTGTTATTTTAACTCATCCTGACCTAACAGTGGTAGTTAACATTGCAGAAGTAGAGGATAAGAAGAGTGACAGTAATGACTGGCAAGTACAGAGAAGAGTTAGCAAGTTGCTACTTTAAATGATTAAATTCCTGGGTCTAAAGAAGTTGAAAACATTATTTGACAGCTAAACTCCCAACTATTATTATTATTGGGAAACATAATGGCTCTCTATCAAAATAGCCAGAGCGCTGTAAGAACAACGGAAGGTATGACAGACTGGTTCCCCATTACATCAGGAGTACGACAAGGATGTGTCCTATCACCCCTACTCTTCATCACATATATGGATAAAATTGCACAGGAGTCAAACCAAAACACAGATATTATAAATGAACTACTCTTTGCAGATGACCAATGTTTGTTACAAGAAGAAGAACAAAAACTACAACAACATGTTGATTCATTGCTCACTAACTGTACAAAATTTGACATGAAAATAAACACCTCAAAAACTGATGTAATGACCATAGGAAAGAAACACAGTAATGTAAACATAAAGATCAATGACATACAATTAGAACAAGTTCAAGAATTCAAGTACTTAGGATGCATATTTACAGAAGATGGAAGACTCGATAAAGAGATACAGGCTAGAGTTCAAAAAGCCAATGCAGTCAACTACCAACTGGCCGCACTTCTTCGTCATCCAAAGATCTCGTTACCAGCCAAACAACGGATGATCAACAGCATTTTCATCCCTACGTTATGTTATCAGTGCCAAACGTGGACAATGAACAAATCACATATGCAAAAAATAACTACGTGTGAAATGCGATGTCTCCGAAGAGTCACCAACAATACACGAAAAGACAGAGTCACAAACGTCAGCATTAGAGACAAAGTTGGAACAAGAGCATGCATGGAACATATTGAAAGACAGAGAATGAAGTGGTTTGGCCATTTAGTAAGAATGCAACCGGATCAGATTGCCTTTAAGGCCTTTTACAGTAGAACATCGGGAAGAAGGGCCAAAGGAAGACCCAGGAAAAAATGGATAGATGGAGTAGCTGAATACGGCCAGAAGATCCAGAAAACTGTCACTCAAATCACGCGAGAGGCACAAAACAAATATTTTAAACCACGACACTGGGCTGCAACCCGGTAAAAGTGAAGAAGACAATAGATAGATAGATAGAAACTCCCAACTATGGCTAGAATGCTAGTTTCTAAAATCAAAGTCTGTCGTCTGAGAAATATCTCCAATTTTATGACCTGAGAAAAGCTTTCACAGTAAATGATATCAGTAAAATTATCATATTACCTCCATAAAAACCTTTACAGTAAATGGTATTAGTGAGACTATCACATTACTGTCATAAAAACATTCACAGTAAATGGTATCAGTGAAACTATCACATTACCTTCATCAATATCATCAGCTGTGACAGCAAATATGACAGTCCCAATACTGGCAGTTTCCGCCACCGTGTGGTTGTAGTAAGACCGCTTGAATGTCATCGGGTTGTCATTCTTGTCTGTGACATCGACTTGAACAACCACAGAGGCTGAAAGTGTCAATTATCCAAACATAAAGTTCTCAAACACACTGATGCAGGTACACACAAACACACATGTATTTGGTCATTATATTATTACAAAGAAGAGAAGAAATACTGACATTTTAAAAGATCTGAACATTAAGGAAAATAGGCTAATAAACAGCATGTTGTCTCAGAAGCTGAAATATTTTGGTCATATCAAGCGCTATGGTGAATTATAACAAAATAATAGCAGAAGGCATGGTACCAGGAAGGAGGGGCAGGGGCCGACTAACATGAAAATGGGCACAGGATATAAGCGACTCCTTTAATATGAAAGTACATGAGGAGGGGTTGGCTCTGTGGCTAAGTCGATGTGAACGCTTCGCAATGCAGGGATGCTGGGTTCGATCCCAGCTGCGGGCCATGCGCCTTGCGCTGGTTTCGACAGTGGTATCAAGAAAGCCGACCGTCCAGAAGCAATGGCAAACTACTGGACGTAAATTTGCCTAGAAAAACCACACAACAGCCAGGGGCTGTTGGGGTTGGTTCTGCAATGTCCTGTTAAGGATACGCAACTAACCTAAGATGAGGCGGGAGAGCCGGCGAAAGACCGAGTTTCTTTCAGGCAGTCTGTGATGAGAATGACATTCTGCAAAGGATCTGCTACACGATGACGATGATGATATTAGCACAAAGCTGGCATGAAGAAGGGAGCTAGAGAATGACGGTAAAAAGTTAGGGAGGTCATGGGGTTACCGGCATGCAATAGCAAACATTAGGATCTGGTGCTATTTTCACAAGGAAGGCTGGCTGCAATGGATCTCCAACACACTCTGTCTCTTGTCTTCACTGCACACTCTCTCAAACTGCTTTTCATCAAGCCTAGATGTTGTCCTCCCACTTGTATCATTGTCTACCTCTTGCTCTATTAACCTTGACTGTTCCTTCCAGTATGTTTTTTAAAAGTGTATTATGTCTTTTAATGTGGCCAAAATATTTCAATTATTTCTGCAATATTTCTTTCAGTAATTCTCTTTTGATTGGCAGGAAAGGATAGGACTACTTGGCATGAACTGGATGAGGGCCTATGCTCCACTGGGAGATAAGGGCCGGAAAAAGACAATGCTGGCAATAGTAGTGGTAACACTGACGATTTACCACAAAAAAAATGTTAAAATGCCATGTTTTATGATCTCTCCCCATAACTTCTCGACACATCTCTCTCTTTGTCTCTGCCTTTCTCACTTACTCACATGCACGCACCCACAAACACATGCACATAAGTCAGTGATTGAATGCATCTGCTCTGGGGGCTTAGAATGCAGAAGATGTTGAAAATGTCCAGCTTTCAAACAGCATTGCTGTTCAACATCTTCTGCATTCTAAGCCCCCAGAACAGATGCATTCAATCACTGACTTGCCTGAGAGGCAAGGAACCAACAATCTGCATACACATAACTCAGATCTGTAAAACAGATGTGCATGCAATATTCAGGCTCTAGAACAAGACTAAAGTTCAGAAGTGGACAAACAACCAGAACTTTCCGCCAGAGTTTACAGCCGGTGAACGCGCAGAAGAGGAAGAAGATACACTGTGTAAAAGTCAGTTAAAGGACAATGTTCATGCAGAAGAAGAAGAAGATACACTGTGTAAAAGTCAGTTAAAGGACAATGTTCATGCAGAAGAAGAAGAAGAAGAAGATACACTGTGTAAAAGTCAGTTAAAGGACAATGTTCATGCAGAAGAAGAAGAAGAAGATACACTGTGTAAAAGTCAGTTAAAGGACAATGTTCATGCCAGACTCATATTTTTTTATAATCAACCAAATCTCCACAGGTGATGTGGCCTTAACTTGCAATGACATTACCAGGTCCCTAATTTAGGTTGGTCGACCTGGGAGCATCTCAAGCACCCAATCACTAGGCTACCATGGCTTCGTCATTCCCTATGGCTGTTCAAGAATGTCAAAGAACTCACAAAATGAAGAACCAAATCTGACCCTACCACCCTTTAGAGCATACAGCAAACAGTTTAACCTCGAAGTCCTTTCCCGCTAGTTGCAAATTATTTAAAAATCTCCAACCTGTGTTTGGTGTTCCAGGTGGTTTGTGGTTAATCCTATCAGATGGGCTGATGTCATCAGCTACAACGGTCAGAAAGTAGCGAGGATTCCTCTCTCTGTCAAATTCTTTCTTGGTGATGATTGCAGCTTTGTTTCCAGGCAAGTTCTTGATTTCAAAGTCATTCAATACTCCAGGGTAGCTTTCATCAGAGAGCGTGAAATGAAGCTGTAACAGAAATTAAATAAAATAACAATGTCTCATCACTAAAAAAAAAAAAAAAATAACTGAAAATGTAACAGAAATGATATGCATTACAAAATCTAACATATATTATATGCATTACAATGTCACATCAGACAGCGTGAACTAAAGCTGTACTAGAAATGATAGACATTACAATGTATAATCCAAAAGTATAAGATGAAGCTGTAACATAAATGATTAACATCACAATGTCTCATAAGACAGTGTGAACTGAAGCTGTAACAGAAATGATAAACACTACAATGTCTCATGAGACAGTGTGAGGTGAAGTTTTAACAGAAATGATAAACACTACAATGTCTCATGAGACAGAATGTCGCAAAGCTGTAAGAATAATGATATACATTACAATGTGTCATGAACCAGTGTTAGGTGAAACTAACAGAAATGATAAACAGTACAATATCACATGAAACAGTATGAGGTGAAGCTGTAAGAGAAACGATAAACACTACCGACGCTTCAAGTAGACAATGATGCCTGAAATGAGTACCACTCCTTTTGACCCTTTGATTTTTTTCCTCTTATCTATGTAATCAAGCTTTACAAAATTTTAAAAAAAATAATATAACACTATAATGTCTTAGCAGACATTGTGATGTGAAGCTGTAGCAGAAATGGTATACATTACAACGTCTCATCAGAAAATGTGAGGTGAAGCTTAACAGAAACCGCATACAAAATTAGCCACACACAAATGTATACATAGTAATCACCTAGCAGTAAAATGCATAAATATTTTCCTAAGATTGAATTACAGTTGCTAAGTTTTGTATAATGGTTATGAAAAGTGTCTGAAGATTAATGGGAATCACTATGAGCACTTATAGTAACTTTATACATCAAAGATAACTTGTATGTATTTCTTTGTGTCTGAATAAATTTAGTATCAACATTTTTATAGTTAGCTGCTTATCCTTTACAGGACATTGCAGAACCAACCCCAACAGCCCCTGGCTGTTGTGTGGTTTCTCTAGGCAAATTTACGTCCAGTAGTTCAACATTTTTATTCAGGTTGTTTTTTTAAAAACTCCATCAACACACCGCTATCGTAATGTATTCAAAGACCACAAATATCATACATATAAATACTTTTTACTGTTGTGCAATTACTGTGTAGACATTGTGTTTTGCTAAATCTGTACATTACAATGCCTCATTAGAAAATGTGAGACGTAGCTGTAACAGAAATGACAGAAATTACAATCTCTCATAAAAAAATGTGAAGTGAAGCTGTAACAGAAATTATAGACATTAAAATGTCTCACCAGACAATGTGAAGTGAAGTTGTAACAGAAACAGCAGATATTATAATGTCTCATCATTCAGTGTGAAGAAAGAAAACATGATCACAGAAAAAAAAACATGCATTAAAATGTTTCATCAGACAGTGTGAAGTGAAGCTGTAACAGAAATGACAGACATTGAAAGTCTCATCAGAAAATAAGAAGTTAAGCTGTAAAAGAAATGATATTCATTACAATCTTTAACCAGAAACTTTGAAGTGAACCTGCAACAAAACTGACAGACATTATATGGTCTCCCAAAAAAATATGAAGTGAAGCTGTAAAAAAATTGACAGACATTACATCATTTCAAAAGAAAATATGAAGTAAAGCTGTAACAAATTATGACAGACATTACAGTATCTCATCAGATAAAGACACATACATTTCTGAATTCCTCCCTGACATCATCATCATATCCCTGCACCTCAATGACTGTGGCCCCAGCGTGGGTGTTCTCTGAGACGCTGCCTGCATACCGGCCATTTGAGTCCATGCCCTCAAAGTAGGGAACCTTGTTATTCCTGTCCTCCACATCAATGGTCAGTGTGATTTGCTCATACATGGTCAGACCACCAAAGTTCTAACACAAGGAAAAGATATGTTTATGAATGAAATCAAGCTGCGTGGGGTCACTTTCAAATGTTTTTTAGAGGAACAACAATTGTGAATACAGTGTTAGAGGAACAATAATTGTGAATACAGTGTAAAGAAACAATAATTGTGAATACAGTGTCAATGTGACTGGTGTCAACTGTCCTTGTTATGAACCCCACTGTGGGGGGAAAGTATGGGTGGGGGGCTGGGGAAGAATACACCCACTGCCCCCTACAAGCATGTCATTAAAGCCAACTAATTACGGTGTTCCTTTTGCAGTTAGAGTGCATCTGTCCGAAAGGTGAGGAACCAATAGTCTCACAGTAGTTTGCATGCAAATTAGCCAAATCTGTAAAATGGATGTGCACACACAAATCAAGTTCTAAAACAAGACTAAAGTGCAGATGTGGATGAACAACCAGGACTTTCTGTCAGAGTTCATAACTGGTAAAGAAGAAGGTTTCCACAGCATGCAGAACATGAGGGGGGGGGGGGGGGGGGGGGACAGAGGAGATGAGTGCAAAATTAGGGTCACAAGCTTGATGCACACATTCCACTCACTAACACACAGAAGAGCTGCTAGATGCTTACCTGTCATACCGATGGTCTTGGGTCTGAATCCATACAAAGCAAATTAAACCCCCCCCCCCCCCCCCCCCCCAAATTATAATTTTGGCTCTCAGGTCATACCAGAACTAAAATGGTACCAGGAAATAGCATGGGAGAGAAAGGTATGTTTGGACATGTGTTAAAACCACTAATATATGGAGCACCACCGATAGCCCTGTCACTTAGACATAATAGAAGCAAAGCAAGGAGTTGATCACGCAAGCGATGGATAGACTGAATATCAGAGAAGGCCGTAAATACCAGCATCTACGTAGCACATACCAACGCAAGCACCCCATGCCTCTTAAAAACCTGGTGCTGACAGGCAGAATAAGACTGAGAAGAAGAGAAAAACAAGAGAAGAAGAGAAAAACAAAAGAAGAAGAGGCTTTCACACCATACCATATCATCCATGGAGTGCTGAATGGCTGGTAAACAATGTGAAGTCTGGTATTATATGCCTGCTGTGCCCCTGACATAACAAAGGATCACATGCCCCATCCCCAGCACCACCACCTTAAAGAAAAATATAACTTTACACATTTATTCCCTCACTCTCACCTCCACCTTAAAAAACGTTACCCATTCCCTCTCTCACACCCCCTCCCCCAAAAATAACACATTTATTCCCTCAATATTTCCCCCCCCCCCCCCAACTTTACACAGTTATTCCCTCACTTTCACTTCCCTCTCCCTCCCCTGAAAATATAGCCAGACACATGTCTGGTCTGTATGCGCTAACTCTCCTGCTCACAAACACACATATGCTTAGTATTTTCCTACAGGGTGGATATTGTTGGAAAATGACCTGTATTCCCAGGTTGATATAATTAACATGGTACAAGAAATTATTCTGGGCCTAAAAGTGGTTGGTTGGCTACATCACTACATCACTATCTGAGTGCTGCAAGGTCTAAACAAATATAGGGCTAGCAGCATTTGCCTTATGCACTTACTGCCTGTACATGCTGCCGGACTGTGCTAAGACTAATTTCTCTGTTCAATAGTTTCCAAAGGAACAGTGAAACACATTTTGTGTGAATGTCACTTGCGCAGGAACAGGGCAGTTATGAACTCCAGTGAAGTTGAAACCTAGACTACCGACTGCAGTATAAATTAATAATATCTACAACATCCAACATTGTCTGCAGCATAAAATAACATCCAACATTGTCTGCAGCATAAAATAATGTCCACTACACAATGTCTATTATTTGTATATGGGTTGGCACCTTTGCTCTTTCGAGACAACAGTGTACCATTGTGCCGGGAACAGGCTGAGGAATCCCAGCCAATAGCAGTCCCAATAAAGGCCAGGGATATAGTTCCTCCTCTTCACAGCACAAAGCCTGGGCAGTATTGCAGAGTCAATGTGCTGCCCATGTAGCATTAGCCCTCTCTCAGACTGCTTTATTAACTCCAGAAGAAAGGTAACACTAATATGTTTGGAATAAAGTATGCTGTAGAATCTCCTGGATCAGAACAGCATTGCTGTCTGCCCTCCTAGTCCAGCTGCCGGTCAAGGCTAAGGGCAACATACTATCTACAGCAGGGCCATTCAACTAAGTTCACTCAGGTGCCAAAATGTTGGAAATGGGGATTGCCACTGGGCATAAGCTTGAGCCCCAGCACAGAAAGATCAACAACTGGCAATGATCTACAGGCCACTTGCTAGGACTCCACGGGCTTGATTTGGCCCATGGGCTGCTGGCTGAATAGCCCAGGTCTCATCATATGCCCTGCCAAGTGGCGTAGGCTCTCATGCATCTCCACTGATCACAATGCCTGGTTGCCTGGAACAGCTCTCTTGATGATATCCCTCCATGCCATCATTTTAGCCCATCCAGCGTCTCTCTTGATCTGCCCCTACCCCTCTTTCCACTGATCTTTCCAGTTGTCACGATGTTTTCCAATGCTTCTCTTCTCATTACATGGCCAAAGAACAGTGTTTGTCTCTTTCTTATTGTTGCATACAGAGATCTACATTCATTAGCTTCTGTCAAGCAATCGTTGTTAGTTACTCTGGCTGTCCACGGTATTCGTAACTTTCATTTCAGAAACTACATCTCTGGTTCTTACAAAATCTTCTTAATTTGTTCTCTGACATTCCAAGATTTGCTGCCAAACAGCAGAACTGGTTCTATGTGACATTTAAGCACTCTCTTTCTGACATTAAATGACAGCAATTTATTGCATATTTGTAATTTTCTGAACTTGCCCAGGTTTGGAGCACAAAATACCCATGTCAGAGATACAGTTTCAGCATGAAACTCTGAACACTTACCTGGCAGCGCAGTAAGAGACTGTACTGTTTGGTTTTCTCATAGTCCAACTGCTGGGCCACAGAGATATTCACTTTATTGAGTCCACCGAGCTGATACTCTGATATGGCAAAGCTTCCAGCCTGCTGTGACTGCAGAACTCCCCTGGAATCGACCAGAAAGTACTGGACACGTGGGTTCTGCATGTTGGAATGGCAGGTCAAGGTGGTGATCACAGCCTCCTGTGTATTTGGGATCACGGTTTCAGCAATTTTATAGGAATATGAATAAGATGTAGGGTCTGGATCAAACCTGAAAGATACAAGTTAGAACTATCAGCCAATGAGCCTGTAGCTCACAGCGAACCAGCTGGCAAGTTAACACAGTAATACAAGCAGGAAGAAGCATGGACAGGGCTGCGTTAGCGCAGTCGATAAGAGGGTCGCTTTCAAATCCAGCTGCGACTCACTGCAGCCCACGGTCGGTGTTCGAAACCGGGCAGCTTCCGGGGTTCACCGGCCTCTAGGAAATGGGTGCCAGAGTTGACACTCTGGGGTAAATGGAGGAACAACGCTGTAGCTACAGAGTTACGTGCGAACAGCGACACAGGCGGACAATTCTTGTCAGCTGCCCGTACTGGTGGAAGAGCATTTATGGTTTATAACCGTGTGCAATGACGCTTGTTCACATCTCCCGACATTACCTTTTTTGGACAGGGCTGATTCTTGCAATGCTATATGGAATAAACTGGTAGATAATGAGTCTCTGATGCTAATCCCATTTCATACTTTAGAAGTGAAGCCTGGCCAAGCATGTCTATATCACATTCAAGGTCAAGATAGGAGCAATTACAAATTCTCATGGAAACAGTCAGCAGGGCTACCCTGGATGGCTGCTACAACGGAGGACTAAACTACATATGAATGCTCAATGTGAGAGTGACACTGATGGTGACAATGAGTTGAGTTGATTCAAGAACCGACATCACAGAACTCGGGGCATTCCCATAAGCGCTCCATCCCCATCTTCAGCAGCCAGTGGAGAGTTCCAATACTAATGGCGCCAGTAGCATTCTGATCTGATTGTGACAATATAACATTTTACAGAAGAATCTAACTCTTTTGTAATTAGGCCTCCCCCCCCCCCCCCCTCTCTCTCCAAAAAATACAGAAAAAATTTTGAATTTTTTTTTTACCCAAGTCACTAATACGTTGGTTAACATTTATTTGTCGGCATTTGGTATTTAGTTTTTGAAATATATAAAGATATGGAAAGGAAGTAATCAACAGAAACATAAAGGAAGTAATCAATAAACATGAACAGAGTGAGGCATTTGATGCAATACACTTCCTGATGCCCTCAACAAATGGATCGATGTATGCCATAACACTGAGACCATTACCATTAAGGCTACATGAAAATGATGATGTTTATGTGGCTTTAAAAAAGCTGTTTGGTTTACAAGAAAACTTCCCTAAATGGCAATTTTTAGTAAATATATTTATATTAGAGCCTTCTAAGAGCTGTGCAAGTGCAAAAAGAACCAATGACATTAAACTACACTTCTTGCTAACAGGTTACTACAGACATGCCTTTACTGGGATGTGGCACTTGCCAGAATGCTGGGTTCACAGCTTCCTGGGGTGACAGGATTAAACATGACATCCATCTCTATTTTGACTCAAAGAGGGTAAAGAGGTCTCTCCAAGACAGTACTCTGATAGCAAGCCAGGAAAAAAAAAAGTTTCTATACTTTGATAAATAGAAGTCCCTTTTATGAACTTTGGTGACCTGTGAACCAGCACGTCCGCCTGAAATGATGTGTCATAATTTGCCAGGAAATTCACTACCATCAAAGAGCAACAACAGTATAAGTGAGTGACGATATCAGAAAATGAAACCCAAAAGCTGATTACTTACTTGGGTGGTTCACTGGTTTCAGTTGCAACCTCAATTCTGACCATCACAGTGCCCTCTCTTGGTGGGTTTCCATTATCTTCAGCTTTCACCAACAAATTGTACTCAGTTTTCTACCAAAAATAAAATAAATAAAGATTAACTAAATCAAGCTGTGCACCTTGATAGACATTTACAGATTACCCTAAAGTCTCCCAATGTCTCTAAATACATTGCACCACCACAATTTCTATAATTCCCCCAAGTCCTATGGTAGATACTGCTTCTGAGGTGTAAAGTGTTGGATTTACCAATTCTACACAGTCTGACAAATAAATAATGAGCCCTGGTCAGCAGACAAATAACCCATCATTTTGTTTAACTAGTGAGAGTAACATGGTTACATATGCAGCATGAAGGAAATAGTGAACATTATGTTTCATAATTGGGAAAGTGCTCCTGAGACAGCCAAACTGATGAGTTTATCAACACTTTAATTATCTGCCATCATCCTCACAGTCAGACATCGGTCTTAATGCATCTGTCCTCTTACTCTGTCAAATAGTTCATCATTACGAACAGAAACTGAACATCACTGCCTAGTATTATCTTTAATCTTTTCCACACCAGTGCTGAATGATGAATCCAATCTGAATTTATATGCAGGAGATAAACACGGATACCACAAACCTTTCTCACCAATTTATCTGCCTCAAAAGCACTTTTACAGAGTTTAAAACAAAATTTAATGTTCGCACTTTGCTCTATGCTACAAAAGTAACAAAAAAAAATCTCAGGGATGAAAAAATAGCGGACTACTTATCATCTGCTGACCATGCATGCAGTGTTGCAATCTGGCAAAAAATCACAGATGAATAATGCCTGTTTGGATTACACATTTTACTTTATGGATGGCATGTTTGTCATCATCATCATAATAAAATCAGTCTCACTATTTACTTGTTGGCAGGTAGAAAACAAAATAATGAGGTTATTTTTAAAGAACAAACAACCTCAGGTAGTCCTACCTAAAAAGAAACAGCAAAACCAAAACTGCTCCTGTAAAAGAACTCACCGAAGCTGTCAAGTGGGACTTCAAAAAGATGAGACCACTTTCCTTGTAGATCCCAAAGACACCACCGCCATCCTGTACCATGGAGTAGGAAATCCTGGCGTTTTCTCCAATGTCTCTGTCTGTTGCCCCGACACGAAGGATCACCTGAGAAAGCAATGTTTACATAATGTCATTAGGATCATTTATGAATGACTGCTGATGAAGATACAATGTTATATGATACAACATATATGAGTTTCTGGGAATGTGCAATCAAGTGTGCATCAAGCAAGAAAGGACATAGGAGAGGAAGAGTACAATGTGTATGTACAACCAGTGAGTTACTGGAATAATCAACATTTACACCTTAATCTGTTTGTCCTGTAAAAATCTTTTAAAAAAATGTAACCTACTTTTAAAAAAAATTATTAACCCCCCCCCCCCCCCCCCCTCCCCCCATCAAACTCTACCCTAAGAAACTATCGGAAGAGCAAATGAAGCAGAAAGAAAATATTTTGAGATATGTGGTTTATATAAACATCAGCGGGTCAAACACCTAGAACAATGAGCAGACATGTGAGTGTGATTCCACAAATACATAACGCCCATCAAAAGACTACAATAATTCATATTAATGTCTTTTTGGACAAAACCAAATATTTTGGTAAGGGAATTAATCATTAAATACAAACCTATTAAAAGGGAGGAAGAGACAAAAGGAGAGTGGAAAGAGTGAGAGCAACAGAGACAGAAGAAAGGAATCTTACACATAAGAAACATGGAAAATACATGAAAGGATAAATGACGTATAACAAAACACCCAAGAGACAGGAAGACGAAAGAATGCAAACCAAGCTGTTCAGTTTTAGACATAAGATTAACAATATTAAGGTGAAGAATAAACACAAACATCCTAAGACACAGAGGTCAAGCCCTATATTCCCAATGTGCCTGAAAGCCTGAGAAAGGGCTTTTACTTTACTAATTTTAAGAAAGAAAATGAAATGACAAATTGTCTTAGAGATAGAAAAAAGAAATACAATGACATTAAAGTATGGTTTTAAACATTTTGAAAAATGGACATCAAAAATAAAAAAAAAGGAACATGGTATAAAACAGCACAAAGTAAAATTAATGGGAAGCAGAATAATACAGAATTGGTAGCAAAATACAGCTGAACTTATTGGTCAGCACAACCCCCACCCTTACAGGTAAAAACATTAAAATACACATAGAAATGCTATTCCCCTCCCCAACCTCCCCACCACATGCTGTAAAAAGTTAATTCGATTGATTATAACCCTCACCCTTCTCTTTACAATAATTGCTAAAACCATACCCAATCAATCTAAGCAATCATCTCTAAAAATATACCCAAATAATCTGAGCAATCATTTCTTTACAAAAAAACATACCCGATTGATTTGAGCATTTGTTGAAATCTTTTCACTGTAACTGAGAGAATTAAACACAGGAGAATTATCATTAATGTCCTGGACAGCCACACGGAAGGTACACCAGCCCTCTTGTGGCGTCTGGGCTTTGTCTGATCCTTTCACTGTCACCTGTGTACACAATAGATAACAAGATATTTTGCAGCAGCGAAAAAGGAGTGTAATCTCCCTGTGTGCATACACGTAAAATACTTCTCTCTTATTTCCATTTATCCCCGTGTGGGTTCTGGAGCCCCATATTTATTGTTTTTTTTTAAAGAAAAAAAATAGACCCACTGCCCCTTAATGAGCGTTTCCTACAAGGTCACTAATTAAGGACTTACTGAACTGGATGTGTTGGGCTCAAAAGTGTATATTTTGCAGCCTAGCTGTAGACCACAACACAATATGCCAAAAACACTTCAGAGGGTGAACAAAGTACAAGATTTCCATTTAAAGATTATCACTGTTAATTCAAACTACTTTTTCTCTCCTACTAAATGCAGCTGTGTAGGGAAATGATCATACTGACAGACTGGCTGCTGTGACTTTTCTGGCTGAAATCCTACTTAATGTTCACAGAGATGTGATGAAAGCTTTTTAGCATCAGGTGAACAGAGCAGAACAACAGACCATCCGCGCTTGGTGAGAACAGTTCAGTCCGGCGAGAATAGTTCAGTCAGGTGTGAACAGTTCAACTGGCAAGAACAATCCAGTCTGGCAAGAACAATTCAGTCTGGCAAGAACAATTCAGTCTGGCGAGAACAATTCAGTCTGGCGAGAACAATTCAGTCTCGCGAGAACAGTTCAGTGTGAAGTGTTCAGAGGATTTGCATGATTCATCCCAAGTTTCTGTTTTTGTTTCAAAACAGAATTTACATTGTGAACTGGACACAACAGACTCTGCAGCCATATATACTTCTTCTTCTTCTTCAGCATTCAGAGCGCTTGAGGTTCATTCCTACAGATATCCCTCGCCTCCACTCATCTCTCTGGTTAGACGTCTCTTTCCAGTTGGTGACACCTAGTGTTTGCAGGTATGTCTGGATGCTATCTCTTCAATGTTTTCTTTGTCTGCCTCGTGGTCTACGACCATTCAGCTCCCTTGTGTATATAGTTTTTACCTCTCTGACATCTGACATTCTCTCAATATGCCCAAGACATTTTAGTCTATTAGATCTCATGATGCCAGTGATCAATGGTGATTTCAACAGATTATGAATTTCGTTGTTGCTTCTCACTCAGCCATATGTATAGGAGATTAAAAATGTGAGGACTCAGAACTCAGCCCATGTGGATGGGTACCCCAGAGAAGTGAGCATGTGCTGCAGACATACTTTCTACATGCAGCAGAAAGATCCCAGATCAGGCCAGTTGGCTTTCTGGTAAAAACGAAGCCATATGTGTCAGTGGAGGCTATGCATCACACCACAGACTTCATAGAGACATGGAATTCTAGAGACATGGAATTCTAGAGACATGGAATTCTCATCTGATAACTACAGGCAGGGAGAATTAAAATAAGAAGATACTCTATCATAATCATCATCATTATCATCAATCAGCAAGTCCTTTACAGAACGTCGCTCTCTTCACGCCTGAAAGTATTCCCTTCCCTAGTCAGCTCTCCAACCCCATGTGCTTCCAAGTTGAGTTTCTAGTGATATATAATGTGGTAGTCTCCCCTTGCTTTCCACATCCATACGGCTGAGCATCTCAACCTTCAGCAATCTTTTACAATGCCTGGGTAAGTGAGTACCCTACTCTGCAATGCTTTTGCTAACAGCAGATAGCACCAAAGAGTTGTCCGCTTATTCTGGAGGATTCTCGGTCCCAAAGACTGTGCCAGCCACAGTGAGGTGTGTTTCCGTCCTCTACAACGAGGAGATACTCAATGCATAGAGGAAAAGACAGATGGACTTTCAATCATAACCACTGGCACTGTCAGCATGAGATCTCTTTGTTGACTATTTGAAAGCAGGAACACATGAATAAGCACACTGATGAACACTGAATTGGATTAACTCAATAAAAGCAAAGAAATAAGAGAAATATCAGAATAACTGCTTGTGTCAAGTTTTGAGAAATGATAAAAAAAAGATGGCAACATATTGGGCGCACCGTGGGGAAGAAGCAAAGAGAGTTTTACCAAACAGGCACCAAAATGGGAAACAACTGGACTGGGGAAATGTGTATATCCAAGAAAATCATCAGCGCGAGAGCCCAAAGATATTGGATCAGGTTCAATCCATTATATCCAAAGGTTAGCAGAGGATAAAAAAGGAACAGAGGACTAGACTGTGAGCCTATATGATGTATGAAGGATGATCAAAAAAGTAATGCCTGTTTAATTTTTTTAATCTATGTAAATACTGTATTGGTGTGAAATATGCAAATTTAGCAGGATTCATCAAACACTCTTCTGCACTGTATAGCATTACCAACCGGTACTAGTAACAGGTGGTACCACTGTAACAGTTCTAACATGGCTTCCAAAGATGTACGATTCAAGCAACATAATGACTTAAAATTTCTCAATGCTGAAGGTCAGACCACAATTTACATCAACAAATGTTTGAAGAATGTTTATGGAGATTCTTCTTCTTCTTCTGTATTCTTCCAAAAATGCAATTACGTTGTGACCGTTTACAGCACAGCTGCAATATTTGCACCTTTCAGGCAACACATCCGACCGCTGCGGGTGTTTCTGTGGCAAAGAACAACCAACCGCACTGTGGCTTCGGCGTTGCGAACACACTTCGTAATGCCGGGTTAAATCCCAGCTGTGGACGATTTGTCTTGCGTTGGTTTCAACAGCAGTACCGAGAGCTGACCATTCAAAAAGCAACGAAAAACTACTGAACATAGAATGTGCCCAGAAAAACCTCAACAGCCAAAAAAAATGCTGGGGTTGGTTCTGCAACATCCTATAATGGTTATGCAACTAATTTTTTTTAACCACCCTTAAGACATCTGTGATGCACTGAGGTGGAAAAGCAGGAAGAGAATAAGGATTTAAAAAAAAAAAAAAAAAAGCAAAGAAAGAAAACAACTGCTTATAAGTTCAAGCTGAGTGTCTAAAAATAAGCATGTCAAATACACAGAAAACAAATGACCCTTACCTGAATGTAGTCTTTATCCAATGCCTCTCTGTTCACTTTTGACTTCACTGTTATCTGGCCTGAAGATTTATCAATGTCAAACGGGGCATCAGCCAACAATGTAGACGGAGACTCAATGGAATAGTCAATGACCCCATTCAGTCCTCTGTCCGGATCACTAGCAACCACCTAAACAAGACATAAGGGTAAATAATGTTAAGATGACACAGCGAGACTTTTACTCTTTTGGTACTAAGGAACACATCAAACGTTTATTTATAACTAATTTAACTGTCTTCTGGTACGCCATCTCGCCTGTGCTCTTTAACGTGTATACAAGCAAGATTGCAAGCCTAGAAGCACCAGGAGTTGGAAGGATACTGACTTTTGCGGATGATATACTTGCATATAGGCAGGGAGAAGAGAGGGAACAAACAGCCCAGGAGCTACAAGCGACAGTAGACAAAGTGACTTGAGTGGTGTATAGAAATGAGGGCTGTTGTCCATCCGGAAAAGGCGTCTGTTTTGTTGTCTGTTTTTAAAGCTAATGTCCAGAGTCTCACGATAGATGGCAGAAAAGTCAACAGAGAGAGCAAACTGAAGTATCTGGGAATTACATTTGACAGGTGTCTGTCCTTTAAGGACCATGTGAAGAGTGTTGTGACAAGATGCAGAAAGGACTTAGTGCACTTAAGACTATGGCTGCAATTGATATAGAGCAGAGAATGCTTTTCACACTATATCAGCCCCTGATCCTGTCAGTGGTTATGGCCTGCGACTGCTTACCGCCTCAAAGAGTCAGATGGACAAACTAGAGCGCACTCAGAACGCAGCTATGTGGGTAATTCTGGGTTGCACAATAGACACCCCAGTGGTGTGTATGCAAAACATCCTTGGTTTGCTGGCTGTTGCAGGTAGGCAAAAGATGCTGCAGGCGAAGTCATCGCTGGATAGCTGCAGACACAGACCACCCTTTTCACGAAGCTCTGGGTGCAGTTTAGGGTGGCATTCTTCGCTGCGGAGGACATGGGTAAGGAGTATTGTCTGGATGTTTTCATTGGAATACACCGGCGTGTTGGGAAATGAACAGTCGGACCGACTGGCTGGCTCTGCACAACTTGGTGGAATACTGATACATGATAAGGCAGACGTGGTTAGTACCTTGTGGGAGAGCGTGTACAGTTCGGATGAGAAGATGGATCACCACAGTCTGATGAGATTGATGCAGGGGAGAGTGACGAGAGGTTCTGGCAAATGCTCGAGGCTCAGAGGAAAGGCAAGACGGACGTTTAATCAGAATGCTACTGGCACCATTAGTATCGGAACTCTTTGCTGGCTGCTGAAGATAGGGGCGGAGAGCTTATGGAAATGCCCCGAGTGCTGTGATGTCGGTTCTTGAATCAAATCAAACCAAAAAAAAATCATGATACTGAAAGAGGTAAGGTAAAAAAGTTTAAACAAGACATAAAAGCACTTTTTTCCATGCCATTAAGTGTACTGGGTATATAGCGCTAGATTATGTTTAACAGACCAACTGGCATTTGGTGGGTGATAAGTCATCATGAGGCTGGTCATCTTTACTTCCCAGGGCCTTACCTGGTACCCATTTTAGGCTGGATAAACCTGTAAGCCAAGGCCATTTTTAAAGAGAAAAAATCAGTCTCAATGAGGATATGAACCCACAGCCTTTGAGCCAGCATGTAAGCGTCTAACTGTTAAGCCATGGCAGCTCCTTAAACAAGACACACCAAATGACACAGTTAGATAGGAAAAGTAAAAAAAGTTAGTTGCATAGCCTTCACAGGACGTTGCAGAACCCACCCCAGCATTTACTGGCTGTTGTGGTTTTTCTTGGCAAAATTTTACATTCAATAGTTTGCCACTGCTTTCTGAACAGTCACATGAAACTACTGTTGAAACCAGCACAAGACAAATCGTCCGCAGCAGGGATCGAACCCGGCACCCTGGCTTTACAAAGGGTGTTTGCAACGCCTAAGCCACAGATGCCAACAGGAAAAGTAAACAAATTTGAAAACAACATCAGAAATTAAGGTTAGCAGTTTTAACATGAAGTAAGAACTATTCTTATTCAGCTGGCGGCCCGCGGGTCAAATCTGGCTCCCAGAGGCTTAACAAGTAGCCCACAGATCATTGCCAGTTGTACTTTTATTAATTATCCTTCTATGTTGGAGTTCAGGTGTCTGGCCCGTGACAATCCCCCCCCCCCTCCCATAAAAAATGACTTTGCTGCACCTGAGTAAACTTAGTCAAAAAGACCTAAAGCAAGATATAGCCCTGAAGCAAGATATAAAGATAAACAGTTTATACACAACATAACAGGACATTAAAGGTGAACAGACTAAACATGAGATAAGACATTAGGATCAACAGCTTCAAAATGACATAACTAAACAGTAAAGGTAAACTATATGAACATGACATTAGAGATTAAAGGCAAATAAAATGAACATTACTAGTCATTAAGGTAAACAATTTAAAAAGGAGGAAACACATTATAGATAAAACAGTTAAAAACAACATTTGGCATTATAGTAAACAGTTTTAAAAAGACAATTGAAAAAATGAGGTAACACATTATAGATATAACAGTTTAAAAAACAACATATAGCATTACAGTAAACAGTTTTAAAATGACCTTGGGTAAGCAGTTTAAAATGAGATAACATATTACAGATAAAACAACATATATCACTACAGAAAACAGTTTTTAAATGACTTAACGTGAATAATTTAAAAATGAGATAACACATTATAGATAAAACAGTTAAAATACAACATATAACATTACAGTAAAATAGTTTTCAAATGGCTTTGCCAGACATTAAGTTAAACAGCTTTAACACAACATAACAAGATCTTAAGCTAAACAATATGACTAGAATGGTTTGCAGACTAGTTTGAGGCCCTACTGTTAAAACCATACACCAGTAAAACCTCATTAACAGGAACTCCAAGGGACTAAACAATCAAAAGTTTTGTATTAAAAAAAAATAATATATTTTAACCATGGACTAATTAATGTATCGTTAAAACATCCCTGCTGGGACCACAGTTTTGTTCATTTTAACCTAGTGTTCAACTTAAGCAAGTTTGTTTAACGAGGTTTTACTGTAATCCACATAATCCTCTGCTTCTTTGAATTCATTGGCTGTAAACCCTGGTGGAAAGTTCTAGTTGTCAGTCCAATTCTGGCTTAAGTCTTTTCCCAGAACTTGAGTTTTGCATGCACATTCGTTTTACAGATATGGCTTAAATGTATGCAAACTGTTGGTTCCTTGCCTTTCAGGCAGATCACTCTGGCTTCAAAAGGAAACACTCCTCATTAGTAGACTTTTCTGACAAGGTGCATTGGGTCTATTCTTCCCCTCCTCCCACAAGGGGATCTACATAATTATCTCAGCACATCTTTATGAGAAAAGCTCGCTTACCTTGATCACTGGAGTCCCTGGTTCAGACTCCTCCTTAAACGTAGCCATTTGTGAATACTCCAGGCAGTTCTTGAAAAATGGCTTCTGGTTGACGGAATCCACAATATCCACTAGAAAGACAGCAGTGCTCTCTAACTGTACAGTTCCACCACAGCAGGAGCCATCATCCACAGCACTAATGTTCAGAGCGTAAGAGTTCCTGTTAGAAGGAACTTCTCCGATCACTTTGATGATGCCCGAAGAAGGTTTGATGTTAAAAATCTCATATTTTTCTGCCCGAGCTGAGGAAAATGAGAGAAGTTAAATAGGTCATTAAATATTTAAACATTAAATTAACAGTATACAAATATAAACACCTCTGTGAGGGTAGAGGTCAGAGGTCATAGCTATCCATGTCTGATGGTTGGCTGCCACATGTTTTAGGTCTCAGATGTTCATTAGGCCCATGGTTGAGCTTTCCTTGATGATAGTTCTACACAGGGTCTCTCTTGGTCTTCTCAGAACAAAGAACCCTCTGTGTGAGTCATTTTGGAAGAAAAAAAACCAACTGCCCCTTAACAACTAGATGTGTTGAAATCATTCAGAATATGTATTCATGACCAAATATGAACCAAGGGTAGCAGTGGGTCTACTCCTCCCCCCACCCCATATGGGGACATACTTCAGATCCAATACGCAAATAAGACAAGAGACCAAGCAAGATAATGTATCTAGTTTGATAAGAAAGCGCAATTAGAACTACATCGGCCATGCATTCAGAACGGACAAGACCAGACTTCCCATTAAGCCCTCATACGGACACAGGAAGAGAAAAGATAACGGAGAAGACCAAGAGAGAACCTGCGTAGAACCGTCATCAAGGAAGGCTCAACCATGAGCCTAATGAATATCTGAGACTTAAAACATGTGGCAAAAAAACACCAGACATGGAGAGCTATGACCTCTGCCCTATGAGACGCCCTATGCACCACCCTAGGCTCAAGAGGAAAGACTAACTACTAACTAACTAACTAACCAACCCCAAATGGGGTCCTGAAACCCACACTAGGATGATCCAGTTTGGAAATAATAGAAATGATGATCTCTGCAGAGCAGACACCCTCCCTTCTAGCATGTTGTAAATGACGACAAATTTAGGGTTTCTGAATCCGGATATGTTGGCCTGAATTTGGATGTCATGGGCCAAATGCAGAGACATCACCTCTCTGTAATCAATATCACAATGGGCCAACCGCCCTTTTAATGACAAATGCAGAAGAAGGATACTTACGAGTAAAATAAAATTTGACATTATCACCATCAGCATCAGTTGCTCGCAGTCTTGTCAGGATAAAATTAGCTGGCACCACATCTCGTAAAACAAGTGTCCCTGACGGAACAAACACTGGCTTCTCATCGTTCACATTAGTTGTGGTAATCGTAACATCCACTGAACTCGACAAAACTGGGGTGCCAGCATCTTTGGCATATACAATAAATTTGTAGGTGGGTCCTGGGAAGGCGTCAAAGTCCAGTTTACTGAAATTAAAATATCAATGAGGTTTATGAGAACTTTAGCAAAAAAATGATATATCCACAATTTTGTATGTCTTTGTTATTTCTTTTCTTCTTCTTCACATTCACCAGCTGTAAACTCTGACGGAAAGTTCTGGTTGCTGATCCACTTCTGGACTGCAGTCCTGTTTCAGAACCTGAGTGTTGCGTGTGCATCCATTTGACAGATCTGACTTATTTGTGTGCAGACTGCTGGTTCCTTGCCTCTCGGGCAGATGCACTCTGACTTTAAAGGAAGCTCCCAGTTAGTCGACTTTTACGACAAGCTTTTGGGTAGGCAATGGGTTTATTCTTGTTTTCCCTATAACAGGGCCCCAGAACCCACACGGGGATCTTCATTATTTGTAACTTTTCTTCTTTTTCTGCAATCACCTTTAAAAGGGCAGTTGGCACACTGTTATGTTTTCAAAATCAAGTTCTTTGCACACTGGACATCCCCATACATGCTCAGTCCTCCGATGCAGTAGCCACTCCAGGGTACCTCTACTGATTGTTCTCATGAGGAGTTGGTTAAGAATCTCCTGTCTCTACCTCGAAGAGGACACAGATGAGCTTCACCAAGCTTAACTCCTCGGTCATGTAATCATGTTAGCGCCAGATATTCAACATTATCCTCCAACTAAGTCCACGCAGCATTGATGATATCAGCTCTATCCATGCCACCTCCTGTCTGGCACACTACTGTGTTTACAGCTAGGCTGCTACATCTGCCTATTTTAGCCTCAACACTACAAACTTCAGAAAACCCCTTAATTAATTACCTTTACTGACAAGCTTGTTGTGGGTTGGAAGGGTGGGGATGGGGGTGGTGGGGGGAAGGGTGTATTATTATTATTAAGACCCTAAAATAAGGCCCCAAACCCACCCAGGGAAATTGTAACTCTATAATGTTCCCTCCTCCCCCCTTTTTTCATAGCGAGTATGACAACGACTTATGCACAAGAATTGACATCACAGCACTCAGGTCATTCCCTATACAAGCTCCGTCCCCATCCTCAGCAGCCAGCGCAGAGTTCCAGTACTAATGGTGCCAGCCGTAGTCTGGTTGTATATCCATCTTGCCTTTCCTCTGAGCGTAGTGTGCCGGCCGAACCCTCTACACCCAGCTGCTGAGAATGAGAAAACATGATCAACCTGTAATAACTATGAAACCCACAACCCAAAGAATAAACGAGAACCACAGAGAAGAGAATTAAAGACTGAAGTCAATAAGATGGGGAGGCCTTGCTGTGAGCTGGCAAAGAATACCAAAAAAACAGGATGACCTGGCATGAGTTGGCTGCGCACCTATTATATCCGATAGTGGAATAATGAGGGGGAAAAAAAGGACAGGAACTGATACATGTGTTCCCCATCGGGATTGGAAAGGAGGGTGGGGGAACCACCCAATGACAGAAGAAGTTACATGTATAGGTGACTGTAAGATGAGAAGTAGTTGGCAAAGCACCTGGTGATGATAATAACTGGTTGTACTTACTCTTTAACAGTTATAACCCCTTCTTTGCCAACTTTCTTGATTTGAAAGTAAGGATTATCCAGTTCATATTTAACAATGGCATTGTCACCAGAGTCACTGTCTTCAGCTAGCACAGACAGAACTGTCTTCCCAACTTCCAAGTCCTCCCGAATAGTTTTCAGATACTGTGTAAGCTGAAATCTTGGTGGGTTGTCATTGACATCTTTCAAGAGGATCTCCAGCTGTACAAATACAAATATTACAGTAACATATCAGTTTGCTTATTTATGTAGTAACACTGATAGTCAAGGAAACAGAGAAAGAAGTTTTGACATGCACTGGCATGTATGTGATATATATATATATGCACGCACGTGTGTGAGAGTGACTATATGTGTAGGTGTGTTTGTGTATGTGTGTGTGTATTCATGCTTCTGTGGGTTTTTTAAAACCCAATATTCATATTATGTATTTTGTTATATGAAATTAACATACTTAATTGATAAAATTCAAATTCAAAATGATTAGTGTTTGGAAGGAACACACGTAAGATGAATCAAAATGCCCAATTTTAAACTTTTGAAAATAAAGTTTTTTCAATCCCAGGACATTATCTGGTACCAATTTTAGACAGGGTCGAACTGGGAGCCCAGGTCTACTTTACATTAAAAAAAAAAATCTATCTTGCTGCTGATATGAACCATAGATTTTGGGCCAGCAAGTGAGCTCCTAGCGATTATGCTACCATGGCTACTGTGTCTTTCTTATAATTGTGTGGAATGTTCCTCTTTAAAGAGTTTGTTTAATTCATTCTCAATTCCTTGTGTGGGTTTTCTGGCTCCATTTTGGAAGATAAAGAACAGATCTTCTGCTGCTCGAACAACCACGTCACAGGAGGTGACTAATTAGGGGGTGTTTCCTTCAGAGGAAGGACATCTGCCTGACAGGCAAAGAACCAACGGTCTGCATATAATTAAGCCAGATCTTTAAAATGGATGCGCACATAAAACTCTGGATCAAGATCAAAGTCTAGGAATGGACAAACAAAAACTTTCCGCCAGAGTTTACAGCCGGTGAATGCTAAGAAGAAGAAGAAAAGGTTCTTTTGTAATATCCTACCCCAGATGATGTCAAAGGACAGTCCAACATTTTAGAGGGTGGTAAGACTGGGTTTCCCAGCTTTCTGATGCTTTTAACGACCCCAAAACATCTAGAACTGGCCCTTACTCCAACCCACCTAGGTTTCAACAGAAAGTGCAGCCTAGGTCCCACGACTGCATGCAGCCTAGATCCCACAACTGCATGTAGCCTATCTACCACCTCTTAAATATGCGACTGTCCAGTAACCTGTGGATTTCAAATGTTTGGGGTAGGATATTTAGAAAGCACAGAAGAAAAAATAATTAATCCTCAGTTATGTTGACAGCCTGTTATTCATATAATTTTTCTCAGAAAACACATCTCTACCTTCAAGTGTCTCCGAATTTCATGACTAATGAAGACAAACAGTTATTAAGAAAATATGCTATGAATGACATAGCCAACAAAAATATGGTGCACTGTTCTGTACCAAATGAATTAAGGGGAAACAAGACTTACAGGAACTGTCTGCACCAAATCTCCATTGTCTGACATCTCTCTGACCTTGACTTGGAGTTTGAACTTTGGTGGTCGCTGAGTTTGCTGAACGTCAAAATCTAACACCTAGAGGAAAAAATTGGCTGTAAATTGTTAGGGCGCAGGCAACACACTATGTTTAAGCTCCCCTGCTAATTTTTACATATTTCTTAATTCTCTCTGCCCTATTCTTTTATGTAAAATCCTAATACACCTTCTCCTCGACTTATGATGTATATGATGTACGACCATTCACCATACTTCTTCTTCTTCTTTCATCGTCTTACTGATACCAGGTTGTAGCCCAGTGTTGTGGCTTTCTGTATTTTTCTTGCACTTTTCAGCTGGCTTGAGTGATGAATTTTTTCCATCTTTTTGCAGGTTTCTGCTACACCATTTATCCATTTCTTTCTTCCTCCCAGATGTTCTGCTGTAAAAAGTATCATATGCAGTTTGGTCTGGCTGCATTCTCAGTTGATGGCTCAACCATTTCATTCTTTGTGTCAATATAATCCAGGAATGGTCTTACTCTGATTTTTTCACCCTTATGACCACAAAAATAAAATAAATAAAAATAGGACAAAAAAGAAAGACATTGGTAGGGTCAAAGTTATCAGAAATGATGCCTAGAGTATATTATGTACAAAAACTGCATGTAAATTATACTGAGTTGTGTTTTATAATCCGTTTGAATGAAAATAGTACTGAAACATATCAGTTCAACTTACAACTAGTTAAACTTGCAACCTGCTAATCAGAACTAAACTCGACTGTAAGTTGAGGAAATTCTGTATCCTATTTGTTGCACTAACTAATTCATAGCACTATTTATTGTAAAAATTCAATTAGATTCAAAGTTTATTATGTTATAGTACACACACTTTGAGACAGAATGTGTTAAAATGTATAGGATCCGAAGAATTAATTGTAAAAAGAGACTCTCTCTCACACACAAAAGTATTATTTCACTCAATCAGACTCGAAGTTTGTTACTGTACAGTACACATGCTTTGAGACAGGAAGTCTTAACCCTACCAGACCGCTGGCCCGATTTTTGGGGAATTTCTTAACCACAGTCCAACAGGTGATCGATACTTTGGCTTATTCAGACTTTGCAGAGTCATAATTTCATGAAGAATATGTTCACAGTTGAAGTGACACATTCAGCTCGAATCATGAGGAGGATCTTGAAAATTATAAATCTAGAAATAGATCGGTAGTAAGAGAAGGGGGCATGTCCCTCAAACAGCAACATCTGGTGCTCACTTTGTGAAACAATCTTGATCCTCCTGAGTGGATTGGCACACAAAGATGGAATATTGGCGCTAGATAAAAGATAAGCCTATTTTCTACAATGTCTCCAAGTTTGATCTTATTCTACCACTTGTTTGCATGTAACAAATATTTGTGTACATCATGTTGGTTTTTTTTGCATTAATGCCCAGGAGCTCAGGTATAGGGGACAGATAGGTTCAGGGCCTCAGGTCTGGTAGGGTTAAAGTGTAGGGGATCAGAAAAATTAACAGTAATAACAGACTTTCTCTCTCATGTAAAATAAAATTAACAGTAAAAATAGACTTACGCTCCCATAATTCTGCCTTTCCTCCCCTCCAACTTTCCTACGGTTGCGACAGTCCAGGTTTAAACTTCTCATCACATGACCAAAGAATGTAGATTGTCTCTTTCTGATGTGGGTAATCAGTTCTCTTTGTGAGTTAGTGTCTTTCAAGACGTCTTCACTACTCTTTTTGTATGTCCAGGATATTCTCATCATTTGTCTATAAAACCACAGCTTCCAAAATAATTTTTCACTTATCTACCAAATGTCCATGATTCATTTCCGTATATCAGCTTTTAAGAATTCTCTTTGTCGTCTCAGTCGACAAAGAAAGAATGCATAAAATATTCTTCATTTTGTAAAATGTTGATTTTGCTTGAGCTATTCTACATTTAACTTCTTTAATTCCACTTCCATCTGACGTTATAAGGGTACCTTAGTATTCAAAGAATCAAATTGCTTGAGGTTTGTCCCATTTACTTTGATGTTGCAATTTGGAAGCTCAGTTTTCTTTGTAATGACCATTACTTCTGTTATAAACATCAAAACCCCTGTGTGGGTTCTGGGGCCCCCTTGTGGGGGGAGGGAGTACAGACCCACTGCCCCATAACGAACATGTTGTAAGAGGCAACAAATTAGGAATGCTTCCTTCGATGTCAGAGTGCCTCTGCCTGCAATGCAAGGAACCAACAGTCTATATATAAATAAGTCAGATCTGTAAAACAGATGTGCATGCAAAACTCAGGTTCTGGAACAAGACTAAAGTCCAGAAGAGAATGAACCACAAGAACCTTCTGCCCGAGTTTACAGCCACTGAACAAGAACAAATAAGAACAAGATAAACATGAAAAGACAAAGCTTTCTCTCCCACTTACATCTTTGTTGTAGATAATGCCTTTCTCATCAATTCGGAATAAAGTAGACTCTTTGCCATTCTCATCCAAGATCCGAAAGGACTTGGGGTAATTCTGCTGAAACTGGTGAACCTGAACTGCCAGCTGCTCACCAGACTGTGAGAAAACCCTGGGGGAAAAGGAAACTGGAAAATGTCAACAGTTCAAAATAAAGTGAAAAATTTGAATAAAATGTGAAAAGTATATAGCAATGTAAAAAATGTCAACAGTACTAAGTAAAGTGGAACATTTCAAAAGCACAATGTGGAGCTGAGTTGAGATGATTAAAGAACGGACATTGCAGTACTTAGGGCATTCCTACAAGTGGTCCATCCCCAACTTCAGCAGCCAGCGCACGAGTTCCAATGCCAATGGTGTCAGGAGCAGTCTGATTATATGTCAGAGCTTTCCTCAGAGCTTCGAGTCATTTATCGCTGCATCACTCTCTCCAGACTGTGATGATTAATTTGCTGTTCCAAACTGTACACATGCTCTAATAAGGTCTTAACCATGTCTGCCATATCATGCATCAATAATCCATCAAGTTGTGCAGAGCCAGCCAATCTGACAGGCTGTTCATTTTTTCCAAACACACCGGCATACCCCAGAGAAAAGATCCAGACAGTGCTCTTCAAACGTTACCTCCGAAGCAAAGCATGCCACTCTGCACCGAGCATGCCTGTCCTCCCCTTCCTCAGCATGCTTTGTGAGTCAATTACAATCATGATGTCTGTGCATCATGTTTCTAGCCAGCGGAAAGCTGCAGTGACCACCTTCAGCACAAATCGGAAAATGTCCAAAGTACAAAGCAAAGTGGCAATTGTCGAAAGTACAAAGTAAGTGTGGTAAACTGTCAAAAGCACAAAATGAAACAGACATTACCAGTACAAAGTTTAGTTAATTCCTCAAGTCTAGTGCATGCTGGTACATATAATGTCTTGTAAAGTAATTGATTTAGGACTGAATACTATTAGGATAGAAAAGAATTAGCTTTAATTAAATTTTACTTCAGGTAGACCGAGATGTAGTGAGTCCAAAGGCAGTGGTCGGGGCTCACAAAGATCAGTTTCATTTGTGTGCCAGAGCAAGGAAACGAGCAAGCTGACTGGCTTGCAAAAAAGGCCACTGTGAAAGGCAGATGAGCCATGAAAGTGAGTGACTCTGCAAGAAGTAAGACATTTGTGAGAACCAAGTGACTATGAATCTGCAACCATGACCAGACTGCAGGAACATCAAGTAAAAAGATAGGTGGCCAGACATGAGCACTATGCAGTAGCTAAAGAAGAATTAAAATAAATCAGTACAGCACTGGTGTCGTCAGTCTCTAAACACTGCAGTATTTAATGAAGAGGGAAATCAGGCAATCATGGACTGAATGGTTGGATGAGCAATTAAGCTTATTCTGTCAACTAACTAAATTTAATTGAGTGAGCAAGATTTGTCAAGCACATAGACAGCAATCATCATAATCAACTGTTATTAAATGATAAGACTGAAACCCCAGCCCTCGACACCTACGGAGTGTTGGTATTCTTGGTCTCATAGATCCAGCCCTCATATTTCTGCTGGAAGAACTGAGGGGCTCGTGGTCCAACAGTCACGTTGACTTCCACAGTTACCACTTGGCTCTTGGGCTGTTTCCTGTCTCTGACTGTCACCTAGACAATGACAAGTCAATTAAGTGAGTGTCAGTAAAAATACAAGTAAAGCAGCCTCATTAACTTTGCTCCATAAATGCTTTAAAAAAAAAAAAGGGTCACAAACCTGTGGGAATTCCCCCCCCCCCCCCCCCCCCCCCCCCCAAGAAATATTCAACAAAATATTTTACTCAGGTAACTAAAAATAGAGCTTAACGAATTATTTAACTACTTTTAATTTAAACATTATACACACACACGCACACGCACACACACACATATATATATATATTAGTCTTTCCACTTGAGCCTAAGGCAGCACATAGGGCAGAGGTCATATCTCTCCATGTCTGGCGGTTCGTTGCCACCTGCTTTAGGTCTGCAATGTATATTAGGGCCATGGTTGAATGGTTGAGCCTTCCCTGATTATGGTTCTACGCAGAGTCTCTCTTGGTCTTCCCCATTTTCTTTACTTTCTGGGAGGGGGTTTACGCGTACGTTTGAGAAAAAAGAGAGTAAACAATAACAAGAACAGGCCAAAGCTTTAAATGAAATGTATTCCCTAGGGCCTGAAACAAAAATGTATCAGGTGACTAATGCCCTGACCCCGTCAACCTGGCTTTAATAAAAAGCCAAGGACACACCTTTTAATGCTACATTTAGTTAATATATTCATCTGCGTACATGATGATATATTCATATTTTTACAGACCAATCAGCATTTGGTTGGTTATGTGGATAACATCAAAATGTCCTCCTTTACTTCCCAAGACAATACCTGGTATCCATTTTAGGCTTGGTGAACTTAAGAGCCAAGGTTAATTTTCAACCATAAAAAATTCTGCCCTGATATAGATTCAAACCCAAAACTTTCAGGTCAGCAGTCGGGCATCCAGAAAATAAAGGTTTCATCAACATACCTCGTGGCAAATTAAGCACATGATAAACAATGAAATTGTCTATTTCCAAACTCTGAAACTCAGTGAACAGATGGTAAGAAAACAAAAGGGACCCATCTCCATGTCTTTGGGTGAATCTGGCATTCACATTTTTATTGACCAGTTAGCACTTGATGGGTCAGCAGATAACTCTGGCCACCTTTACTCCCCATAACATTTCCTGGTACTATTTTGCTGCTGACCCTGGAAGCCTGGCTTAATTTTACAAATCTTCCTGTGTGTGTTCTGGGACCCCAGTGTGGGGTGGGTGTTGGGAAGGGGAGAAGAACAGACTCTCTGCCTCTCTAACAAGCATGTCTTATAAGTCTACTATATTAGGAGTGTTTTTTTTCAAAATCATTGTGCAGCTGAGGTGAGGAGCCAACAGTCTGAATACAAATAGGCCAGATCAGTAAAAAGATGTGCACACAAATCTCAAATTCTAGTTCAAGGTTATAGTCTAGAAATAGACAGATAAGCAGAACTTCCACAGCCGTTTACAGCCGGTGAATGTGAATAAGAATTTTACAGATCAGCCTCTATGGGACCAAAGAAGTTAATCACCATGACCAAACTATGTATGGAAGACACTTGCAATACAGTAACATATAAAGGCAGAAAGTCAGACTGTTTTCAAATAACATCTGGTTTAAAGCAAGGTGATACTCTGTCCCCACTTCTTTGTAACTTGGCCCTGGAGAAAGTTATAAGGAAATTGAAACAAGAGTGCCCTTTGGGAGAAACTAGAAGAATACTTGGATATGCTGATGACATTGATATTGCTGGAAAGAATGAACGAGAGACTGTTAAAACACTGTCTGAAAAGAATCAGCTCAAAAAATGAGACTAGTTATCAATCAAAAGAAGACAGAATATACAATAATAACAAGACAGAATAAGTATATACTTTGGCCACATACAAGTCGATAATATGAAAATCAAACAAACGGAAACATATATATTTGGGTGCAACATGCTGAGAGAAAAATACAATCTAGAATACAATCTGGAAAAAAAGTATACTATGCCTTTCAATATCTGCTACAGTAAAAGAAGACAATGGAGAGATAATGTCCAGACGGACTGGAAAGAGAAGTGCAACCAGAGAGATGAGTGGAGGCGGGTGATATCTGCAGCAATGAACCTCAAGGGCTCAGAATTCTGAAGAAGAAGAAGTCTCTATGGGGATTCAAAGATAAGACCAGTGAACCAGCAGGAAAGCCCACCAGCTAGTTAGATGATAGAAAAAGAAACTTTTCACGGATCAAGACAAATCAAATATTCTATGTCTAATAATAAGAAATTACCGGAATCAGGTAGCTGCTTCCTAAGATGAATCTAGTACGTCTGGGGATTCTGATTTGTCCTTCCACTATTCTGTCACCACCTGTACCATCTTCCACCTGCTCTACTGTAAAAAAGTTCCTCACATCGGCACCTGAAAAAATATTCATAAACAATTAGCAGTAATAAACTCTATTTAGGATTGGAAGGTCGTGGGTTCGCTTCCTGGCGGAGCAGACTTTTTTTCATCCCAAAATGACCAATTAGCTTTGCTCCCAGGTAGAACCCGCCTTGAGTGGGCACCAGGTGCAGTCCTGGGAGGTAAAGATGGTGGTGTAATGCTGACCACATCACCTATCAAGTGCCGATTGGTCTATAAAAATATAAGTCTAGCCCCATATTCCCAAAATGCCTAAAGGTGCGGAAAAGGGACTTTTACTTTACTTAACTCTTTAAAGACGTTTCGCCAATATACTGGCAAATAAATTTATCCTTAATGGACGAATCCCCAGTATATTGGCGTCGATAGAGACACTCTAATTTTGTTCCGTTTGTGGGGAAAACAACATTTTAAGAACAAGTTTTTGAACAATTAGGATTAACAACAGGAAATCCTTTCGTTTGCGAAGTTCATCGTGCTCGGTGCATTATTTTCTGATTTTTAAAAAATTATTTAGATGGAATACAATTTTTACGGGATTTGTCTATACTAAATGATAAGGGATAAGGTCTAGAACTGTTTATACTGCTCTGTCGTTGATGAATCTCAGCCAGATGGTGACAACAGTCCTGATATTATGACTGATATCTAAGTGACAAACCTATTGGTGATAATTTAGTTTAGGATATGAAAATTGAACAAAATATTTCAATCAGATCAATGTTTCAATACCAAAATGATCATAAAATCCAAAGTATTTAAATTAATTGTTTCAAAAAAGACTAGCTGATACATAATTGAGCAGAGAAGGCATGTGCATTCTTAGAATTGGATAGCAGTGTTGTTGAACAAGCAAAAAAGTAAGGTAAGCGAGGATAAATTTTATGTCATTAATCTTCATATGTGTCTAACATCCTTGAATGTTGTGTGATTTTAATAATATTTTGTTGTAATATTGACATTTAAACAGTTTAAATTTATTCTGCACTCATTCATCTTTAATTTGATACTTTATATGTCGCGATACAGACAATACGTTTTCTTCAGGAAGGTTTTAGCTCTGTCATGTTGCAGTAACGAAAATTCCGCTCAAAATAATGCTGTCCAAACCCTAGAAAAAATGTGGTCTTGAAAGAGTTAAACCCTATTTAGACTCTTAAATTTGATGACTTTCCAGCAACACACATCAGAAGAATGATAAAACAGACAAAACTGTTTCAAACCGTTTTTAAAGAGGTGCCGACACAAAGAAAATATTAGGGCTCACTCCCCTTGCAGAATATCAGGTGGGGAGGGGATGCTTAAATGGCCTAATCCCTTAAGCTCTAGCAAACCTGCTCCTGTACATGGTATTTTTTGTTTAGGGAAAAAGATGCGGGGGGGGGGGGGGGGGCAGGAGGGTCCCCTTACAAATATTTGGGTTGGCCTACAAACTGGGTTGGGAGCTCAAGGGGTCTCTGCTACAATTATTAACTGCTGGTCAAAGTACAAAATGCATGGTCACTGTTTTAGTCGTGGCAAATTGTTGCTTTTTCTGACAGACGGTGGCCGCTGCATTTTCATTCATTTATAGACAGAAAAGACAGTACTGTAATGAGTTGAATCCATGGCGTGGCACTGTCAGCAACATGGTGAACTGCAAGTTCTGAAAATGGCGAGCTGCCATTTGCCACAGAATTGGTGGTGCTTATGTGATTAAAACCTACCACATGTGCAACTGCTGATTTGTTTGTAACTTCTGCTTCCGTCGATGATAAACTCCATTTCTAATATCAGACTGTTTGTGTCAGCACTTCTGATGGCTGCCTTATGCTTTTAATGTGTGCATATGCTAGTGGTTATGCTGAGACTGCAGTCCGTGTCAACTGTTCCACAAGGGACAGGGATAAACATTCTGTGTATTTTTTTGTCAGCACAGGTGCGAAGCAACTATGGAGTGACCCATCTGCTAAGAAGCTGAAGCTAAGATTACAAGATTAATATTATTAACTGGTATCTGTGCAGAATACAAGATTTCAAGTTGTATGAATAAACCAACAGTGTGGAGGTTATGGTGTGAAACAAATTCCAGTAAGTCCAAGGATGAGGAAAAGACAAAAAGGACAAATCTCAAGAAAATCTGCTAATATTACAATAAGAAAACCCTGTTTCTGGAATCTACAGGGAAGAAGAAATAATGGGAGGTCTGAAAATCCACTGGCATGAGAATTAAAAACTAGGATGAATATTATATGGAAGGCATGCAGCAGGACAAAGCAGATAATAGGCGGGCTTGGTATGAGATTAAAGCTTCATTAGAAGTTACTGTCTTTACTGTAACGATTTTCCACTTTTAAAGATAGTGTCAGGAAGGAAAGAAAAAACAGGGGTGGGAGAGGGGGAGGAGGGGCACAGGCTAATAATTTTGGGCCATGTAAATAATACAGACAGCAGAAGGAAACAATCTACATAGTGTGGTCACGTCGTGAGAAGGGGAAAACTGGAGTACATCGTGACGGTTAGAAAGTTAGTCGGCAAAAGAGGCAGGAGGAGACCGATAGAGAAGATGCTGGACAGTCTGACATCATGGCATGGAAGATCATCTGTGTCACAAGTTACTGAAAGTACACAAGACAGAAGGCTGTGGTTAGACACAACTATCAATGCCACACGGTATGGCCTATAGTGTGAATCAGGGCTGTGCAGTTAAGTTTACCTAGGGGCCAAAAATGTTGAAAATGGGGATCTCGTGGGCCAGTGGTCTCAGCCATAGCATAAAAAGACTTGGCCTGTGGGCTGCCAGTGGAATTAGGCCCCTGGGCCGCCAGTGGTATAAATTTGGATCTTTCTTTGTAGTAAAACTTCTTCTCACAGTCCACGACCTGTGTCTTCCTACAGTCCACAGTAGTCATGGCTGCCCACAGCCTTCTGTCTTATGTACTGTCAATTATTGGTCTCCATGTCACTCTCTTCCCCTCCACTGTTCCCATTAAAACACTCCACTTTTCGCAACCAATGACTGAAACAAATGTCTATCACCTTACTGAGGATTTGAATCTGCATCTCCTGAATGAGATTCCCATATTCTAACCACTTAGCCAGCTACTCCTTCTCATTAGAAATAGGAAGAAAAAACCAAGATGACAAGGTGGATGCAAGATGACAAGGTGGATGCAAGATGACAAGGTGATGCAAGATGACAAGGTGGATGCAAGATGACAAGGTGGATGAAAGATGACAAGGTGGATGCAAGATGACAAGGTGGATGCAAGATGACAAGGTGGATGCAAGATGACAAGGTGGATGAAAGATTACAAGGTGGATGAAAGATGACAAGGTGGATGCAAGATGACAAGGTGGATGTAAGATGACAAGGTGGATGCAAGATGACAAGGTGGATGCAAGATGACAAGGTGGATGAAAGATGACAAGGTGGATGCAAGATGACAAGGTGGATGCAAGATGACAAGGTGGATGCAAGATGACAAGGTGGATGAAAGATTACAAGGTGGATGAAAGATGACAAGGTGGATGCAAGATGACAAGGTGGATGTAAGATGACAAGGTGGATGCAAGATGACAAGGTGGATGCAAGATGACAAGGTGGATGAAAGATGACAAGGTGGATGCAAGATGACAAGGTGGATGCAAGATGACAAGGTGGATGCAAGATGACAAGGTGGATGCAAGATGACAAGGTGGATGTAAGATGACAAGGTGGATGCAAGATGACAAGGTGGATGAAAGATGACAAGGTGGATCTTCTTCTTCTTATTCAGCGATCTCTGGTCATGCGCATAATCCACTGTGGGTCATAAACTGGGATGTCTTTTCAAGGTCTCTTAGATTTTCCCAAAGCTTAGTTGTCAGTTCTACTGGGTGTTGCCATATGTCGCTCCGCATTTCCGCCAGGAGAGGACAGTCTTGCAGGACATGTTCTGGAGTCTGCTCAGCACGAAGGCACTGGCAGAGAGCTGTTTGGCTCATACCTAATTTATGTGAGTGTTTTTGAGTCTGCAGTGTCCAGTGCGTAAGCGAAAAACTGTGACTTGGTCTGTTCTGTTCAAGTGTTTCAGAAAATCTTTTCCGTAGTTATAACCAGTGTTGGTTTTCCAATCTGTTTCTGATTTTCTCTTAATGAGAGTTTTGACTTCTGGAAAAGATAGTGGCTGGTAGGACTGTGGTTTGTTACTGCCTTCCTTGGCTAAAGCATCTGCGCTTTCATTGCCTTTGATGCCACAGTGAGACGGAATCCACTGCAAGTGAATTTCTGCCTTATTTGACAACATAGCAAGTTCCTGTGTTAGACTTTGTAGTGTGCTGTCGGTAGGTTTGGACTCAAGGGCCTGTATAGCTGACAGTGAGTCAGTGAGAAAAACTATCCTGCCTGCGGTAATTTGCAGATTGTTCATATACTGTGCTGCCATCAAAAGGGCTGAGAGCTCTGCCTTGTAATTAGAACAAGTTCGTCCGGTGGGAGCTGCTAGGGACACCATAGTGGCATCTGGGTGTTTTATATAAACAAGGTGAATGAAAGATGATAAGGTGGATGAAAGATGACAAGGTGGATGCAAGATGACAAGGTGGATGCAAGATGACAAGGTGGATGCAAGATGACAAGGTGGATGCAAGATGACAAGGTGAATGCAAGATGACAAGGTGATGCAAGATGACAAGGTGATGCAAGATGACAAGGTGGATGCAAGATGACAAGGTGGATGTAAGATGACAAGGTGGATGAAAGATGACAAGGTGATACAAGATGAAAAGGTGATGCAAGATGACAAGGTGATGCAAGATGACAAGGTGGATGTAAGATGACAAGGTGGATGAAAGATGACAAGGTGATGCAAGATGACAAGGTGGATGCAAGATGACAAGGTGGATGCAAGATGACAAGGTGGATGCAAGATGACAAGGTGATGCAAGATGACAAGGTGATGCAAGATGACAAGGTGGATGAAAGATGACACACAGAACCTTAGTAAAAAAGGATAAAGTCAGGAGATGTGAACCAGTGTCACTGCACACAGTTATAAACCATAAGCGCTCTACCACCAGTACGGACAGCTGATAAGAAACTGTCCACCTGTTTTGCAACTCTGTAGCTTCAGCGACATTCCTCCAAGTATCCCAGAGTGTTAACACTCTGGTACTCATTTCCTAGAGGCTGGGTGAAACCCGGGAACCACCTGGTTTCGAACACCGGCCGTGTGCTGCAGCAAATCGCAGCTGGATTTGAAAGGAAGTCTCCTATCGACTGTGCTAATGCATACCCCTGACAGAACCTCAGTAAACTTAGGCAAAGGAAGAACCATCCAGCTGTCGACAAGATAAGATAATGGGAACAGAAAATTCCCCCTAAAGGCAAAACAAGAATAATGAGGAACCAAAAGTCAACAATCACATTTTATGGATGTCAGTCACGATTGCCAATTAGGACCATATTGCCATGTGTCTGTTTCAGAGTAAATCCAGAGGTAGTTAAACAGAACTCGGGAATGCTAGTCACAGTAATGGCAAAGAAGTCTTACACACACACACACACACATATATATAGTTTATAGGACAAGAGACAGAGAGTGTTGGAGATCTACTGCAGCCAAGCTTCATTGTAGAGATGGCACCTCATGGACTAGTTTAAGTAGCTTCCTCAATTTATAACTGTACATTGTACCATATACGATTAATTAATCAGTTAGTCAAGGTTCCAACTTCACCGCAGATGGGTCACCCCTTAACTTCTCTGTTTCTGTGCTGGGCAAAAAATTCACACACACAATCTCCTTCACTGTCTTATTTGAAAATAAAAATAAAAAAAAATAAAAAAAAACTGTCAGACAGAGCAAAATCTTGAAGCTTCACATGTGAAGTAAAAATGCATAAGACAGCTGTCACATGTGCCAACACTAATGGTCCCACACCATATTTGTAGCTCACTATTGGCACAAATGGTCAATCATGAAAACTGTCACAACTGATATTGGAACTCTGCACTGACTGCTGAAGATGGGGACAGAGTGCTAATGGAAATGCCCAGCATGCTAAATGTCCATCACGGTCCTATTTGAAATAGTGAACAACTTGTCAGTCCCAGTAAAATCTTGAGTGATCTTGTAACACTTGCTGCTCTTACATACCTCCTCCTCCTCATAATCCTATTTTTCCTCATCTAAGGCCTAGCTGATTCGCATGGGTGTTCACGCTTCTCCATTTCTTGCTGTCTGATAGAGTGGACAGTTCATGCGCTAACACTCTTCCCCGCTAATGAAAAATGCTGGCAAGCATTTTTCTCTTATTATCTTCCTCTATATCGTTTTTTCCATAAATATTTCCAGTTGTCACAACATGTTCCTTAATATTCAGCATTTTTCTTCTTCGTGCCAAAATATTCTAACCATTTTCTCTCAAAACACCACATAACCACTACCTTCAGTCCCCCCCCCCCCCCCCCCACCCCCCTTTGTTTTCTCACTCACTTTATTTAAAATCCCTAGCGACTCGTTATTTTTCTTATGTCCCTTATCTCACCGGGAGCATAATCTTTCAAGTCACTCATGTTAAGTTGTACATAAGAATATCTACCTACCAGCATAATCAGGAATGGCATACTCCAGATCTGAATCTGTGTCAGGATCTTCTGCTAGAAGGACATACACAGTGTGGCCCGGTTCAGGCTCCCGAGGGATTGCAGCCAGATATGGATAAGGCTGGTTTTTTATAACAGGCATTTCATCATTGACATCAACCAGAGGGATTGAAAGCTTGATCAGCTTTTTATCTGTGGAACAAACATCAAAAGTCAAAATTTATAAATTTATTTTGTGTTTTTCCCGCAAAGGTTATACCTGTTAAATGCTCCAAAATGTCATAAATGGTAGAAATATAGCGGCTCTGCAGACACAATGCAATAGTCAGATGAACACAGAAGAAGTTATATGTATGTGAGTGCATTTGTGTGCTTGTATGTGTTATTTAAGCTCTTTTCTGGTTGCATCAAGAGGTGTTAGCAAGGCCCTCATGGAAAGTAAAGAACAGTAACACAGCATCCTACCAGGCACTTCATAAGAGGTAACTAAGAGCAGGGTTTGACTCAAGTTGGCAACCTCATCCCGTAAAACATTAAGGCCATGAAAACCAACTTACGATGTTAAGAGCCAAAAAATTAACAAGTCATAATATACAAGACAGCATGGACATCGGGTACACTGCATGCGATAGCAAAGGATAGGATGACTTAGCCTGAGGTGGTTTAGTGTCTGTGATCAACTAGTGATACATGGCAGAAGAACAGAATGAGGCTGATAGTGTTGGAATCCACACACGGCAACCAAAACAATGATGGAGACAGATGTCCAATCAGAAGTGAATGCAGTTACTACAGTATGGAATAGCTTCCCACCCCTCCCCCCCCCCCCCCCCCCCCCCCCCCCCCCCCTCCCCCCCCCCCCCCCCCCCCCCCCCCCCCCTGACAATCTTAACATTACACCAAGAGTACCCCCCCACCCCCCCCCCCCCCCCCCCCCCCCAATCCAAAATAAATCTTCTGTGAGAGCACTTGAGTTTCATGTCATTTAGGTCCACCTACGTACATGTCCCATCCCCACAAACCACAATAATCTACACCTTTTCAAAACATCAAAGGTCTAGCAGAGAGCACTTGAGTTCTTAGTTCAGGGAGAAACCAATATACACCCTAGATCCAATCCACCAATTCAAACCTCCACAATCGGACTGCAACTCGACTTTAACGTTTAGAATCATTCTAAGACCTCATCAATCATTTCATATACATCCACATTGTATACCTTACCTGCTCTTATTTCAGAACGACTTCTACAAGACCGCTATGGTCATATGCAAATTAGTTTAACATTTTTAGATCTATCCAAACCAAAAAACTGTTTTCAGTGCTTTTTGACAAAGTAAAATACTCAAAATTTTAAAACTATAAATGGTGGTCCAAAAGGACGTTATGTAGAATTAGCTCGGTCTCTTACGAGATAAGCCTGACCAAAATAAAAAAGAACAGAATCGGATACACAATAGGTTGAACATGGCTGTGATTTTGTTTTTCTTGTAGAATAAAATCAGGAAATGAGGCTGATGCAATGTGTAACTTCCTCTCTTTAAGATATAGCAAAAATCACTCATTTCACTGACTTAAATGTTGCACTAGCCACATTCACTTCCTGTTTTTCATTTTTAGGCAGGTTTGACCCAGTAGTCAGGCCCATTTTTAAGATGTATGGTGCCCCTGTGCAGTCGATTATTTTACACTCCCTCTTTATATACCAACAATTTTTACTACTAGTGATATTTTGCTACCTCCAAAAGTGTGTTTTCCTGTATAGCTGCAGGTTCTTTTTCTTTCTTTCTTCTTCTGCCCTCTATCCCCCAATGGAGTATAGGCCCTCAACCATCTCACACTAAGTCATCTTATCCTTTGCTACTGCATGCAGCTACGCATGTTTCCCTACATTTTTAATTTCCCTTCTCCATGCATTTTTTTGGTCTACCTTTTTTCTATACCCATGTGGGTTCCTGTTTAAAGGCTTTCTAGTTATATTGTTCTCAGGTTTTTCAATGTGTGTCCTACCCAACACTAGCAACTTTTCCTAACCTCTTGATTCAATGGAATCTGTTAAGTTCTCTCAGAAAGATCAACAGCCAAGAGATTTAACTCTTTGATTACCAAGGAACACATCATACGTTCATAGGTTACTGCCTAGAAACCCAATTAACGCATAATGAGCCAATTTTACGTCTCTCTTGACCATGCCTTAGCCCTGTGAGGCTTAACCCTCTGGGAGTTAAAAAATCCTTTGGCAGTTTGAAATTGAAAACAGTATTCTAACGGTGCTGCCGTTAAGATAAGATGCCTACCTCTGCAACTTCTGAAATGATTCATTTTCTATTTAAACCGAAATATGCTAGTTTAGATGAATTCACACAATATTCAAACACAACAATAAGTGCCAAACATGTGAAGCAGCTCTCCATGATGCCTCTTATTGCTGCATCAGTAGAAATAAACTCTATTAAAGCCCCAACAATGCAAAAATCTGGAGTTAGAAATCTACCCACACTTTTTCAGGATTCTCACCGATGCTATGGAGTTCGTGCACTGCGCTGAGACTCTTCGGACTCGGGCTTGAGTTAGAAGTAGAATGGAGCACTTATGGGTTACTACCCTTGTGCCATGATGTTGATCCACTATTTAAACCTAAACCTATCATAGCATTTAATTTCCTCTATTCTGCACAGGCACCAGTTAATGCTGCACATGTTTGCACATGCCTAAATACAACCCCATTGGCAGTTCACATCAATGTTAATACAAATCAGCATCAAACCTATGACCATGGAATGGACAGGCAAGCATACAAGTCACTGCACAACAGCAGCTTTCAGCCCCAACTGATGGCAATGATTAATGACATGTTTATTTGTGAACCCTGGCTTGAAGTGTTGAATTTCTCTCTCATTTCTCTTGTCACCAGCTCGTCATGGTGGAGGTGGCTGTGTGCCCCCCCCCCCCCCTAAATCCCAGAGGAATGTATGTGGTAAGGTAACTACATATGGAGGGACCAGACTAAGAGAAACACAGCTTGAGGTCAGGAAGGCTCAGTTAAACATTAGGTAAGGTTGAAACCAAGAGGCAAAGAGCAGCTGAAGCCTTGAGTCCGGCTACGTGCCTGACATTATCTAGAGGCCTGACATCAGTTACAGGCCTGAGACCAGCTTGAGGCCTAAGACCTGCTAAAGGCCTGAGACCTGCTAGAGGTCTGACATCAGTTACAGGCCTGAGACCAGCTTGGGGCCTAAGAACTGCTAAAGGCCTGAGACCTGCTAGAGGTCCGACATCAGTTACAGGCCTGAGACCAGCTTGAGGCCTAAGACCTGGTAAAGGCCTGAGACCTGCTAGAGGTCTGACATCAGTTACAGGCCTGACATCAGCTACAGGCCTGAAACCAGTTACAGGCCCTGAGACCTGCTAAAGGCATGTGACCTCTTAGAGGCCTGAGACCTGCTAGAGGCCTGATACTTCTTAGAGGCCTGAGACCTGTAAGAAGCCCGAAACCAGTTATGGGCCTGAGACCAGCTAGAGAACAAATGAGACTGGTTTGGACACCAGTTACAGGCCTGAGACCTGCTAGAGGCTTCAGTCAGACCTGCCAGAGGCCAGACCACAGCTAGAGGTCTTACAAGAGTCAGAGGCCTGCCATGGGTTAGGGTTTTACATGAGCTACAGGCCTGAAACCAGCTAGGGGTCTTACATGATCTAGAGGTCTGACAACAGCCAGGAGTCTTACATGAGCTAGAGGCCTGACACCAGCTAGGGGTCGTGTATGAGCTAGAGGTTTTATATGAGCTAGAGGTCTTATATAAACTAGAGGTTTTATATGAGTTAGAGGTCTTATATGAGCTAGAGGCCTGACACCAGCTAGGGGTCTTATATGAGCTAGAGGTCTTATATGAGTTAGAGGTCTTATATGAGCTAGAGGTCTTATATGAGCTAGAGGTCTTATATGAGCTAGAGGTCTTATATGAGCTAGAGGTCTTATATGAGCTAGAGGTCTTATATGAGCTAGAGGTCTTATATGAGCTAGAGGTCTTATATGAGCTAGAGGTCTTATATGAGCTAGAGGTCTTATATGAGCTAGAGGTCTTATATGAGTTAGAGGTCTTATATGAGCTAGAGGTCTTATATGAGCTAGAGGTCTTATATGAGCTAGAGGTCTTGTATGAGCTAGAGGTCTTATATGAGCTAGAGGTCTTGTATGAGCTAGAGGTCTTATATGAGCTAGAGGTCTTATATAAGCTAGAGGTCTTATATGAGCTAGAGGTCTTATATGAGCTAGAGGTCTTATATGAGCTAGAGGTCTTATATGAGCTAGAGGTCTGACACCAGCTAGGGGTCTCACACGAGCTGGAGGACTGACACCAGTTAAAAGCATAATATGAGCTAGTAGCCTTACAACAGCTACAGGTCTGTTACTAGCTACAGAGTTTTATTTTTGAGATTGCTGCAGGGATAAGAGACTCTAATGATGTCACCTGATGAATATACAGCTGTAGTTAACAGTCAGAAACAACATATATCTATATAGCAGTTAGAAACTGTATGTTATACAGTTACTAGTCACTACATTGCTCAAAGTTAACAGGCATAAACAATATATTTCTACAGTTAGCAATCAGAAACAAAGAACAGTGGTTTCTCATCTGTAAAATGTCAGACCATATAATTTCACTTGCTGGTGTGAAACCAAAGGTTGGCTGCAACCTATCTAAAGTATTCCCCAGACAAAATGGCATTGTTATTCTTACTGTCATCCAGTTAAGTGTATAGTTTATATATATCACTATAGCTTACAACTACAAAGAGACACCTGGCCTCAAGAGCTAAGTGTGCTGAGTAAGCTATGGGGAAACTAGGAAGGGCATGTAACTGACATGTAAATACAAAGAGGCAACCCACCTGATCGTCTGACCCGAGAATATGAAATCAAATGCAAAGAAGAGAAGGAGCAGAAGAAGCAAAGGTATTATCAGCCATTTCTCTTTGATGGCAGCTAGCAATATTGTATTTTATGCAATACATTATGGGTGTGAGACATGGGTGTGAGACATGGGTGTGAGACATGGGAGTGAGACATGGGAGTGAGACATGAGTGTGAGACATGGGAGTGAGACATGAGTGAGAGACATGGGAGTGAGACATGGGTGTGACACATGGGTGTGAGACATGGGTGTGAGACATGGGTGTGAGACATG